TGACTCTCCACGACGAGGCACCGAGTAGGTAGTTCCGTCTAATCCTGTGCATCAGATGATCGAATTGGCTGAGATCTCACTGTCACCGGAGTCGTAGGTGCAGGATCCACGCAAGAATGGAAACCGAAAACGAGCTTCTGCAATGTTCGAAAACAATTCGGGTTTGGCTTAGATATAAGACGCATGATGGGCCACTCGGCATGTGATTAACTAGGCAAATTAACCATTTGTGGGGTTGCTGAGGCTGTCCGTGATGGGAAAAGGGACTAGCCGTGGCGCGGCATCGCAGAGGCTCACACTTCAGTCTGCAGAATCCATCAGCGCAATGGCCTCCCAGTGCTACGGTAGTATGGACGGTAGTATGGACGGTAGTATGGACGGTACTCCATCGATTCTTGTGAATTGTTAGTGAGACGACATTTTACAACAATGCCACACGAACACCATGCACGATACTGAGGGTAGTGTGCTTGATTTTGGGTTCTAAACACGAGAAACACTGCAAGTAGATTCCCTTAATGGAAAGTTAGTCCAATTTGTCCTGGGCCACTAGAGAGAATCCTTCATCATCTGCGTAATTGTATCTCTGCATTGCTGAAGGGGAGAATCATATCGCGCATCCGATTCGGTTCGAGTGGCTCGTGCTTCTTCCTCATAAGAACATAAATTTCAAGCATGGGCCACCATCGCTCGCAGGTTGTATTGTAACGAGACTCACAGATGTCATTGAGGGTGCACGACGCCCACTCAAATGGCCGAGGTGGTAGGCAAGCTGCCGACGTCGTGGCTATGGAGAGGGAATGGATGCCTGCCGGGGCGAAAAGTCATGGGAGGTGATTACCGTGGTTTCCAAATCGAGTTGGCCGACACGGAAGCGCATTCAGAACCTTGGTTATGATGGCCATGATGGCCCGCTGCCTTCATTCACGGTTCCAATGAGCGCCAAGCTATTCATAAAAGGGCCTGCTGGCGTGGAGAGCACTGGGTAGTGATGTGCTATGGGTTGGAATAGGACCAATGGAGGGCTTTCACTCTTCAACACTGAGTGAAAATGTTGGTATAGAATCACAGGTAACGTCCATCCATCCTCGACTTTCTAGGACAGAACCTTTAACAACAATGAAGAAAGCAGGGAGCAAAAATGACATGCTCTTTCCCAATATCGAGATGCTAATGCCTAGTAAAAAATGTGCTGTCACCACGGTATCTTCACGGATCGAATCCTTGGTGCTTTGCTCCCCCTCCTCTCCAAGCTGATTTTCCTTCGTGCCACGGAGACTCATGAGCTTTGTGGAATCAATTCAATCGGCCAATGACTCCTTGTTTTTGAAATTGATACTATAAAAAATAATATATATGATTTCTAAAATGATCATGGAAAAAAGATAGGCCGCTAGAGGGGCGCTAAGATTAGCGGAAACTTCTCCGCGAACCAATTGATTTGCCGACGTCGCCCCACTCCAATTCCCAGATGTCGGCCTCGTGCAAATAAATCCTCCCGATAATGCACGCTCAATATAGCATGATCACTCATCTGCCAGCTCGGGAATCATGCTCATCCGTCTTCTCCAACGCCTCCACTCTCAAAACTCATCAACATCAATCTTCCCATCTATTCGAAGAAGCCTCCCGAGGACTCAGCATCTCCGAATGGCGTCAACTTTCCCAGACCTACCCATCTTCCGAGCAATCGCAAGCCATGATCCCAAAAGTACTGCTATAATACATTCAAGATCAGAAAGAAGATTCACATATGGCGAGCTACTCAAAGATGTTGAAGGCGCCAAGGTCACCCTGTACAACCAATTGAAGTCCGCGTCGGCCGAGGGCGAATCAAGAGGAGGTCAAAGGGTCGCTTTCCTAGTGGAAAATGGCTACGATTATGTAGGTGCGAGCAAAAGCTGCATCTATGCTCAGCTCAGTAGCTAAACCGAGACAGTGACCCTCCTTTCCATACTGGCATGCGACAGCATCGCCGTTCCACTTTCCTCAGGCTTCCCAGCGAGCGAGCTCAGGTACATACTGGAGAACAGCGAGGCGGTGACACTACTTTCATCCGGGAAGTTTCAAGAGAAGGCGGAAGAAGTCCTCAAGGAGGGCCTAGAGCACCTACCAAGAAAACCAGTCCTCAATGTCGTCGAGAAGAGGCTTACTGGCAATGGGGAAGATGAGGTCCAGCTGGTGCCCTTACCCCTGACCAAAGGCGGCATGATGCTGTACACTTCAGGAACGACCAGTCGTCCGGTATATACGTTCATCATACACCCAAAGATTGCCGCTGACACATCCACAGAAAGGCGTCCTTCTTCCGGAAAAGGTCCTCACAGCCCAAGCCGAATCACTCCACAAAGCCTGGCAATACACCTCACGCGATCACCTTCTCCACGTCCTCCCCCTTCATCATATCCATGGCACCGTCAACGCCCTCCTCACACCCCTCTTTGCCGGCTCAACTATCGAATTCATGTTCCCTTTCAACGTCGATGCGGTCTGGGAGCGCCTAGCCGCGCCGTTCATGCCAGACAAGAACAAGAAACCCATCACGTTCCTGACAGTTGTCCCTACAATATACAATCGCTTCCTCTCCTCATTCGACAAGCTCGCCGTACCTTTGCAGGAAGCTGTTAAGAAGGCTTTATTGCCGGAGAATCTACGCCTCAACATCTCTGGATCCGCGGCACTACCAACGCCTACGAAGAAGTCGTGGACAGAGTTAAGCGGCGGCAACGTCTTGCTTGAGCGCTATGGCATGACTGAAGTTGGTATGGCTTTGAGCTGCGGTTTGGACTTCCGGGACCGAGTGGACGGCAGCGTTGGATGGCCGTTACCCTCCGTCCAAGTCCGACTAGTGGACAGCGAAACCAATGAGGTCGTCCCCCTCGGACATGAAGTTGACGAGAACGGAAAAGAAACAGAAGGAGAGATACAACTCCGAGGTCCTACCGTCTTCGAAGAATACTGGCGCAACGAGAAGGCGACTTCCGAAGAGTTTGTGGCATCAGATGATGGCGGCGGCAAATGGTTCAAGACTGGCGATATTGCGACGAGAAAAATCGTGGATGGTGCGGGGCAAAGTGGACAGGGCTGGGCGAAGGGCCCGATGTATTTCATACGAGGGAGGAAGAGCACGGATATCATTAAGAGTGGTGGAGAAAAGGTCAGCGCTTTGGAGATTGAGAGGGAGCTTTTGTCATTGTGAGTCGCAATCGAACTTACCATGCCTCACTTCATCTTAGGCTGATGATCCTCCAGACCTCAGATCTCCGAGGCTGCCGTTGTTGGCGTCGCCTCCGAGCAATGGGGCCAGAAAGTAGCAGCAGTTGTCGTCCTCGATCCAGCACACGCCCAGACTGGGAAAGGAGGCAAGACTTGGGGTGTCATGGACATGAGAAGAGCGCTGAAGGACAAGCTGGCCAATTACAAGATACCACAGGAGTTAAAGGCGGTAGAAGAGTTGCCTAAAAATGCCATGGGCAAGAGTATGTACTCTCATCCGCTTTGCTCGTTCACGCTAACAATTCTCAAGTCAATAAGAAAAGCCTGGTCAAGGAGATATTTGGAGATCAAGCTTAACGCAGCAGCTTTTCGGATTAGTAGATGGTTCGCTTCTTGTACAATTCGGATCTTTACGCTATCCTTTCATCGCCAATCTGCCAAGACATATTGAGTCGCGCTTGCTACGGATTAGTGACAGTCTTTGCTTCAAGGAGTAGCATGTCGCCCCATATCTTTTCGCATATCTTCCATCCATTCGCATGACAGCTACCCTTATCAGCTACCCTCCTCAAATCTCAACCTTCGACCCCACAAGCTCCTTACTCAGCTCCCATAGCTTTCCCGCCATCACCGGATCACGCGCATACTCATTGACGGGCTCCTCCGGAATCTGACAATCCCTAAGAAATACGCCCGAATCACCTTTGCGATCCACACATCAGCCCATGCACCCTTTCAAACCATTGAAGACAAGACAGCGGGTAGGTAGGTGATACCTTTAATATAAGTATTCAACGCCGCCATCACCGCCACCGAGCACCCCAGCTCCAACGACTCCTCCGTCTCCATCTCCATGGATTTGCCGGAGGTTGCGTCATCGTGCATCGTGACGCCGATGTCGAAGGGCTCTTGCGAGATGCCTGCTATGAGGTGTTGGGGGAGAGAATCACTAGATTACATTCGCAATGAAAAAGGCGGCTTCGGAGTGGCTGGCTCCTCCGCATCATATCTGCTTACCACCATGGTGGACAAGTGTAAGCCTGCGCGTCCCCAGCTTTTTCTCCTGAGATTTCGCGAAGAGAAGGAGGTTGGGCCAGTCTTTGACTACCCGTAGTCGTAGTATGGGTGGTATGTTTTAGCATTCCATGTCGCTGATGTCAAGACCTACAATCTTCGTTCCCCCGGACCCCACGAAAGTGCTGCTGACTATACCTGAAAGTCTCCAACAAAAACGACCCAACACGACCAGCACCAAACAGCCTCTCATCCCACCCGCCATCTCGCCATACACCCCCGTCGCCAAGATACCCGTCCGCATCATACATCAAGACGACGCCAATCCTATCGACCACGCCATCCCATCCGCCGTCTCGCCAGCTCATCGAGATTGAATTCCACGATTCGCGCACCGGTGCCGAAATGAAAATTTTCTGATCGACTCGACCACGAGCGCGATCTCGGATTCCGTGCGGGCGGTGAGTCAACATATTCGAGGCTAGTGAATCATGAAGGATTCGAAGGACCATGCAAGGTCGAGCAGGCAGCGTCCGACAAGCTCGCATTTGAGAGGACGGGTTCCAAATTCAACAAAGCTTCTGCACTGCGGGTTTGATTTGTCGTGCATGGTCGTGCAGGCTCATGGACGATTGCATGGGGTTGCTCTGATGTAGAGTACGGAGCAACTACTCTAGCATAGCAGACGCAAAACACTGGTGGGATAGATCATGCTATTGATCCTGGCATAGAATAATACCTGCACATCCATAACAGGGGCAACCTGCCGCCTAGGAACTAGACTTGAGCCAGTCCTCCCCACCCATCGCATGCAACTGCTCATGACAAAACCGCAGCGGCCTCACCACATTCGCGAACAGCTCCTCTCGCCACCCGTCGTCCTTGGCGCCCGCAAACCGTCCTCTCAAGCACCAATTCACGGCGTCGGCGTACGTCTCGCCCGCCTCCCCGCACACAGACTGCGACCACTCCAGCGCGACGGCCAGATCCAGCGCGGCCGCCAGATCCGGATTCGCGGTCTGCTGCCCACCCGAAGTGTGGAACTCTTGCCTCATTGCGTGGTCTTCGAGCGCGGTGCCGAAACAGAGTTCGATGAGCAAGATTCCCAGGGTAGGTAAGGAGCGGTCGCTCGAAGCGTACGATGAGGAGGGCGATGGGGCGGCTTGAGTGGAGACAGCGTGCAGCATGTACGGTTGGTCGAGTTGGACGGAATGGGCGTCTTGAGGATCGATGTTGAAGACGATGTCTTTTTTGCTCCAGTGCGAGTGTAGCCATGGCGAGGGATATAGCTGCAGGTGAGATGATGCGAGGGTGTAGGCAATTCGATATCGTTGCCGACGGTCCAAAAGGAAACCAGAGCTTCTGTTCGACAGGCTCTCGAGAGACACTGGTGACACCGTTTGATATGCTTGTCCGGGCGGTTTCGTCTTTGCTCCTCGCTGAAGGATATACGAGCTCTCGTCGCCCTCCAGGAGTCCGAAGATATTGCTAGCGGGGTCACAGGTAGCTACAGTGGAGCAAAGGTCTGTAATCACTGTGGGCCCGGTGGTTTGTTGTGTCGAGTCTGCTGCGGGAGGCGTTGGGTTGGTCCAGCTGACTTTCGGACGAGAGGGTAGTGGTGAGAGACTAGGAATTCGCATTGAAGATTTAAATGACGTTCTTATTACCGGTGGTTGTGGGATAGAGTTCCGAGGTACCACTAAGGACATGTTTGGTTCTGACATGTCGTGGTTGATATGCTGAACATTCACCTCTTTCCAGCTCCATGGGCAACGATCAGCGACCGGGTTCGGAGCGTATAGGAAGCAAATACTAAACTCGATACGCTCAACATTTATCTCATGGTGTAAGAATAGACAAGCGCGATGCAAATGCTTGCATTGACAGCACCAAGCCTGACCCAAGAGGTCGTGAAGACTTGCAGCATGCCGCCAGATTTTCCACAGTATTTTCTTGACAACTGAGTTCTTAATATGTTGGCGAGACTGCTTGAGTGCTGCTGACTGGTCATTCGTATCGAGCAGTTCTCTCAACCGTGCATTGTATCGGGCGAATTCTTCGAAGAGCTTCGCGCGGTTTGTCCTACCAAATTCAAACTTCACTCGATGGATCTGATATTCTAAGTTAGGACGACTCAGCCATTTCTTCCAATGTCTGTCTGAACTCCCTGTTGATGCTTCTTGCTTTGGCCTGTTAAGCAGCTTCCTCAATGGGTTCGAACCCACGTTCCAGCATCAGCCCGAGTGTCCCACCCAGTCGCATCATGATGCATGACCAACTCTCCGTGACACAAGCCTTTGACCGTGCGCAATATATTTAATGATCCTGTGCCAAAAGCCTGGCTGCGTATTTCCAGGGGCTCATCTCTCTTCAGTTCGTATAGGCTGGTTGACATTCCCATGCCATGTAAGAGTTCGGAGCACTCGATGATTTCTTGCCACGGGATCTTGGCTGGTCCACACTTGACACATATTGATTCTCTCGGCTCGGACACAAGGACATGCCCACTTCTCTATTGTATCCAAGATACTGGATCCGATACCAATGACATGGGCCCCGGTCCTAATGGTTCCATCACGTGATTGGGCATCGCAACCTCCTGGACCACCAAAAGCCTTTCAAACCATCTTCTCTCGTACAATCCCATAGTATTCTCCACTTTTTTTTTTCAAAACGGCAAACCGATATCCTCCATTCGATCTTTCTCCTGGTAGCCAAAGTAACCAATACCTTTTTTATGAGCAAGATCTCCTTCGTCATCTCAGACCCTGGCGGCTTGTGAGATGCTCATCACTACGCGATCCCAAATGTCTCTCCCAAGCTCCAAGCTATCCGCCACTATTCTTTCAAAGGCACTTTCCGAAGAGCAGCGCCGCAAAAGCAACTCCTAGCCGAGCTATACCAAGAGCTATGGGACAAGCCAAAAGCAGGGTCGGCATACGAAGCAGCGGCGCAATGGTGCAAAGACGACAACGCTTCCGCGCTCGACAACAAGCTCAATCTAAAGGCGGGCGACCTCGCTGCGTTGGACAATGGCTACCTGGGCGCTTTCAGGCAGGCAGTAACGAACAACCTCATGCAGTCCTCTATCAATGACTAGCTCCTGCGCGCTGGATTCTGCCACCTTGCGCTCGACATCATTGGTGCTAAGCGGGCCTCGGAGAGCAATCGAGAACTAGATCCTCAGTTCGCTTTCGACCAGGGAGTCTCAGCTCTTTTCCGATCTCTCAGAGCCAGTGGAACAAGGGGACAGCGAGGGATCAGCTGAGAAGCCATTCCGATGTAATCAGCTGAACCCGCTGGACTCGTTTTGCACCACCATTTTGCTTAGGTAGGGTTTCTCACCTCATGCTCTAGGTTATCGCTAATTGTGGGCTCTACAGAAAAAAAGAACCAGCTGACAGAGAAAGAGGATGACTCCTCATAGCTTATCCTCCTCACCCACATTGTCACCAGCCCTCCTCTCCTCTCTCGCTCTCGACCATGATTTTCCGCCGCTACTCTCTTTGGCGGCCTCCTGCCCCTGCGACTGGTTTGTCATAGACAGGCACATGGACGCAATGAAAGAAAGCCCCGACGCGCTAGGAATACTTGCATGGAAATTCGACATGGGGCAACGCCCGCTGGCGTCCTACAACAGCCGCATGAACCCTGAGTATGAATGTCGAGCACAAGATGTATATTGCTCATGTACAATTCCATGCGTTTGGTAGAACGGCATAACCTCCACGCGCTGGCCTCTGCCTCCAAACCATGCCCGCAAGCCGCTCGGTTCAACAGACTATCGAACGCCGACGGATTTCGGAGTCGGACGTGCACCGTATGCCTCGAATGTGAATGAGATCCACAAAAAGGATTGAGACACTGTCAACATTGCGTGGCCTTCCATCCATCCGCAGGAGCTTCCGGGCTCTTCAAAGCGTACACAGATAGTTCCTCAATAGCAGCAGGCCCTTTGAAACGGCTAGGTGCCGGCCTTGTAATCGTGAGAAGGTGAAATACTGCGGGTTATAAGGGGAAGAGCACCCTGGTGGATGTCCCAAATGGAGGAATGAAGCATTTGATGTCCATATTTCCCATAGAGTGCATCTCTATAATACGCTCAAAGGAGACCTCTAGATCCAGTTTCACAGTCTATTGGCTAAGTCGATTCCCCATCATCGACGTTGTGTGCGGCGTCGAAAAAACCCTCGTCGACGACCTTCCCGCTCTTCTGAGACGGAAGCAGGCGAATGTTGATGCCTCAGGCCACTCTCATTTGATTGGCAGATGCTTCAGAAGGGTATTGGTTTTGCAAAGTATTTAGTCTAGGCTAGGAGCACAGTACATGCTCAAATCGCTATCATGATCCTCAATGAGCTGCTTTTCGTCTTCATGGCCGCCTAGCATATGCTCGAAGCCGCTCGCCAGAAGCCGTAATATCATGCTATTTTTTTTCTCGAATTCCGACACCACCACATCCATCAGACCGTGTGCTTCGCCTTCGCCCTCGTGCTACCGCTATGCGCACTCTCCGTGTGCCCCGAAAACTCCACGACCTCCGCATCCTTCAACTTCAAGACCTCTTTGAACTTCTTCCCCAGACCAAGCAGGACATCCTTGCTCTTCTCCGGGCTCCGACCTTTACCCCCGGCAACGTCTCCCTCTCCACCTCCTGGCACGCTCTTTCCGACCGTCTTGGTCCATAGCCCAACACGGTAGAAGCCCTTGCGTACGTTGACCACCACACCCATGACCTCGCCGTCATCGTCGCTGTTCTCGAGGGTTTCGCCGATGGCTGCGAGCATCACATGGAGCCAGAGTTCGTCGATGGGGGCGCTACGTTTGTCTGGGGGAGGCTTGGTCAGCACATCTGTCGGGAAGGGGGGGTCTGGTATCTGTATACCCACCCTTGAATTGGTAGCTCCATTTCCCTGTAACAGCAAGCATCAGCCTAGGATGTACAATAGGTTGAGCGAAAACCTGCCTCCGTGCTTATTTTGAGGGTCCTCCCACTCTGGGCGGATGCCTTTTTTGAAAAGATGGTAGTCTGACTTCAGCGCGAGCTCGGAAGTAGGAGTGATGTTATTCTGCGTAGAGGAGGATTGAGGTCAGCGAGTGCTGTATCGGAAGGTGGTAGCGGGAGCCGAGCTGTAGACTCACGTAGACGCCCCAGAACTCTTCCACAGAATCAAAGGTGACAACTTCCTTAAGTAGATCGTTCCAGTTGTCGCCCTTTGCATCGTCAGCACTGGATACACAGTCAAGCTCTCACAGGTGGCCGGTATTACCTTCCCACTCGGTGGCTTAGTGAACCAAAGAGTCCACTCATGCATCAGGGGATGTTTGACGTTGAAGTTCTCTGGATCATGAAAGACGGTGACTTGCTCGTCTCCCGACTTCGCAGCGCCATTGCTTGTGGTGGCTCCGTCTTCCGAAGTCATGTTCGGGTCGGCGTTCTCGTTTGCAGGTGAGATTGGGATGGTGTCGAGGGGGACGGGCGAGCTAGACTTGAGTGTGGCAGACGCAGTGACGGGTTTGGACATGGCAGGGGGTAGAATGCGGGAGGCGGAAGAAGTGAGTAGAAGTCAGTGTTGAGAGACGTGAGGTCTAGACGGCGCTGAGGCCTCGGTGAATCTAGCCTTTGGACTGAATACGCCAACGGTGTCAAGGTAGTTCAAGATGGTGAAGAGAGTATGGGTGTGACCAGGAATAGAAGAGAACAAGAGACTGCACCGGGCAGTGAGGCCAAACGAAATATCTAAGGTACAGAGGTTTCGTCTGAGGCTGAGGCTCAGTATCCGAAGGGCCATTAAAACGGCCCGCAATTAGCGCTGCATCTCGTGTTTAGTGTTTTTAAAGTATTCCACTGCCGGAAATAAGACCAGGTGAACTTGAAGTCCCTGCTGTCCCTATCAAATTATTCTGAGCGATTTCAAGGTAATGTCCTGCGGCGAAAAGATAGAACCCAAGCTCTGCTTCTATGTCATTAGTTACTATACCTATCCTGAACATCACCAAAACTACTTTCTTTGCAACGCAGTGATTTTTGACTAACAAAGTTTACGATCAATTTTGGTGCTACAAAATGTCAGGTCTGCTCAAGAAAAGAAATTGTGACATGGAAAGTTTTGCTGTTGAAAGACAAGCTTTGGTGCTCGATGAGACTGCCAATCCCTCAGTAGCAAGGCCAGAGCGGACAGGTTATTTTTTATTCCAGCTCCTGTGGACCTCAATCGGCTGGAAATTGCGGATTTTTAGCCAATGATTGGTGGTCTTTTACATAAGATCGGTCGCGCTGCCGGGATCTCTCAGCTATTTGATGCACTATATAAGCCTGTTCCTGGTCGTTTATTGCTCTGTGTTCTGCCGAGAGACCTTATCTCGCCGTTTCATGTCGTCCAACGCTCCTCTGCTTGCGGCGCCGTTGTCTGATTTAGCGGCGACTAGCACAGCTACTACTGCTCATCTCAAAGAGTCGAGACGGCCCTGCCTCTGGCGTATTCTAGCCGTTCAAGCCTGGGCGCAAACAAGCAACGTAATGCCGCGATGACACAAGAAGAAGACAAAAATCGGCCGAAGAAGTTGGAGCGTGTTCAAGGCCTTTTACCAAGACCTAATAGTTCTTTGTGCATGAAAGCCGAACACAATACCAAGCTGAGAGGTCCAGCCGAAGCGTTCAGAGATTCCAAGCCAGATTTTCCCGATCTGCAAGAGTGTCATAGGCCCAAACCCTTTGATCTTTACGTGACGTTGAGCTTCCCGAGTCTCAAGGCTCAAAGCAAAAGGAATTGCAATCTAAACGGATCTGCCCAATTGCCTCTTTCTCCACCCATGACGACGAGGCGACGATAGATCAGTGGTTCAGATACCCATGTCGCAAGCTCTTCAAGTGCAGAAAAGCAGCAAGCAACTTCTCAGAAGCCGTATCTCAATCTTGTGGTTGTCCTCATGCTGTGAGATTTCTGCCTTCTTTCATGTGTAAGAACGGTCCCTCGACGCTGACAATATCTGGTTTGTTTACAGATCTCAAGGCCGTAAGCCGATTCTTTGGCTTTACGAGCCAGCTTTAGACTAGATCACGTATAGCTCCGGGAGAAGGCGACTTTGCATAACAATGACAGTATCCCATCATGGCGACGGATGTATAGCTCGCTGGCAACAAACAGGCGCTAGGCGCAAACTCTCACAGAGGCGATGCGACCAAAGGGGAAGGAAGGTATGCCAAAATCTTGCAACAGCCGGTTTCATTTCCTAAATCCTTTGATTGTGCACACCGTCTCGATGCAGGTGGCAAAATGTGTTTACTTCACTGCGCATCTTCAGCTGTGTGCTCCCGTCCTCACAACATCACTTCGTCTTCCGACATCCTCCCCAGCGCTGTTCAGCAGCGAGACTTTCAATGTGACGCATGAATTTCTCCTGAACTCCTCAAAGGAGCTGGAAAGGTGCAACTGATGCTCGATCGTATATGGAATAAGAGAAAACTTACGTGCCGCAGTATAAAACCACCGAACCCTTGCTACTGCAGACCAGCCAGCTCCTCCCAAATCCTCAAGTTTAACGACTACGGCGCCCAGATCATCGCCGATTACGATGTTTACAGTTCACTGCAGAGCGCCGCGAGGGACGTAACGACACATGCTTCGGAGGAGGTCGTGGGGTGGCGGGAACGGCAGTATGGTTCTGTTGATGTGAGACTGCTACCGCATCCGGGTCCTAGCATGACTTGGGGAATGTGGAAGGAGGCAATCAGGGCCATTGCGCAGTTTGTGACGCATTATCAGTCCTTGGATATGGATTTTGATGTTGTGCAGGCTAGGTTGGTGGTGGGGACGGGAGTTTTGACGGTTGTTTGAGTAGCAGAAGAGGATCAAACACTGCATATTGGAAAAGGGTTCGGATAGCCATGAATACACACAGACCGCTGCTGGATCATTGGAGTGCAGGTGAGGACCCAAGGGGAGTGGCGTTGGAAAAGGTACAGATCCTAAACAATGCGGCGGCATGAGCATTAACGATGAATTATGTCGCTGTTCTAGATTCAAAGTTGCGCAACTCTGGATAAAAATCGCAATCGCGGCGCAAAGAGAAATGGAATCGACGTCCCAGACTGCGGACTTTTTTGACAGCTTGCCCGAAAAGGCTGCAATTCAAGGCAGCACTCATTGTCAATTCAGGGCCAATGTTTGCACAAGGAAGCCTGAATCCCTATTCCTCTCACTTTTCGCAGTCTTGTGATATTCCATGTTGTAGGAATTGAGAGATGCTGGATCTGCTAAGAATAGTAGACAAAGGCGCAGCAGGTAGACGTGGAGCGAGCAAGTCCTCTGCTAGGCACCCAAGGAGGGCTTGAACCGAGCATATCGTAGTTTCAAAGAAGCAATACATGCCGAACAGCCTCAACACAGGCTGGCCTTTGTGCGCAGTCGTAAATCGTTGGTATAAATGTAAGGTATAGCAGAAATGAGGACGACCTCTGGTAAATTGAGCGAAATCGCATCCTGAAAAAGCTAATCCATTTTAGGTAAGGACAAGTTGGATCCAAAACTGGGTCTCTCTCACGCATATTCTGCCATCTCAGTCAGCAACTTCTACATTTTTCAACGAACAACATCAGGCATCAATTCAGAACACAATTTACAACCGTCTTCTGCTCTTCTCCAAACCTCGATCGAATATTCATCGGACCCCCAGGCCACACTCTCGATACGTGGTCCGAAGCTCGCGAATTAGGGGCTTCTGTTCTCAACACTCCGAGCGAGCTGTGCAATGGCTGTAAGCATCTTCTACTCCTCCATCAATTACGCAACGGTCAATCCTGCTCCGAACATACACTGTCGCTGAGGGAGTAGATTCGCTGCAATGACTTTCAACCTGCAGGTGCTGACCGGTGATCCTCAACAGCAATACGGTGGTTACAGCAATGGAGGCGGAGGCGGCTACGGCCAAGCCAATCCCTACGAGCAGACAGGAAACCGATACGAGCAGCAAGAAGGTCGCTACGACCAAGAGTCCAGTAACCCATACGCCCAACAAGCAAGCAACCCCTACGCTTCACAACCCGCTGCGCCACAACAAGCCTATGGAGGGCGACAGCAACAGGGAGGCTACGATACTCGATACGGTCAAGCTCAGACAACGAATGGCGGCAGCTCTACCTACCCAGCCGGTGCGGGTGCGACCGGCGGCGGCTACGGTAAGGTCAATGCTGAGGACAGTGTTGGGACGAGAATTAATGGTCACTAGTTGGAGGAAATGATGTCGAGATGACACCCATGAATGGGCAAGCCGGTGCATACGGAGCGCAACCCAGCCGAGATCCCAATGCGATCTTGAACGAATGCCGAGACATCGACCGGGGCATTGACTCCATCCAACGGAATCTCGAACGCCTTCGCTTCCTCCAGCAGCGAGCCATCGATGACCCAGACGCGAGTCAAGGTACTCAGACCAATCGCGAGCTCGACTCGCTAAGCTCCGACACGATGACACTGTACCGCAGCTTCGCAGCTCGTATCAAGACGATCAAGTCACAAAAGGAGTCTGGAGACCCAAGGAACAAGCCGCAAGTTGGGTTGGTGGACCGCAAGTTGAAGAGTGCCATCAATGAGTATCAAATGGTGGAAAAAGACTTCCGGCACAAATTATCCGCCCAAATGGAACGGCAGTACCGTATCGTCAGACCAGATGCCAGCGATCAGGAGGTTCAAGAGGCTATCCAGGATACCTCGAATAACCAGGTGTTCAGCCAAGCTGTATGCTATTCTATTCTATTGTATCAACTCCAACACTCCGCTAATCCCCTTCTCAGCTACTGTCTCAAAACCGACGCGGTCAATCACAATCAGCACTGCGCGCCGTTCAAGGCAGACACGAGGCCATTCAAAAGATTGAGCGGCAGATGATGGAGCTCGCCCAGCTCTTCCAGGACATGGAAGCCGCAGTCATTACGCAAGAGCCCGCTATACAGAACACAGAAGAGAAGACGGAGAATACGGTGGTCAATCTGGACCAAGGAAATAAACACCTCGATGGAGCTGTCGTCAAGGCAAGATCTGCGAGGAGAAAGAAGTGGATCTGCTTCTGGATTGTTGGTGAGTCTATCTTCGCTGTACCTCCAATTGCTCTCAGGGTTAATTCTAACGCTTCCCAGTGCTCATCGTCATTATCATTGGGGTCGCTGTTGGTGTTGGGGTTGGAGTGACGGTTGGCGGAACCAAAAAGAACACTTGATTGCCATGTCTTTCGGTTGCACGCATTTTCCCAAAAAAATCACATGGCACACCCAACTTCTCCTTTTCATCAGCTGTCATTGGCCTGCGAGCCTCATCGGATTCTTGCGCTGGACCATTGCAGCACCATAAAGGCGTTTCAGACTGCCGGAAGGACGTCTTGGATGGCTGCTTCGTTACTCTTTGATCTTGCGCCTTCACTTCTAGAAAGCCGCGGGCGCTGCTATTATTAATAGCCTACTTTAGATATGTAGGATAGGCGAATGTGGTAATAGAACGTATCAACACATTATACCATGCCTTTGCGATTGGACGGCTGGTTTTGTATCTCTCGATAAACAATGATAATGCATCGAATCTCAGGGTCTTCAACGATTGGACCCTGAATCTTGTTTCTGAGAAGCGGCCCACGCCGATTGGCGCGCTGTCAGATCGCTTAGCGTCCTACCATCCGTGTCTATTCGGTCGAATCCTGAGTTCCATCCTGACCCTGTTTCCGACTCTCAACCTCAGCATATCTTCCTGTACATACATATCCCCCCCCATTAACAGCTTCGCCCACACTGTACGAGTAACCCGTACACAACCAGCCTTCAACAATGTTACGATGGTACCACTCCCCTTTCCCTTCGTCCCCCCAACCTTACGACAAAGACACAATCACTAAATGTCTCGGAATCGCAGGTACCAAACCAAGCTCGCCCGCCGGCCCCTACTCACACAGAGCATCACCACAGCCGTCAGTTGCCCCGATCCTGTCCAATCATATCATGTATCGCCACAGCTTCTGCATTTACTAACCGGAAGACGTACGGCGAGCAGGTACTCTTCGCAACGGGCGATGTGATGGCGCAGCAAGCGGTTGAGCGCGTCGGGCCCTCCAAGCACAACCTCGCCCGCACAGGACGAATGGCCCTATACGGCGGCGGTACATCCCCCCCCCTTCCCCCTTTTTCCCCCCATCCACCCCCCAGCAAACTGACAACCGGCCCGAAACCAAACAGCCGTCTTCGGCCCCGCCGCCACGACCTGGTTCTCCTTCCTCGCGCGCCGGATCAATTTCCCCACGGCGCCGAACCTGACCATCGGCGCGCGCGTGCTGACGGACCAGACGGTGTTCGCGTCGACGAACCTGTTCTGCTTCCTGTCGTCGATGGCCGTGATGGAGGGGACGGACCCGGGCGAGAAGCTGCGGGGGACGTACTGGGAGGCGTTGAAGAAGAACTGGATGGTGTGGCCGGCGGTGCAGGCGGTGAACTTCCGGTTCGTGCCGCTGGAGCACCGCGTCTTGGTGGTGAATGTGGTTAGTTTGGGTGAGTGGGGGCGTTCAATCTGTCAATCAATCGGTCAATCGATCGTTCATCCCCTCGGTGGAATGAAAGGGAATAGGGAAGGGAAGACAAGTGCTAACGCGTGCGTGTCTCTACAGGCTGGAACTGCTACCTCAGCTACGTGAACAGCCAGGGCGGGAAGGAGAAGATAGGAGACGTGCTCGACAAGGAGGAATGAACGAATGAATGAATGAATAAATGACTGCGGCGGTGGTGTAAGCTAGATACCCCTTTTTTGTAATTCTGATCCCTAGAAGCTCGTGTGCTGTATCTTCCTTCTTGCTCACGATGGCGTCGAAACCGTCGCATAGATGCCAGAATTTCCAGCCCCAGTTTTCTTACATATGATCATTCAGGCTCAAACAGAAAAGAAAAGAAAAGGAGAAATCTAAGAGCAGTCCTTGCAGACACGTTCATTTTGGGCAAAGAGCGTGGATGTCTATGTGAACTTGAAACGTCGAGAGGCACGAGAGGGATGAGCATGCCGGTTGTCATGTTCCCGAGTTTAAGATCCGTCAGGTTTGGCACGAACTTCCAAGATGGAGCCAATGGCTACCTGTGGTGGTTTAGGGCTACGAAGCTGGTGATTTGAGCAGCAGGGCATGGTAGAACCGGGGGTTGCCATTGCTTCAAGAACCCCCTAGGAAAGAGTAGCTCAGACCCAGGGGTGAGGAGCTACTGTCATGCATGATGTTATTGAAGCCAGCTTCTGAAGCTATTTATCCACCATCTATTCTATCGCATTATCATCAGTCATATCGGTCCCTGACTCTCACATCGTCATCCCTCATTCCTGCACGTTAGCCGTTGTTGCTTCCTGACCCTCGACTCCCCACCGTGTCTTCTCGTCACCAGCAGCCCATTTTCTCTCCACATAGCCTAGAGTCTCCTTGACCTTGTTTACGGTATCTGAATCACCGGTGTTCTTTCCAACATTGTCGCTGATTTTGATCGCAGGACGGCCGGATGCAGAGGAGATCTTGATGACGATATTGAGAGGTGCGGACTTTGTGCCGGTGGAAAGGTGATTAAAGTCATCTGCGACGGGTCAGCTGGGTCAATGTTTATCCGGACTCTAGATACTCACTTGTCAAGAAAGTCCCAATGCCAAAAGTAGGAATAAAGCCAGCCTCTTCTGCGGCCTGCATGTACTCAAGACACAGCTCGATGTTCAAGGAATCCGAGAACACTATGGTCTTCTTGTCCGTGATACCTTCACTATCATAGAAATCCCGCATCATCTTGACGAACTCCAGAGGATTCCCAGAGTCTTGGCGGACACCTGTGAAAGTCTGAGCGTACGAGCGTGGTGGGTCCACGTTCGTCACATGAAGATGTGGAGGCTGGTCCCCAGAAGGCTTGGTGTCGACCACGGTGTGAGTAGCAGAAATTGCCGGAAGCGGCGCTGACGGCAATTGAGTGTCAACAGTATCGACTTCCGCTTCGGCTACTGTTGGTAAAGACTTTTTGAAAGCTTTGAGAAAGGTAGGCGTGCCGAAGGTGTCCGTCAGTGCTATGCCCAAAACACCTTCGCCGAAGCAGCCGACCCAGTATCTCAAGGCAGTCTCATTGGCGTGTTCGTAATCATCGGTTATGGATGCTATGCCCATGAACCACTCGTGGGCGACAGTGCCAACTGGAGGGACACCGTATCTCATAGCGAAATGAACATTGCTCGTCCCACTCAACTTGCCCTTCCATCCTCGCTCTGAGGCAGTATTGGCCGCCCTCGTCAATCCTTGCATTACCAGGTCGTGAGTGTGGTAATCTCTTCTTCGTCGTGTGCCAAATTCGGAAAACATGCAGCCATTTTCCATCAGCTTGATGCCCTTGGTGTACGCTCTGTGTTCTTGCCCCGTATGACTCCAGTCTCTGTCGCAGAAGCGGAAGTATGCCTCGCTTGTGAGAGCAAGCAGCGGAATCTCATAGAGTATTGTGTGCAACCATAAGCCCCCAATGTCAAAATGTATGTCTCCCAGGTCATGTGCGCTGCCAGTATCTTTGAGAGGTTTGAACAAGACTTTGACTTGTTCAGAAGGCTGTAAGCGGAAGGTAGTGAGGAAGCGTAGGTAGGAGTCGTTGAAGTAGGTGCAAGTACCCTTCAGGTACTGAAGCTCCTCTGGAGAGAGTGCGATGTTTCCTAGTTCTATCATCCAACATCAGCATAGAACATGCAGCCGATTGACCGTATTGACGTACTCTTGACCTGTTCCTCGATCCAATGATAGGCTTCCCTGTTCAGTCGCATGTCCGAAGTCCTATTCGTGAAGGCGTATGTGACCCCTGCTCCATATCAGCGGAAGCTTCGACTACCAAAATGCTAGGCACTCACGAACGTCAGGAAGGTACTTGAGAATGGCGCATTGCATTGTCAGCTTGTAGAGATCGGTATCTAGTAGAGAGAAGATCCCCTCCGGGAGCTCAGTGAGCCCCGCATGGTTGGAGCCCATAGTCTCTGCTCTTGAGCTCAAGTAGCAATAGAAGCTCCAAGCAAAGGACTGTAGGGTATTTGCAGCGAAGTAACATTCAAAGAGGAGGATGACGATTTTTGGTATGGAGTATGAAGGGCAATTGAAGAAAGCACCAAAATAAGAAACGAGAGAGAAAGTCTTGAATGACGACGCCAGGCCAAGCGCCAGCGGAACCCAAGGGAGTGTTATGCGCTAAGATAAGATAGTAGTACTGAACTAGTCCGTTCTTGAACATTTATCACCACCTCTCCACCTTCTCTCGATCTTGCTCTTGCGGTCTATTTGCGTGGATGCGGTTTTTTTGGCAAGAACTTATATCCCTACTTCTACACCCATCCGACGGTACTGCATATGCGATATATTGAACAAGTATTATATGCAATGAGTGACGTCTCTTTCGAGCTGACCTTTGATTCAAGAGCATTAGGCCGTAGTGAAAAGGAAAATCTCTCGTTTTTGGTAGACCTCGACTCGTGGTAGGCTGGCTGTCAAATCAGAATTCTGTTAAACTCAATTGCAAGCGTTTTTGGGATTGGGTGACCATGGGTTTTACCGTTCCAAGAGCATGTTATCCAGGGATACTTCACCAGACGCTCGGCCTTGACCATGGACCAACCTTTTTCAAGCTTTCCAAAACCATGCTTCAATTCCATATCCATCTCATTTTTGCGCTTGAAATGTCTGCACTGCAAATTCTGCATTGCCCTCAAATCAACTCTCTCGTAAGACGTGGCAATTGCCTACTCCGGTTACGAAGGCCGTTGATTGCAAGAAAATTTCGACTGCGCTGCTTGCCTCAACTATATATATTGTCCGTCCATTCCTCTCTCTCTGTCTCTCGTGTCTTTCTCTCATCACAATCTTCCCACATCTAGTCTCCAGCCTCAGACCTCTCGATCCTACACGAGATCATTATGAAGCTTTCAATCTTCCCTCCAGTTGTGGCCGTTCTCATTACAGGATGCTTCGCCCTTCCTGCTCTTCTACCAACTTCAACCCATGTCTCAGCCTCACAGGATCCCTCGCCTCCAAGGCCTTTTCCAGCTGGCCGCATCGTGGAAGTAAATGATCCTTCACCACCGCGACCCTTTCCCAAGTACGCTTTGGAAGGGGGAAGCCCACTCGAGGAGAGGGACCCATCAGCTCTGTCACGCTTCCCAACGGACGGAGAGAATGAGGCTCACGACCCCTCTCCTCCCCGACCCTTCCCAGCTGGTCGCATCGTCGAAGTGAAGTACCCCTCACCACCACTGGAGGAAAGGGACCCTTCAGCACCACACAAGCTGGTGGAAATATACACGGCAGCCAGTGATCCATCACCTCCAAGACCCTTTCCCAAATACCCACTGGACGGAGGAAACCCACTGGAGGAGAGGGATCCACTCTCGCGCTTCCCAACTGGTGAAGAAAAGGAAGCCGCCGACCCCTCACCACCCAGACCATTCCCCGCTGGTCGTGTCATAGAAGTGAAGGAACCTTCACCAAGCGACACAATCGGACCCCGCTCCCCATCACCTCTCCTCCGCACCGCTGAAGGCTCGGCAGCCGAAGCCAACGACCCCTCCCCACCCCGACCCTTCCCAGCCGGTCGCGTCGTAGAGGTGAAAGACCCTTCACCAAGCGACGCAGTCGAACCTCGCTCCCCATCACCTCTCCTCCGCAAAACCTCAGGCTCCGGAGCCGAAGCCGAAGCCAACGACCCCTCCCCACCACGACCCTTCCCCGCCGGCCACCCCGTGGACATCGACCCACGAGGCGAAGACCCCCAGCTCCCTCCCCACCGTGGCCACGGCGGTTACTTCCCACCGTCGAACCCACCCGTCTCCGACCCCACCGCCCCAGCCATGGAAGCCGACCGTGCCAACGCCGATCTCGACCCGGACTGCGCACGCGGCAAATGCCCCCTCAACAGGCCCGACTGCTGTCGCCCTCACGCCCAGCACGGACCCCCAAACATCCTCTCGCGCATCCCCCGTCCCGCCTCACCCACACCCACACCCCGCGACCAAGGCCACCCGATCCCCCCACACCACCTCCCCTGCACGGCGACCATCACCTCGTTCCGCCACTTCCGCCCCCTGAACGGACCCGGCGCCGCATCGACCGCCTACGGCGCCACCGTCACGCTGCCCCACGAGCTGGACTGCGGGGCGTGCCGCGCGCTGACGGTGACGACGGTGCACATCGGCAACGGGCCGGCCGTCCGGACGTCCGGGCCCGCGCCCACGGTGACGGTGTCGGCGACGACGACGGAGTACGTGCCGGTGTGCAGCCCGTTTGTTCTTTTGTGAGGGGTGTTGGTTTCGTTCCTTCGTTCGTCGGGTCAGGGTTTGAGATTTGGGATTGGGGTGCGCTGTTTCATTGGGAGAGTTTTCTGGGTGGGCATGTGCCTAGGCGGAGGCTTTGGTGGTCAAGTGTCACGGTGCGTGGCTCATGGGCCGGGTAGGCTCTAGGGCTTCTGGGCGCGTGGATTCATTCAGAGAGGGGCTCGATAGACCGATACTTGCATTCTTTTGAATGTTGTGGTCATGTCGAGTGCGACTTTTATTTACATTCTTTCTTTTGTTTCTTTCTTTTCGTATTCGAATGGACAGACAGACTTGTATAGTAGTAGGTACGAACATTAATATGTCTGTCCCACCGAAGAGAAACGGACAATGGATGCCAACGAGACATTCCCCTTTTCTTTCTTCCAACGTTTCCAAACCTTCATCACTGTTCCTTCATCAATATCCATAATCTCGCGGTAGTAATGTTCGTCATACGCATCCTCTCCGAGTCCATCACAGTATCTGTCATATTTTCTGACAGCCATCCAACCCTTGCCTCATCAAACTAATTATAGCCCATCTGCCATCCGCAACGCTCTCACCACCTGCTCAAAGAACACCTTCGCGACAATCGGAGGCACGGCGTTCCCAATCTGTCTTCTCTCCCCTCGAAGGAACCGGTGTTCGAGTGGGAAACCCTGCAGGCACGCCAACTCTCGTACCGTGAAACACCGCGTCCCCGATGGATGATAGTTAACGCTGCCGCTGCATGTAATCGTATTCCTAAGCGGCAGGTTACCAGAGTAGCGAGGTTTCTTCAACTTGGTCATTAGATGAGGGCTATGGTTTGCGAAGTCGTGTGGGATACGACCGATCGCGTCGTACACCGTTGTGAACTTGGAGCGATGGGGGAAGCGATCGCAGTCTTCTGCTCTGCAGTGTGTAGGCTCAGGGAAGGCTGGGAGCGTTTCGCCGGGGCTAAGAAATCACGCAGTCAGTAATTGGATTCTGGAATTGTGTGAATGCTGGAAATTACCAGGATGCGAAGAGGATTAGCCTCCTCCTAGGCTGTGGTAAGCCAAAGTCCAGAAGATTGAAGACTTTCCACCGGACGCTGAAGCCAAGCTTGCTGAACATTTGAATCATGGTGTTGAACCATTCAACGTTGACCAGAGTGCGAGTTAGGCCAAAGGTCTCTTCTAATGTCACGATTCGTGGCCGTGTCTTCTTGAGCAACTCCTCGGTGGCCAGGAACGTTGCCTCATTCCCTTCATCATTCGGTCCCGGCCGAGTGTGTGCAGGTGAGAACGTCTGGCATGGGGGGGATAGATGGAGGATATCGACCTTGTACTCTTCGTTGATGGCGGTGGCAAAGTCGCTTGCTGCGATGCCGTCACAGCGAGCATGAGGAAAGTTTGCATGGTAGGCAGCGATGGCATGAGGGTCGTGATCGAAGCCCCATTCAACGCGGAGCCCTGCACCATAGGCTCCTCGTGAAGCTCCGCCACCACCACAGAATCCATCTCCGAAAGTGTATCGTCGTCGTCGTTCTCGATTCTCGGGTATGTCAGTCGAACGGTTTGGAGTGTGAAATCCCAAGGGATCGATGAAGAAACATCTCATCCGCTCCGTACCATCAAAAGCTTCTTCTGTGTCAAGCCATCTTGCGCAATCTCCTCCCTTGGTTGTAAGCCCTCGATAATCGTCTCTCAACTGACACTGCGAAATAGCGCATCCTTCATCTGACTCAACGTCGGTCATCCTTCTCAAGAATCCCTCATTCTTGTTGATCTTCACATAGTTCCACCGACAGACTAGTCGACAGTGGTCATTCATGTACTCTTTGCTCAAGCTGAGGCTCTCCGGATCAGTTTCGCGAAAGCTTAGAGCGGGGAACTGCTGATTGGTTTTGATGAGTTCGCGAATTTTGACCACGGCAGCAAGGTTGATGGTTTCGATACTCTGTTCAGCAATGTCTCGGGAATCGTTTGGATCATAATTTGCCATCATGGTGACTTCGTTCTTCCTAAACTCAAGGACCCCCTCCAAGGACTTATTCCTTTGGAACCGAAAGCCTTTTAAGAGGACCTCACCTGTTCTGCAATCTTCTAACAGGGCTCTGATCCTAAGAAAAGCTCCATCCGCCATCTCAACGGTCTTGCCGGGCTTCAAGGTCTGTCCGTTGTAGCTAAGTGTCTGTAGTACTCTATGATTGTCCAGGAAGCTCTCGATCGTAATCGCACCGGACCTGCGATTTTGTTTGATCGAAGTAATGCGGCGGAAGTTGCCGTCTTGTCTCTGAATCGTTCTGCCGACCTCGAAAGTACGGCCGTTCTGCGTATACGTCTGTAACTCCCGGAATCTCGCAGCCTGAATTCTGGCTTGACGTCGATTTCGACGAGCCTCGGATACTGGCGGTACGACTCGTTCAACAATCTCGTCACCAAGGAGTGTGTCATCGCTGTCGTTGCCGCTGTCGTCCTCTAAGTTGATAGGGTTGGGGTTTCGGCGGACAAAGCCTGCAGGCAAAGGGTCTACTTCGTCCATGTCCACATCCATATCTGAAGCGAAATTTTCCGGCGGTGAGTTGGTGTCCTCTGTGTCCACCCACGTCTAAGTCAACAGATAGTTTGATGATAAATTAAGGTACGTCGATATAAAGTAGTAATGGTGGTGAGGATAGATGTGTGTGAAGACAATTTGACAGAAAGATGCCGAAGGATGTCGAATAGTAGATGCTTCGATCAAGAAGTGAGGTTTGGAACGATGAGGGCGGAAGTCAGATCTGGGCGATTGTATGAGCATTCCTCACTTCACTTCATGTTACTTTAGATTCAACTAGTAGATCCAGATGGAGTCTGATCCATCCGGAAATCCACCTTCCATCGTTCCACTCTATCATTTGGATTGACGCGATGGTTGCCTCTGCTTTGACTGCTTGTCGTTATTGTAAATCCAAGATTTTTTCCCTTCAATCGGCTGGAGAAAGCCATCGACATGGACTCCCCCTACCATTACACCCTCAAACCTGTTGCTGGAGCCTTCTCCTGCTCGGCAAGTGTTACTCTGCCTACTCTCACCAGAGACAATGGGAGAAGCATCTGGTAGATACAAGTGCTCTTCGTGAACCTCCTTACCCTCCTGAAGAGTTCTGAACTTGATACCTTCCCCAAAAAGCGTGGCACATCGGGCAGTAGCACTGCCCACCAGGTTCTGGTGCCAACCAGTCATAGAAGCAACGCCCAGCACATCGCTCCAATCTCGAAGACCTAGACGCCCCTTACGGTCACGAAAATTCTGACTCCGCGATCTGCGCGAAGAAGACCTGGTGGGTAGAACTTTGCCTTTCGAGCCAGATTTCTTTCTGCTAGGACGGTAATGGTCGGAGTCGGAGTCGGAGCCAGGATGGTTTGGCGTGTCATGACTTGCTCCTGCGTCTTCATCAGGTTTTGATGCTTCCCGCTTCCTTTTCGGAGGCCTGCCTCTCGATGTTGACCGCTCGCTTGTTTGGCTCTGAGACTCAATGTCAGAGTCCTCAACAAGTAGATAGGTACTCCTAGCATGATGCAGTCCCATGAGTAGATCATCCAGCTTGGTCATCATGTGCTGTACTGTCGCCTGTAGTATCTCGCTTGCTTGTTGGTCATCAGCCATGACGACGGGCTTCTGGTCGGGGATCTCATGGTCTTCTTTGGCACTGAATTTCCCGTTGGAATCCCTTCCCCGGCCTTGATACTGAAGTCCTTGAGATGTAGTAATCGTCGCCGATTGTGGCTCACCCTCCCACAGCCGATCATGAAACCGTCCTTTAGCTTTCCTTAAGACTTGAGCAACGAGCATTTCCTGTAGATGCTGACCTGGTCTCTTTGGTTTAATGTGGTGCAGCTCGGAAGGAACAGCGTCTTCTTCCCAGCGCCTTTCGTCATGCTCTCTCGGAACAATACCAGGCGGTAAAGGCCAAGCAGTCCAAACGTTGGGTGGGATCCATTTTGACCCTTCACTGGCTTCCCTCAAATCTTCTGAGGTTCGAACTCGCCGGCCTAGATCCCGAGTGCGACTCCTCTGTCGAAGCTTGAAAGAGTTGTACAGATGGATGCTAAGATCCTTTGCTTGCAGTTGATCAAGACTGGCTGCTAGGTCCCTCTCCGGAGCAGTCCCATTCCGCCAAGTCGAGGACGGTCCACGGAATTTGTTTGCGCGGGACGGCAGAGATGTGGAGTCCTGAGAACCCTCGTCCAAGAAGTCCTGACGCTCGTCTTCTGCAACAGGTTGGTAGGCTCCAGAACCGTCCCCAACGCTAAAACCTCTTTGGGACGATTGCTGTATGTCAGGCTTGTGATCGGATGGCGCATCAGACAGGTAGTCGCTTGCCAAGTCAATTTCTTCATTCTCCGCGGAGAGTTGGTCAGCCGCTTGCTGAGCTGATTGGAGTGGCGGAGAGGAAGGAAGTTGCGCATCGTCCTCTTCAGTAGACGACATTGTGTATCTGAGAGAAGCTTCGGGGGCTCTAATACGAGAACATAGCTCGCATCGCGTAGCCTGTCTGCGCAGTGATCACATTGATGCTGCGGGGAAGACTTGTCACTTTAGCGGACGCGTGCAACTAACTGGATCGTTGACGACTATTGTAACGACATCTAGGACCTGATTTCTCCAGGGAATTACTACGTTTCAACAGGTGTTGTTCGTCTGCAATTATTATTGGAAACCGTGTCTGGTCCTTGGCGTACAGGAACTACTCGTTCAAAAGTCTACGAAATGAATGAATCTGCTGTCCCAGGAAAGTGCAATACCATGGGCCTCCACCCCCAAACTGTGTATGAGTATGTGTGCAGGAGGCTCCCTCTACACACCAAACCCTCCAAGCAACCTGGCAACCATACCGGTCCTATGGCTTTGCTGGCTGATATCACAAAATTGAAGCAAAGACTGCCCAGTCGGGGAGCTTAACCTCTTTTCGACGGAGCGCACATTGAGATCAATGTAAAGCGCAGTCAGAAAAGGTGGTAGCTTAGAGGGAATTAATTAGGTACAACACACTATGAGAATTTTCAGACGCTGCATTATTGTATCCTCTTCTTGCCCTCTTCGAGATGACCCAATCGGACGTTACTTGCACCACGCTCACGAGGCACAAAGCTCCCTATCACTTTGTCTTTCATAACGCTACCCATAGTCTCTTGATAGCCTTCTTGAGCCCAACGAGGGGTGTTGAGCTTTGGCCAATTGACCTGAAAAGATACGGGGTCAGTAGGCTCCGGCTTGGGGGCTTCGGCTACTTACGTATAGCATGCCATGGGACCAAATGAAATGCCCACACCAGCCACCAATGACCATCCACAACAAAGCGAACACACGCAAAGGCCAAACAGTCGTTTCTGGTTGGGTTCTTGTCAGGGAAGTAACCATGACCAGGAAGAAGCTAGCAGCGAACAGATATGGTATGGCTTGAATCAAGATTGGTCTTCGATCCCTGAAGACAAGGTTGGTATCAGTGATGGACGTCGAAGGCAGATATGCGCCTAGAAACAGATCAAATGCATCCTGACGTGGCCCGTCTCCGAAGTTGTTTTTGACATAGCGAGTGATGGAGTTGTTCATATCTTGAGCCATCCCAGCCCTTGTCCTCTCGCCAGTGCGCGTGAAGTCTGTCTTAAGAGCTCCAGTCCCGGAGTATGATTTTGACACGACATCAGCATTGTCTGCCCAAATGTTTCGGAATAAGTCCTGGAACGACTTGTCGTCATCAGCAGACTCCCCTGGCTTCAGAGCACCAACGTCAGTCAGTTGCCGCGTCAAAGTCCAGCGACCGAGCATTGTTTGAACGACGTTCGTCCGGTCTAAGCAATCCATGCAGTTCGTTCGAACCACCGCTGTTTGCCGATTTCGTACCTCCAGACGGCCCTGTGCATCCGCCGGCATGTCCACACCGCGAAAATACTGGCCCTCACTGAGACCCTGCTTTAACTGATCAAGCAGTAACTGGGCGCGATGCCACTTCAGTCCCTTGGTCTCGTTGTGAAAATCGAAGTAAACATAATGAAGTCGGTCGTACTTCTGATTCTTCTGGCTAGCCTCCACGACATGTATCTTCTCCTCCGTAACGTAGTCTGCCTGCGTTGCTTCATCTGGCGAGGAGACCAGAATTCGTACCATCTGCTCGTAGGCTTTCTTGACTCGATCTTCACGACCTTTTTGGTTGACGAGGTTGACAAGGTAGTTGTCACCATACAAGCTTATTTGCTCGTTAAAGTGGTGCCGTGCAGCCTCCACAGCTGTCTCTACCCCGCGTATTTGAAGATTCGGGACGTATTTCAACGAATTCACCTCTGCCCAGTAGACCGGTACGCTTCCCCTTGTTTGGACATAAGACATGACTTGTGTGTCATAACCTCCACTTCCTCCCACTTTGCCGTTCTGCATACCTTCACCACCAGCGAAGCCTCCTAGATCTCCTGTCTCGTCGTTCAGGATCACAATCTGCTCCGTCTCATTGAAGTTCGCAACATGCCCTTGATCATCAATGCCACGAGTAAGATAGCGAGTCCCGGCTCTGTACCTGGATCTTCTTGTGATTAGTGTAAACGTCAACGGAGTTGCCTTGACGCGGGTTTGTGTGATTCTCAGCATTCCGAACATGACAGGAAGGATGAAGGGGTCGGCTCCAGCCTGCTGGCCTCCACGGAGTCCAGAACCACTTCCTGCACCATTCGAGAAGTCTATGAGGTCTGACTGAATAAACTTGTTCCAGAAGAAGCGGTCGTCTGCTCTCTTCCATATTGGCTGTGAGGGATTTGATTGGGCTTGACGTTGAAAGCTGTTGGTGATGTCGAAGGAGTATGAGAAATACATGGGTCCTGTCTTCAGCAGAGTTTTAAGTAGGCTGAGGTAGGTGTCTTCATCTGGATCATGGAGTGCGCGCTCGCGCAGTGGAAGGAATTCCGTGGAGATGACTTTGTAGACCATGTGCCCTTTCAGGCGACCCATTGGCTGTGCTTTTGTGATTACTATTATGTACTTGTCTGCGGTTCTATCAGCACCGTCTTTTGCCTTAGAAGCAAGACCGATTCACCTAATCTCAGCTTGATCATGCCGAGTATGCCCGCAATACTCGACACCCTTTTGGCGCCCAACAGCGCACCATCATTGAGTCGTAAATCTCCAGAGGGGCGTTCGACTACCAGCGTCTGGGCCGAAGGAGAGGAAGGAGACGTGAAGGCGTAATGTGAGGAAGAGGCATGGACGTTAATGTCTCTGAAAGGAATTAGGCTACGCATTGTGGAAGTCGGTCGTCCGTGAAGCGGAAGTGTTTCGGAGTAAAGAGAAGAAGCTACTTCTCAAAAAGCTGAGAAGGAGGCTTGATCGCTATTGTGTATCATCGTGGACGTATTCGGTGCGGTGGTTGCGAGGGTGAAGCTGCCGCGCAGAGTCGCAGAGTTGCAGGTCTTGGCAGAATCAGCCCTACAGACCTCGTCATTTGATGGTCACGCTAAGGCACCACCCGTTCTTGCCTTTCGAAGGCCTCCATTGTCTCCATTTTCGAGCTTCCTAAGACTTTAAGACGTCCCTTCAGCCGCATTTAGAACTGTAATATTTGATACTATCTAAGACCTACCACAAAGTCCCGGCAACATGTCATCCCGGGTCTCCACTGGCGCCCGGCCAGGAGCTCGGTTTGCCCAATTCAAGCTTGTTTTGCTTGGTCCGTACATCCAGCCACTTGCTGCTCCATTCAAAGACTGACCATGATGTAGGAGAGTCTGCAGTAGGAAAGGTTGCTACTTCATTTTGAGCCACATCTAGCACACAGAAAGCTGACGCTTGTCCATTAGAGTTCTCTTGTCCTGAGATTTGTCAAGGTCAGTTAACCAACAGCTGGTTCTTCTGCCGCCACAACGAAATCGAGGTGCGGAATGATTGCTGATTCGTCTCAAGGATCAATTCGATGACTACAGAGAATCTACTATCGGAGCTGCCTTCCTCACACAGACCATCTCCCTCGACGACGCCACGACTGTCAAGTTCGAAATATGGGATACGGCAGGCCAAGAGAGATACAAGTCGCTTGCACCGATGTACTATAGGAACGCAAACTGTGCAGTCGTGGTTTACGATATCACACAAGCTGTATATGCCCTGCGCGAAGTCCGCCCAAGCCCTGCTAATAGGAAGGTAGTCGTCCCTGGATAAGGCAAAGTCATGGGTAAAAGAGCTCCAAAGGCAGGCAAATGAGAACATCATTATCGCTCTAGCAGGGAACAAATCAGACCTTGTTGCTGAACACCCAGACAAGCGTGCTATCACAACAGCAGACGCCGAAGCATACGCACGGGAGGCTGGGCTGCTGTTTTTTGAGACATCAGCAAAGACGGCGGAGAATGTGCGAGAGCTGTTCACGGCCATTGCACGAAAGTTGCCTCTTGAACAAGCTGGAAATCGCGGTATGAGGGCGAATCCACGACAAGGGGTTGATCTGAGACCCGAGGCGCCTGGGACACAAGGTGGTGGAGCTTGCAATTGTTAGACGACTGTTGTGACGCTGCAATACGATCGATAAGTCACAGTAGAATGATGCGGAGGTTCAGTGGACTCGTCTTCAGGCGAGACGGTCTCGGATCGAGTGGAGGAGAAGTGCGAGCTTCGTTGAGATGATTGCTGAATCTTGAGCGAGTCCTTGGAGTCGGCGTTTCTGGCATGCTCTGCTCTCATGGCGTCTGTCGTAGGCGCATATTGATGTCGTCGGTGCCGCATGGACCCTCTGTACCAACTAGAATCTTGACAGAACTTGTGCATCAAGGACAAGCACAGTATGCAAATTTCACCGACACAGTTACTGCCTCTCCGCATTGTCTCTTATCTATTCAGCGAATGTTGTTTTCTGAAATATGATAGGGTTTTGTTTCAAGTGTGGCCACATTCTGAATCATTTGTATCTGGCTCGTGGATCTGTATTTGCGAATATGGAGCTATGGAGCGCCGTAGATTAGCTCACCCGAAGCCCAAAGGTTTGCCTCCGAAAGCTGCAACGCCAACGACAACTTTTGCGTTCGGAAATCACACGACACAAACATTACCATCCATACTCAGCTCTGCCACTTGTGAATTCTGGCGCCCATACCGTCCTGCATTCTTTGTATATGCCTGAGCTTCTCTCATGATCTTTCAGCATGTTCATCGTTAACTGGTGTAAGCTGCCACCTAGCTTTTTTTTACTGCAACTGGATGGCCTGCTCCCCCTCTCTCTTCTGCCTACCTGCGATACAAGAGCTGACTCTTTGTTTGCTGCGGTAGTCTGGGACGTTCTCGCCTCTCTGGGACTCCTCAATAAGCATGCCAAACTCCTCTTTCTCGGCCTAGATAACGCGGGTAAGACCACGTTGCTACATATGTTAAAGGTACGTCCTTCCGTATGGCTCTCATTCGCTGTCGGGCCGATCAGCACGAGCTCGACAGGAGTGGACAAGCTTGAATTCTCTCGCTGACAGTAAACGTAGAATGACCGAGTCGCCATCCTACAACCTACTCTACATCCCAGTATGCTCCATTACGCCTACTATTGGCTCCCTACCGCATACTGACCCCTTCAGCCTCCGAAGAGCTCGCAATAGGCAATTGCCGATTCACAACCTTCGATCTCGGTGGCCATCAACAAGGTGCGTTTTGCGTCGCTGATGCCACTTTGACTGATGGCACTGGGGTCACGAACTGAACACTTCTCTTTTTCTAGCCCGTCGTTTGTGGAAAGATTACTTCCCCGAAGTCTCCGGGATCGTGTTCCTCGTCGACGCAAAAGATCACGAACGCTTCGCGGAGTCGAAAGCCGAGCTCGATGCCCTCCTTGCAATGGAAGAGCTGAGCAAGGTCCCATTCTGTATCCTTGGGAATAAAATTGATCACCCAGATGCTATCAGCGAGGAGGACCTTAGGCATCAGCTGGGCATGTGGCAGACGACAGGAAAGGGTAAGGTGCCGTTGGAGGGTGTGAGGCCGATTGAGGTCTTCATGTGCAGTGTTGTTATGCGGCAAGGTGAGTGTACAAGACAAAGGACGAGCGGAGATAAAGCTGACTCTTTATCAGGGTATTACGAAGCTTTCCGTTGGCTGTCCAACTACGTCTAAGCTAAATGTCCTCTGCAACAACAGTCAAAGATAGACGAGGGGTGTTAAAGCCAAGCGATACCCAAAGACTGCAAGATAAATGGATCCATTTTTGATTCGTTGAAGTATTCATGCAAGAATCCTCCAGCGAAAACCCGTAGCGAATGTACAATTCAATTTCACCACTGTCTAATCACCACAGTATAGAACTTTAAGACACTTTTTTCCCAGCTTCAAGAGCGTCGGCCCTCTTTAGCCCCCTCCAAAGGCATCAAGATCAACAACGTATGCCACCTATGGTACTGAGGTGCCGCAATAAAGACCCGAGATCTTGAAATATTGGCGCTAGTACTCGTAGGATTGACCGACTTTCCGGTATCCGATGTAAAGCCGGAGCTGGGGCAACTTTTCGCGCGCACGGAATTTCTCGACATCAGCTTTCAACTTTCTACTCTCGGAATTTGACATAGTTTGTCATATCAGTGCTTACACCATGGGAAGAATAAAGAAGAAAGGTAAGATTGCTCACATTGGCTGAGTGACTTGACTTTCGTTGACAAGGCTCGCAGGAACGGCTGGTCAAGCCAAGAATTTCATTACCAGGTGTGTGCATGTTTGATAGCTTCTCTCCGAGATGTAGTAGCTGACTTTCGCCAGGACTCAGGCAGTGCGTAAGCTTCAAGTATCGCTACCAGACTTCCGACGCCTATGCATCTACAAGGGTGTGCAATCGTCAAATATCTGTATCAAAGGCATACCTGACAAATGTGCAGGCATATATCCTCGAGAACCTAGAAGCAAGAAGAAGGCTTCCAAATCTTCCACTCCCTCTACCACCTTCTACTATACGCGAGACATTCAGTACCTCCTACATGAGCCTCTCCTCGCCAAGTTCAGAGACCATAAAGCGCTGGCAAAGAAGATCTCACGGCATCTAGGTCGAGGCGAGGTTGGAGATGCTGCACGTTTGGAAAAGAAAGGAGCGACGAAGCTCTCGCTTGATCATATCATCAAGGACAGATACCCGACGGTAAGCTTTCCAAATGGAGCACGGAATCTTAGACTCCGGCTGGTGGAATGTCGCTAATCGTACCTGGTATTTCAGTTTGTCGACGCTCTCCGCGACCTCGACGATGCATTGTCCCTGCTGTTCCTCTTCGCCAACTTGCCATCCACGTCCACTGTCCCACCTAAAACCATAGCTCTTTGTCAAAGATTATGCCTCGAGTTCGAACACTACTTGATCACAACAAACTCGCTGCGGAAATCATTCCTTTCTATCAAAGGCATTTACTACCAAGCCACGATACAGGGCCAAGATATACTATGGCTGGTGCCATATAAATTCGTACAGCGAGTGACCGGGGATGTGGATTTCAGAATAATGGGTACGTTTGTGGAATTCTACACGACTCTGCTCGGCTTTGTCAACTTCCGATTGTACACGACTATTGGTCTTATCTATCCTCCAAGGTTCAATGCGAAGAGTTATGAGCAAGGAGGCGAGTTGGATGCAATTGTTCTAGAGGGAAGGGGCATTGAAGAGCCCAAACAGATCGAGTCGTTTAAGGGACATGTCAATGGTGAAGTGGACGGAGGGACGGTGCCAACAAAAACGAATGAAGAAATCCAAAAGCAGATTGCTACCATCAAGGAGGGTCCAAACGCAGAGCTGGACGTTTTAGAAGGCCAAGACCAATACCAGGCTTTAGACCAGGAAATGAACGACGCTATTGATACCTTCGAGACCACTGGAGACGACGCAGATGTGCTCCCACAGCCCCAAGCCGGCGGCAATGAAGCTGGCTCACTCTTCGCACCATTCACATTCTTCCTGTCTCGAGAGACACCTCGGCAGCCACTCGAATTCATTCTTCGTGCTTTTGGTTGTAAGCGAATAGGTTGGGATGCCATTCTGGGCGATGGCGCCTTCACGACCAACGAAGCCGATCCAACCATCACGCATCAAATAGTCGACCGTCCGCCCATGGCAAGCCTTCCCGAAGAGCTGCAAGTCTCCGAGAGTCCTTCAGATCCACCGCCCACAACCGTCGTGAGGCCTGGGTACCGAGTACCCGGCCGAACATTAGTTCAGCCTCAGTGGGTATGGGACTGCATCAACCAACTCAAGCTTCTGCGACCTGATCTGTACGCACCGGGAGCGACCCTACCTCCACACCTTAGTCCATGGGTCAAGCCGACAAAGGGCGCCTACGACCCGAGCGCGCCTTTAGCGGAGCAGGAACGCGAAGGCGAAGCAGAGGAAGCTGAAGGCTTCTCCGACGACGAAGACGAAGAAGCGCAGGAGGAGGAGGTGGAGAAATCCGACGACGCTGCCGCAGACGGCGTAGCACTCGCCCCCTCGGCATCGACACCAGCAACAGCCGATCTCCAAGACGACCACGGCATGACCATCGCCGGCAGCGAGTCCGAATCCGAGCCCGCCTCCGAAGCCGACTCCTTCGCAGGTTTCGACTCCGCCCCAGAATCCGACACCGACCCGACCCTCACGCAGCACCAACGCGAACTCGAAGCCGAAGCCGCTGGCCTCAACTTCTCCGAAACGCTGACCAAAGCCAACGGGCAGCCCGTAAAGGGGATCTTGAAAGGCAGTGGTAAAGGAGACGAGGCGCGGAAGAAGGCGGCGAAGAGACGGAGGGAGGAGGAAGAGGAGTTGGAGAGGAGGAAGATGATGATGGGGCGGAAGAAGCGGAAGGTGTTGGACAAGATGTTGTATTCGAACCGGCAGAAGGAGGGGGAGGCGGAGGCGTTGAGGGCGAAGAGGAGGAAAATTGAGGCTAGGAGGGGTTAGGGCAGGGGAGAGATTGGCTCCACTGAGTGCTGTGAACAATGCATTTGACAGCGTGAGCTAAGCCGGATATCTTTGTTGCGAAAAAAGTAGAATTCTTTTGCATGTTGAGTGCAAAATTGCCTGATGATACATGACTCTATCTAAGCCTTGCCCGTCTCCAAAACCTCTAGGAATCCCCCAACCAGATGCACGCTTCCCGTCACCAGCACCATCACCTCTCCCTCCGCATCCCCCTTTTCCACCCCTGCAACATCCTTACACCACCCCACCGCCTCTTCAATACTCAGCTTCACCTCGACTATGGTCTGAGGATCAACCCCCCTCCACGTCTCCGCTAAGCCTCTTTGCACATCCAGCTTTTCAGCGGCTGCAGCGCTAGTATTCATACTCATAAGATCAGGCCTGTACCCCTCCTCCCTGAAGGTCATGTTGGTGCAGAAAACCGCATGTGTAAAAGGTTGCTCGTCTTGTAGAGCGGAGGCGAGGGTGCGGTGGAGAGCTTTGGCGAGCGCGTTGGCGTCGCGGGTTTGTTGGTTGAAGAGGAGGATGCGCGTCCGTTTCCGCGATCGGGCGGGAGGGATTTGAGAAGCGAACCAGGAGCCTGCGACTTCGATGCTCTCGAGCGTGTGGCCGCCGTCTATGTGCCACGCGATGTTCTTCTCGCGGCGGGTTTCGCAGCGGCCGGGCCAGCGCACCTCTTCGAGGCCGCGGATGAATTCTGGAGGAAGCATGTCGTCTTGGCGCTTGCGATTTTCTTGGCCGAGAGCCACGAGGTGGGCATCCGCGATGGCCACAGCGAGGCTGGCGTTGATCTTTTGGAAGTCGGCGGCCAGCCCAAGCTTGACATCCTCAAGTAAAGGGTTTCTGCCGACCACATGGAGCTTTGTAGGGACCTCATCCGCACGCTTTTGGAGAACCTCGATGGCAGCTGGAGGCTGAGGAGCTGTAAAACAAGGAGCGCTGGCCTTCATTATGCCCCCCTTATGCCACGCAATTTCTTCAACTGTGTTCCCCAGCATAGCCGTGTGATCGATTCCCAAACTCGTGATGCCAGTGACGGTAGGCTTGACGAGGACGTTTGTGCTATCGTATTCCCCGCCAATGCCGCATTCAGTGATTGCGGTATCGACGCCCTCGCTCATGTACGTATGATATGCCATGAGCGTCAAGAACCTAAAGTAGCCCGGCTTCGCGGTTGTATCTGGCGGCTCGCCTTTGGCCCTTGCTGCCTCCTCTAATCGGTCCCATGTCTCGAAGAAATATCTAGCAAAGGCTTCTTCCGACAGAGGCTGGTTGTTGATCTGGATGCGCTCACGAACATATCGGAGGTGTGGTGAGGTGTAGAGACCGATTTTACGGAGCAGTGGTCTTTCGGGCTTCCGGGTAGAGGGGAAGCGATATTGACCCAGCATAGAAGAGATGAACGCACTGGTCGAACCCTTGCCTTTGGTCCCGGCAATGTGTATAGCATTCAGCCGGTTGAAATCCGAAGGCTGTCTTCCGTCTCAGTTTGGCTGCGTCTGCGGGCGATCCTATTTGTTGTAGCAGTGGAGGCTCGCACCTCATATCCGATCCTGCGGCACCACTCTACCATCTCAGGTATAGAGTTCTTGTTCATGCCCTTGCCAGAATTCCTGATGGCGTCGACAATAGCGAAATTAGTCTGCAACGTATTCAAGGCAGCGACGGCGTCCTGTGGTATTGGTAAGTCGTAGTATGGAAGGGAGGAGCGGTTGCTGGCATACTGCGTAAGTGCGGCTTGCCATGGTTGCGGATGCCGCAAAGAGGCGCCTTGTTTGGGGAAGAATTTTGTAGAGGATGAGCGACAAAGTTGGCGGCAAGAGGCATGATACCGTATGGGCTGTCAAGTAATATACTGGGTATTGTATTATTGTATACCAGAGAGGGAAGGGGTCATTGGGCAAGCTAACCCGGTCTTGGACTTAGTTTCTACAGCACTCCAGGTAAGATACATGTACATTTCCGTCATTCTTTTACAGTACTTTACTTGATCACCATCTTTGCCATTCGTATTTACTAGTCAGCCACATGGCTTTGATATCTCATCGATTCTGACCCTGAGGAATCCCATCGGCGTACCATACTCGGCGGCTTCCTTAGATGTGATCCGCAACTAACAATTCGAGAATTCCGCTTCCATGATGATGATCGGCGGCTGCATTATTATTGTTAAATGTAATTGGTCTGCAGGTCTAATCATTTATGCACTTTATTGGGCTGCACATTTCGCACGCCTTTGCGTGCCGTTGTCGTGTGTGCATCAGCGAAAGAGATCATCAAATCGGTAGGCCTTGGAATGTCAAAAGAGAAGTGTATGAGTTGTCGTCGAATTACGTATCGTGGTCTGGTTCGGTCAAGTACCTACCTTCTGTGATTGGCAGCCGGAGTAGCATTCTAAAAGCATAGCCGTTCAAGCGTTCAAAGTAACAGACATAGTAAACGACGGCAGCAAGCTAATGGAGAAGTTGAAGCGCAAAGTAAGAGAAGCACTGTTTGTTCTTATGCTAATCTAACTCAGTGCTGTTGAAGTTGGATTCAGAGTTGACAGACCATCCGTAGAAAAGACAAGAGACGGCTGGGATTTCGGGCAGCCAAATGTCGTGGCTATACCTGTACTAGTACGGCAGCGCAGCAATTCCTGCTTTGTAAGGAATATTGGTGAGGGAACCTATGGCACGCCTGCGCAGAACCCTAACGTGACCTGCACTCCAGCCAACCCGATCTGTATCATCTCTGATGGTGTTTCCTGAGCAAATATGCTAAGTATTCAAGCCACTGTCTAATGGTTCATGCCTTGATCGACGCTTCGGTTATGTGATCACGCCGGGATTGCTGATAGCCTCAAGAAAGGTTTCGACATTGCATAAGACTTGTCCGCCCTGCTCATACAAGCCTTGTCTTATGGAGCTCTCCGCCGATCTGAGTTGCGATGGACGACCGCTACTGGTGTCCTGAGAGCCTTCGTAAACTGTTTTCACTATCTCCGGTGTCAAGAGGTTTTGAGCCTCTAGAGATTACCCAGGCTCGCAATATAGATCGCCGATGATTGAGAGGAGCACGCGTCGCCAATCATTGCCCTCGACATCATCGGAATCACTGTCATGGAGTGTAGCTCGGGGGAGATCCAACGCTTCGTAGAATTAGCCTTGAAACTTGAGTATCCTAGCCAGCGAGATATCCTTGCTCCGCACAAATATTTGTCCGGTGGAAGACGGTGAGACTACATTGATCGGCCACCACTGAAGGAGCTCGTGCCTGGCGGACTGCAGTCTTCCGCTTCATGTGAGGTTTTCTGCAGAAGAGCGAGTCCGTTCTCGTCTTCGAACGTTCCACCGTGCGTCACCCTTCAACAGCTCATCAATGATCATAGTGAATATTTGCGTAAATAAACTTCTGAAGATCTCTGGTGGGACTTTGTTTTCTCGTCCACTATCCGTAAGAGGGACCTCTCATGTTGCGCAACACAGATGTGAAGGTAGGCATTATTTGCACCTTGCGAAAGCCTTCTGGCCTAATCGACAGCCTTCCCCCTCCACAACGTATTGGAGAATTCGTGAAGCGACTAGCGGCAGTCTCCACTTACCTTTGCGAGGCTTTAACAGCAGATACTGCAGAAGTGAATGAGGATTGAAATGCTCGCAACCGGACGCACATTCTATGCGCGCTATCACTTCTATCCACGAGCTCACCTACAACAGGTAGTGAGCCACGCAGACGAACGTACTCAGCTTAAAGTCTATTATATAGGATATCTCTCAAGCATTTGTTTCCAGGAGGCGGAGAGCACCACCGACTAGGTACAGACTTCCTGTCACCAAAGTCTGCATTCCGTTGTCACGATCTCCTATGTCCTTTGCAAGGTTCAAAGCACCCTCAATGGTTGGCTCAATTGCTATGTCGACATTGGGATTAATACTCTTGTAAGCGTCAACATAATCCTTCTGAACATCTAGTGAGAAAGGCTTTTTGGGAGGGTTTGAACATTGATCTGCATGGACAATCAGCTAGGGTTAGGTACCATCGACAATTATCCATGGCCATACTTATGCCGACAGTACCGTCTTGTCTTTCTTCATAGGTGCTCAAGATGACGTGTTGTATCTGCATTCCACTTTCCTGTAAACCTCTAGCAACACCTTTTAGGATGGCCGCTCCATCGCGTTCAGATACGTGGCTGAAAATGAGAATGCGCGTGACTGGCAGGATTTTGCTGGAATTTTCAGCTTTCGATTCCGTGTTTCTCAAATTGGACATTTCCAGGTACCGTTGGCTCTCCGAGACGGTCTCAGCAAACCACTGCGCAGCCTTCTGAATACTCAGCTCATTGTGGGCTCCATCAAGAAACCACTGGTAGTCCCCATCGATGATCCGTTGATATCTTCCGGGCCAGAAAAAACGATCTACACCTCGAATAACGTCTTGCGACATCAGGCTACAATACTCTTTAGGTGCCTTTGCCTTCAGGAAAGTGTCGGCAAGAGCGATAGCAAGCGAAGAATTTTTTTGCTGGACCTCTGGCTTCAACGCATCCGCTTTGCAGGGCAGTGTAGGATCGACATCGACAAACCCCAATGCCACATTTTTCTCACTTGCTCGCGCCTGTAATACTGTAGCAACTGCGGGCTCCTGGAGAGTTGAAAAAGCAGGGCTTCCATACTTGAAAATTCCCGCCTTATGCCAGGCGATGTTTTCGATCGATGGGCCGAGCTGCTCAATATGATCCATCCCGATTGTTGTAATTCCGGTGACGATAGGCTTTTGGATAACATTTGTAGCGTCATATTCTCCACCATTATGAGTCTCGTAGATCGCAACGTCAATCCCCTCTCTAATGAATGCGTGGACCGACGCAAGCATTAGAAGCTGGAGGTAACGGGGTTTTGGGGTGTTGTGAGACAAACCGTCCCAGACTTCAAAAACGTATTTCGCAAAAAGGTCTTCCGATATGGTTTTTGAGTCGATCTGGATCCTCTCTTGTACATGCTTCAAATGGGGGGAAGTGTAGAGTCCGATTCTTCGTGGAAACCCGGTCCTTTCGCCATGCGCTTTCAGGAACGAGTTGACGAAAGCACATGTGCTACCCTTCCCTTTCGTCCCTGCGACATGTACAACATTGAGACTGTTGACGTCATTTTCCTAATCCTCTGGTCAACAAGCTGTCGATATCGCCTCCGAATAGATACTGATACTGAATGCCCAAGTTCTTGTAGCCAACCTTTCATTCCTACCAAGCTGGGTGTCCCTTTCATGCTAGGCGCTCCGTTCAAGCTGGGCATTGAATCTAGGGCGGGTATGTTGCTCGTACCGAGTGTAACCCCCAAGCTGGGTCTAGCTGTCCGGCGTCTGCTATTGAGAAGGGCAATGGCGCTCTGCGTCACATGAGAGAGTGGCATAATATATAACGGCGTTCCTCTTACCCCATAATTCTTTTCCATTCCGACTCTTACGGAGTTATAAAGCCTCCAGCTCCTTCTCATGTCAGTTGGAACATATATTACTGCATCATTCTACGTTGCGGAGGTTAAGTCAGAGTCTGGGCGGAACAGATTCTTGGCAGCTGACTACTCTACTCTACATTGAGCTAGGCTTATCTAGGCTAGGGCTATGAGAGTCTTCTACAAGAGAACAGCTTATGGGCCAAGCATCATCTCATCTGAGGTGGCCATTGATGCAGAAACGATTTATTGATTGCTCACTTGGTAGAGAGGCTAATGCTGTATCTGCTAATGATGTTTGAGTGAGGCAATCGAAGAACATGTGCCCACAGGCGTGGTGTATGGGCCGCAAGAGGATAGGGAACCTGGCGGGACTCCTTCGTATCTTGGGGAAGAGGTGATGCCTAGACGGAGATTGAGTACTCGGCCTCATCCGGATGGGAGATATCTGTAGATTGGATATAGACTATGTATGGAACATGGGCGATGAGGGCAGTCCGCAGAGTGTGCAGTCAGCATATATTACGGCTCAGTGCTACATCAGCGCAAACCCTTCGCAACATCTGCTCCTGCAGATCAGAGGATTGCTGTGATGGTATCCTTTGTCAAGCAATCCAGCTGTGCTCTTCAAAGCTGGTCTGGACACCGACTTATCCCAAAACGCAAAATTTGCACATCCACTCCGCCATTGGCAAAGGAAAACCTCAACCCTCCCCACTCCACCACCAATGCGTCCTCACCCTCCCCCACCACCACTTCCACATCACCTCCCTTCATCGCAAAGGTGACGGACGGGATCAAGTCATGGAGGAAGCAGCGGAAGTCGATTGGCGAAATACGTAAGGAGAATATTCGGTCTGGAAGTAACTGGGCTTCTTGACAGATAGAAGTTCAACTCGGTGGCATCCGTTCATGTTCAACGCGCTGTCGCAACAGTGGCCCTACTTCAAAAGCTAGGTCTCCGCTACGACTACATTTACCATGAGATATTCAGATCCCCTCCGAACCTCGGGTTGCCGTACTGTTTTACATTTCACGGTCCGCCAATATGAAACGTCGCGGAGCAAACACGAGTTCCAACTTCCCCGGGTGCGAGTTGAATTGATCTTTGAGATCTCGCCACACGTTCACGCCGTCCTCACCGGGCGTAAATGCGAAATCGAAGTCGTTTACGAGCCTCGCCACGACACTGCGAATCTGCATCATCGCAAGGTTCTTCCCGATGCAATTGTAGCGCCCTGGTGTACGATAAACGTGATGAGTATCGGGAATTGCGTGCGGAAAGGGTAAGACGCACCCATGGAGAAGGGAGAGAAGCCTGAGTCATCCTTGATCATTTCTGGCCTTGCATACCATCTTTCCGGGACAAACTCGTTGGATCGATCGTAACACGATTCGACTGGAGAAGATCAACACCACAACTCCCAGTCACAGGGATAGTTCCACTTACGCCGGCCTAAGGAGTATCTCGGCGCTGATACCACTACATTTCCTGGTATGAAGTGACCCGCAATCGTCAAGCCTTCGGGGGGTGTCTCCCGAAACCCACCCGAAGGTAAGGCAGGGTGCAACCGCAAAGCTTCATTGATCATGCCGTTGAGATGTGCCATTGATTTCAGGGCGTCCAAGCCTGGAACACTGTTGACGTTCTCCAGCTCTGCTCGTAATTTGACCATCTGGCTGGGGTCATCAGCGAGGTGGTAAAAGATGGATATCAGAGTCGACGCGACAGTATCACTTCATCGACATGTAAACATCAGCGGGGATTCCTTTGAGGGATCTTCCTCTGCAACAAATACCTTCCAGCGACAATGAGAGCAAAGCAGTCCCCCCGGAGCCAGTGCTGATCTTTTTCCAAGCGACCCGCATCTTGGCTAGCTTTTAGAAGCCATGACATGACCTATTACTGTGATCAGTTATAGAGTAAGTGAGTCACCCACTACTCAACTTACGTCCCGTTTCGCAGGCTCGTTCTGCTCATGATGTCAGACTCTATCGTACCGTATAATACAGCCGAACGAGACTATACCTTCATTCGATCTCGAAGCTTCTGCGCTGACCAGCCAAGCAGATTCTTGAAATTCTGTGCTACCCCTGGAATACTATAACCGATTCTGACCAGCCAAGGAACAGGCGATAGTGGTCCAAGAAGGTTCATACCATCCTGCAGGAGCCCAACTGTAAAGTGATACTCGTCACTATCGAGCATGTTCAATGGTTCTCCGAAAGCTAGATCACTCATAACATCGAATGAGTAGAGGTAGAAGAGTTTGGAGACGTCGACGGCTTTCCCATCCAGTTTCGAGATGCGTAGGTACAATTGTGCTGCAAATCTCAATAATCGAGGCTCATACTCTTGCAAAGCTAGACAGATGCCTTCAGTTATAAAATCATAATGAGTGATGTTGAGATTTCTCACCTTGAGGACGGAAAGCTCGTTCCGATATCTTACGCCTTTGGCTATGGGACTCCTTGTCCCTCGTGGTGGCAACGGAGACTCGAGGTTGCATGATATCATACCACGGCGCCTTTGTGCATTTCGTACTGAGCCCATCGAGAGCCCGTACGGCCTCAGGCTTGAAGATTGATATCTCATTCGGACCTGCGTTGTACTAGTTTGGGTATGTACACAACGAGATAAGGCACTGGCAACAAGACTCGGTTCTTCGTACCTGTGCGGATGAAATCACCGTAGCGGTCGTGTAGATCTTCCATGAGTCTGAAATTGGTCGACTTCGAAGCCTTGACAACGTTCCACAGCTTCGATACCTTGGCCAAGCGAGGGCCGGGGAAATCGTGTAGACGATGGAAGAACACGCGATAGATGAACATGCTACCAAAAAGAGCGATGGCGTAGCAGAACAAAACTGAAGTGGCCATCAAGATTGCGGTTTGTACCCTCTTTCTCTCACAGTATGCCTCGATGCAGAAGACCAAGCACGTCAGGAGTAGATAGAATCTGAATATCTTCGGCGCTTGGATGTGATGTTCGCCTTGTATGAAGTATACCAGATGAGAGGATATGCCAGCGAGTCCTGATAGGCACAGCTGCAGTGTCCAGAGCATGATCAAGGTCAGGGTGGAAAGTCACCGAGAGCGGAAAGAGAAGAACAACAGGCTTCATGAAAAAGTGGGCATCGGTCTGTTACACGTCAGGTACGACTTCTCCGCCTCACACGCAGGCACCGACAAGGCACAGTGAATTGAAATTCATCCGACCACGAATGAGATTTCCGAGGTTCGCGATAGCGGTATCCACACCAGTATTACAACCTTGCAGAAGACCAATGGGGCGGAATCCGGATTACTGACTGGCAAGAACTCGGTGGGCACCACAGCAACTGGTCAGAGGAAGCTTGTCATGCAGCGACGGGTCTAGATGACTGAACCCAGAGCCAATGATCTGGTCATGGATTCTCGGCTCCGTGATCATGCGTCGTTTAATAGAAGCTGACGGGGATGTGTCAGTCTTTCATGTGCCGATATCGTCATAACGGCTTTTCTCATACCCTTTTCCATGCATGATGTACGCCCGATTGTACTGGGAAAGAAGCCAAAATAGGCAACAGGAACAATACCCATAAGGCACAGTCCCATGTCGGCTCCATGCATCGACATATCTACGTTGCGGTACAAAAGTCATGGTGCGTCAGCCCGGGGATGCCGATCAGAGCAATGCCGCTCGATTGCAACCTCGGCGGCAGAAAAGCCCATGGAGTCATTGTCAGTGAAGACTTGGGTGCCCAAGCTGTTGAGTCGAGTCTTGGAGCCGGATTCTAGGACGTTCAAGGCAACAGCTGATAAGAATTTGCTAGGATCATGATGCTCTTACGGGTGAATGTTGCTGATAAAGATTGTAGGGAGACTTATACCCAGGCTCATCACTAGGCCGTCACGGATCAGGTCCAAGACAATTTCTGAACCAAGTTCAAATTCGACTCGTCCCGGAACCTTCACATCCCGTTACTACATATTCTCCACGTCTACATCCTCCTTCTCACATTCAGGCACGTAGTTGTCTCATAACCTCGCCGTGCTCGCAATATCGACACTACTCGGACTTGTGGGATCTGCCCAAGCGTATATACCCAAATCCTGGACTTCCAAAACAAATTTTTCAGTCTCCAAAAGAAATTGAGAAAGATTTCCTCGAACCTCCAAGACACAAAGGATTCATATCTCACCAGACATCTACTGGAAATGTTCTCAACCGAAGCCAAGAAGCGAAATATCAATCATGGCCACAACTCAGCAAGTCATGATCGGAAGAAAACTACTGCTTGGAATACCATAGAGTACGATCTGTATTCGATATGGCTTTTCACCTACAGCGACCTCAAGACCATCGTTGGACCCAAGACAGTATTCGGAATATTCAACAGCCTCCACGCTTCAGCTTTTGACCTACCTTGCCTTCAATACTCGACAGCGTTGAAACGATTACCATTGGTCGTCTTCTGGACATGGATCAACCTCTTACCGTTCTCAATCGATAACCAACGACAACCAGAAGCGATCAGGGAAGATGGCGTCAACAAGCCTTGGCGTCCTATGCCTTCGCAGAGGTTGACTCCACGTCAGGCGAAAATCTGGATGCTGGGACTCTACCCTGTTGCTGTTATGTCGAGTGCCTATCTCGGTGGTCTAAGGCAGTGTCTCTGCTTGATATGCCTAGGATTCTGGTATAATGATCTTGGAGGAGCCGATCAAAACCCCTTGATTCGAAATCTCATCAACAGCTGTGGATTCCTCTGCTATACATCAGGGGCAATGGAGGTGGCGTACGGAAGTTGGATATCCCTATCTCCAGGCTCACTCCTATTTCGATGGTTCAGCGTCATTGCCGCAGTGGTACTCACAACTGTGCACACGCAGGACATGTACGACCAGGCCGGAGATAGCTTACGTGGCCGCTGGACGGTTCCTCTAGCGATGGGCGATGGGCCCAGCAAAATCACTATTGCGATACCAATGGCGTTCTGGTCTTGGTTCGGGCCTCAGTTCTGGGCTCTGCACATTGCAGCTTACATCTTACCCGTGGGTCTAGGCTTGACGATAATACTGAGAACGCTGATCTTAAGGAGTGTTGTGGATGACAAGCGTACATTCCAACTCTGGAATCTTTGGGTCGTTGTCCTCTATCTCCTACCACTTCTGAGTGAGCAGAAGTAGCTTTCCGCCACAAAGGATGGAGTAGAATAGCAAAAGCGAGATACTCGAATGCAGTCAATGATTGAATACAACAAACACCTCATGCTGAGATCGTATCAGTGCTTCCGAATCCCTGTGTTGCTTCCAAAGACTCAATGAAATGGTCCCAGCTGATCTTTTCCTTTCCGCTTGTTCTTAGATGTGGGATTCCGATATCTCGCACACCAATTTGGACACCATGATCGTTTTTTCATACTCTGCGGTTGTGTGCCTCGATTGCACGAGGCTCAGAGCTGAGCAAAAGATAAGAGAGTGCAAGAGCCAATAATGATCCACCCTCGATGCACGCTTTCAGATGGTCACGTAGCGTGAACAAGAGAACGGAAGTGCTTGCATGTTCCTTTGCATGTAGTCTTTGATGTCGGAAAAGGAAGCTAGTTATTGACTCGCATCATAGGATCATGTTCTCAGTCATTAAGGTGGTTGAATGACATGTAGGCAATCAGGCATCAAGTCTGAGGATTTAAACTAGGAACAGATCAGCGCAGATGGACTCGTTCGTGTATGCTTGGACCAAAGAATGAAATCAATAAGTTCTATGACTGTGCTTTAGACAAGTAAAAATAGGTTGGGTGGTTGATCATGGACTGCAGTTGATGCCGGCTCTGCTCTCGGTTAATACGTTGTGATTACCTTAGCGTTTAATCTCGTATCCGGCCCGGAGGTATCTACAAGTATGTAGATTAAGTAGGGCACGTATGCCTTGACCTTGTCATCTATCGAGTACATTCCAGCCTGTTATGATCGCGCGTAGCTGTCGGACGTACTCGTGCTAATAGAGAGGCTTTTTTCAAAGTAGGTCTATCGGTAAGTGCTTGAACAAGGGCTATGGCTTTGGAGTTTTAGATCCTTTTGGAACTATCGTAGGCTTAGGATCCTTCCTCACGTGATCAAGATCATATTTGACATCTTCTTATGAGGCATTGTGTGATTGTTTAGGCTAGTCTTTCATCTGAGACGGCGCGTTGTTTTGATTGGCTGAACCCCTGAATACCTACCTGTACCTTACTTTATTTACTTTACTTTACCTTACTTATTGAACCCTGCCAGACGATAGGATACGCGCGAGTGCCAAGGCGCGCTCATCCTGTTCTGATCCGTCGTAGCCCGGAATTGTCCTTGGCACAGATGATGTAATTTCTGTCACAAAAAAAAAATTGTTTCTTGTAAAAAAATTTAGATGCGGTCCTTGGCTGCTGCATCATCCTCATTTCTCAGATCTTCTTGCACATGTCTTCTTGCATATACGAAAGCGTGAAAGAAACTCTTGAGCCGTCGAGTGGGTCAAACATCCCAAAGTCGCGTATAATATAATATTCCGATATGCGCAAGGAGTCGGACCTTAATTTCCCAGTATCAATTTTTCATTATTTTTGAAGTCGCATATCTCTCTCTTCTCCATAGCCACTTCACCGACTCTCTCTTACATCCATCCATCAGCAATGGACTTCTTCAAGCGCACTCTAACTTCTTCCTTGCACCCGTCTGCTACAGATGAGGACTTGGAAACTCTACTCAAGGCCGAGGATGGGGGAACCTCTTTCTCCACCAAATATGGTCTCCCAACCACAGCAAGCAGATTCATTAAGAAAATCGTTCTGGCAATCCTTCCAAACCCAATACAACGTCGCCTCGCACCCCATTTCTATAAACCCTCACGAATTCATTCGACCTCATATCTCGATGGGCTCCGCGGTACGTGCATGTCGCATTTCATTTTTCTAACCTGTGCTACAATCCAAGATGTGAGACACGTGTCTATCGTCAAATGCCGGAGTTACCTCTTTTCAAAACTCAGATCCTTGCGCCGCAAGAAAAAGACTGACTCGGACATCTTCACAGGTATCGCGTCTTTCATCGTCTTTGTCCACCACTTTACAAATTGGGTGAATCCCTATCTGGCCTACTATGGCGTGGATAATGAGAAACGGCCTTCCTCTCTCGTGCAATTACCCTTTGTCCGAGTTATTTACTCCGGCAGGCCCATGGTCCATGTCTTCTTCGTTATATCCGGCTTTGTTTTATCTAGAAAGCCCCTTCGACTGGCCCGCGCTCACAAATTCGATGAGCTCCACAAGACTCTCTCATCCTCGGTCTTCCGACGCAGTATACGTCTCTACTTACCGGCAGCTTTCTCGACGTTCTTCGTCCTTTTGCTCATCCGCGCCGGCTGGGCTCGGCAACCGGTCGACGGCGGGTTTCTAGCTCAAGTGGGAGACTGGACCAGTGCAATGTTTGACATGACAAAGCCGTGGCAGTGGGATGTGATCCAAAATCTTCGATACGACATGCATACGTGGACGCTTCCAGTCGAGATGTCTATGTCGATGCTACTATTCGTTACAATAACCGGTCTTTCAAGATGCAAAGTGCCGATCAGACTTGGTATGATGATAATGATCATGCTGTACTGCTTCCAAAGCGGACGCTGGGCGGCCGTCGAGTTTCTAGGTGGTGCCTGGATTGCTGAAGTCGACTTGATACAGGAGGAACGTGCTACTAATGCGGGAAATCTTCAATCGACTGCCCCTGTAGAGCATCTCGACGGCGACCAGCTTAACCCAACCGAACTTCCCAAAGCCGCTACGTGGAGCGGCCTATGTTGGACCCTTCTCTGGTGGCTCCAACTCGCAATCGCACTCTGGATATGCGGCTGGCCGAACCACGACGTAGAGAAAGCCCCGGGACTAGCCTGGCTAGTCAAGCACGCACCGGAACCCTATTTCTCCCTCGGCGAAGAACACTACACTGACTGGAGAGCTACACCGTGGTACATATTAGCGTCGCTCCAAATCGTCTTCGCATGCCAGCAACTGCCTCCATTACAAAGATTCCTGACGACCGGTCCCATTCAATATCTGGCATCCATATCGTTCGCGCTCTATCTTATGCACGGTCCGCTGTTCGATAGTATCGGCGGGAAGATCATGACTCCGATATTGCATTCCGTGACCAGCATGGACGAGGCCGGAGTGTGGGAGTTGTTCTTCGTGTGGATCGCAGGGCTTTTCGCGTTGGGCATTCCTTGTTTGTGGGCTGCCGATTTGTTCTGGAGATTCATAGACCGGCCCTGTGTTGATTTTGCCAGGTGGGTGGAGAGCAAATGTACTGATTAAGGTGCCTTGAGAAGAGGCATGGAGTGTACATACATACGTATCGGCACGGCTCAAAGCGGGCGGTCTCCGGGGTTTGCTGGGAGCTGCTGGTCGGCTGCTAATAATTAGGCAATTACTAGCCTTAATAAGTTGGCACGGGCAAGGACGACAAGATGATAAGATTTCGCCCCTGAAGCTGTGAGACAAGATCCTAGTTTCCCCCAGGGCCTCCTCTTCGAGCCTTCCAACCTCTACATTCACACACTATGGGGAGTAGAGACCCATGTCCCACCATTTCTCTTCCCAGGCCCGCTCCATTCAGCAACCACCCTTCCGAACAACGAGATCCAATCCGGGAATTCTTATGCCGGTCAGCAAATCTTCCCAATGTCAATCGGTTCAAACCATTTACCCACACGACCTCCCCCCAGCCAACCCCTTCCTCTGAACATCCATCCGTGTAGCCCTCGCCATCTCTACCCTAAAAAAAGATAACCACCGAACCGTTTAAGCACAGCCTCCTTCTCCTCCTCCTCCTCCTCGTCATCTCCACCCTTCCCCACCTTCCATCCATCAATCAGGTTGCATAGCAAGCCCGACTTATCCATCCTCAAACTCCCCACCTCTTCAATGTCATTCACTCTCAGCAACCGATGCCCCAACCCTCTACTCTGGCTCTTGGCGCGTCCTGAGATCTCATCTCATCTTGCCGACGCCCGGCCTCCTTTCTTTCTTTCTTCCTTTCTTTCTTTCTTTCCTTCCAGACAGGACCATCCCACAGCGACAGGCGAAGCTTTCCCCGAGTCCAGTCCCGCTCCGCGTACAAAGCTGGCCGGACCTGATAAAAAGGCAGCCAATACCGCGATCCGTGGAGCGAGATGGCCGTGCGGAGTGCGGGATGGGATAAGCCAGCAGGGCAGGCGATATGCAGTGAGCATAAAGGAAGAACAGGACGCCAAGGTGGAAAGAGAGCTGGCCGGATGGACGTAGCCGTGCGGAGAAGACGCCAGACCCGCACGCTGACCGAGTGCCGCCGTAAGAGAGAGAGAGAGAGTTGTGGAGCAAAGGCCACGCGTAGAGGGCGAAGAGCGTGGACTCTCCGATCAAGGTTGTAGGGGTCGCTGCCATTCAGGCAGGCGCGGTGTCCGGAAAAAAGCTGACGGGTTTGACGAAACTTCTCCGAAACAGCGTCATTCGTCGACGGCCAAAAAAGCCCCCGAATGAGATTGCAGAAGTCCTGCGGTTGAGGCGCGGTGTCCGGAAAAAAGCTGACGGGTTTGACGACGTCTTCCTCAATGATCTGCCTTTGACCTGCAAGGATGGTCAGATATCCTTTGACAGGAAGAGCGCATCTACTCTGATCTCTAACCCCCAACGATACACCAAGACGAAGAAAAGGCGAGCCTTCTCCGGTGACCAATCGACATCCTCCAAAGGGCGCTGTACGAGTACGACGTCAAGACACGAGACTTCAACGAGCCGCGTCCGAGACTTCGACGAGCGATGCGATCGATCAACGAAAATGGATACTTCCAGCTCTTGACGCCGAGCGGCCATGCTCCAAACGCGAACGCAGTTATAAAATTCTGAAAGAGCCGACTCTACCGTACCGAAGCTGTACAGGACGCGGGAGCGAAAAGAGGGCCGGAAAAAGTAGGAGGATCGATGGAGCGGAAAAGCCGCACGTGCGTAAAGGACAAGGGAGGATGAGCAGGCGAGAATGTGATGACAAAGTCGACTCGCGCTGCGATTGCGGAGTCTTGCGATCACGGGAGTTGTCCGACAAGAGGAAAAGGGGGAGGGGGAAGTGATGATGCTAAGAGCTGAGGTCTTATCATTGGTTGTACACTTCGGTGGGTATCAGTTAAAATGGATTAACTAGTCGTTTCAAATATCCCTGAACTCAGAGTTGTTCGATGCAGGAAACACCGCTTTCCTTTCCTTCACTTGAATGGAAAATGGTTTAGGTCAACTTGTTCACAGGGTCGCACCATTCCGACAGCGCACCTCTCTCTCGAGGCTCAAAAACTTTCGCATCACCTCTCTGCATATGCGCCTTCCACTATCTTGCATTCCCTTTCTCCCTTAGCAGTTGATCGAAGCGGGTACAAAACTTACAATCGCCGTTGACGGGACGCACCATCTATCAGCGAAGAGATCTTTCTTTCTTTCAACCATTCCACGCTCTTCGCGAAGCTGTTCTCTAGTCGAGATTTCCAGACTTTTCCACTCTGCTACTTGATACCCGAATGCGAATCGTGTTGCGGAGTATGTATGACCGCTCGTCACTTTTCCCGACCGGCACTCTGTCTATTACTTACCTTACTCAGGTGCATTTCCCCAAGTCTTCCTAGCCTTTACGGGCCAGGGCGCTGTCCAAATACGTCTCGGCGTGAAAGTTCGATTCGAGGAATTCATTTAAGGATTTGCTCCGCATTGGGCAGTGTGCAAAGATCGATCACTCAGTCTTTCACCTGCGCCTTCTTCATCTGACCACATCTGAAAGTGCTGGCGTTCGCTGTACCGAGGTACGAGTCCAATTTTTGAATCGAAATTGTAGATCAGCAGTCCAGGCTATGCACAAGAAGAGATAGAGATAGAGACAAATTCCGGGCTATGGTAATCGCATTAGCATGTACACAGCATACACAGTACACAGAAGCCTGTGAACAAGATGTCAAATGTGAAAGCTTCACGACTCTTTTGTGGACAACACATGTATACATGCCGCTCGATTGTGTGAGACATCCTCAAAACTTCAGTCCCACACATCCTGTCCCCTGGGTCCAAATGAATCGATGCCTCTCACATCCGAGAACAGCCCTAAAATCAGTCCTAGCTCGGTGAGAGACTCACAACTCTCGGTAAAGACCTTTCCGAGCTTGGGGACCTTATTCGCCTTTTGCTTTGCTAAACACTCCACCCGTTGAGTCACTGTTTTTCTTACTTAACACGATCCCAGTCAATGTCACTGATTCTACGGAGACCGGCAGCACATTTATCATTCGATGTGCCTCTGAATTTCTTGGACCATATCCGAACATCCTACAATCGAGGCGAATCTTCTTCAGAACCTGGAACCATTGAAGCAAACCCATGAAGTCGCCCTTTTCGATTCTCTCGCCACGTGTGTCTGTTGAATCGGTCAGTTCCAAGTTGACGAGCCTGTGACTCGCAGACTGCAATAGGCTCTGTACGATCTTACTTGGCTCCACTTCGTCCCTTGGAGCAAAGTCATACAGGAATTTCTGCAAGGCTGCGAGCTTTTTCTGTGGCTGTCAAGTACGGAAAGGAATGCACAGTGGCTTGCAGCTCCTCCTGAAGGTCATTGGCGATTTCCTTCGCCATTTTAACATACCCAGCGATGTCAAGTTCCTCAAAAAGAGCTCGAAGAAGGTATACTGGAGGGGGAAAACAAAGGCCACAGGACGTGTACCCGCTATAGGAGATACAAGAGTACAGCTGTTTCATCTCCTTGTGCTTCGGAAAAGTCGTAGCGGATACGGCATAGAAGCATTTGCAGCGGATAAAAAAGTTGTCGACGTCATCACGTAGGAGAGACTTCGTGGCCTGCTCCAGCGTCTCGTTTGGGCGCTGTACGAGCTGAGGCATGGTCGCTGGTATGGCGGTGTCCGAAAACGGGTAAAGCAAGAGTTCGTGTCTTGCTACACGATCGCTTGGGGAGACAGATTGAGCTTGAGGTGGAGGCTTTATGTGATTCGCTGCCCGCAAATATCACATATCACACAGACGTTGCATCAGTGTCTAATCGCACGTATGATGATGTTAATGTTGGATTAGATGAGTAACAGGCGAGAGGACATGTCAACGCAGTGCCGCAGCAGTTGTATTCATTATGGGGATGGCCATAAAGAGTTTGCCACCGTGTTGGTCAAATCCTAATTCCGTTTTGGCCCTCTCTGGCAACGCATATGGCAATCCATACGAGTAAGAGGATCGGGTCCAGGACCTTATAGCGAACGAGTCAGAAAACAAACACCCTTGGCTGCTGCTTGAGAGACTCCAGTCAGCGCAATTAGCGTTTTGCGTTGGCCGTGTCCGCAACACATTGTGGTCCAACGCCAAGTTTGATTTTGAGTCAAGAACACAGGTGCGGGTTTTGAGGCTGCAAGGAGCTTTCAATTGTTCACGGCTCGGGCGGGGCTAGAGAAAGTCTTGGCGTCTGTGGGGAACGGTAGTCGCGTCCTGAATTCCTACATTACGCGCTTGCTCAAGAAATCGTATCAAAACAGGATGATAGTACCAACGCTGGAAAATGTACCTGCCGCCACATGAACCAGACTCGCCAACGACACCTCACACCGCAAACGCACCCATCATCCTCCCCTCCACCCTCCCCCCCCCTCCGGCGCCCGCCATGCCCCCCACCTCCCGCCTCGCCACCCTCAACGAGCTCCCCCTCCCCACCTTCCTTGCCCAACTCTGGCCCCGCGACGACCCCCGCGTCGAGACCCCCGGCCCCGCCGACGGAGGACCGTGGCGCGTCCGACTGCGCGCGTCCGACGGGCTCTCGGAAGCGGAACTGACGGCGTGTTTCCGGCTGGTGCGGGATTCCAGCGCCGCGGACTACGGGGCCTCGGCCTCCGGGTGGCGGCCGGGGAGGAAGCGCGAGGAGATGCGGTTGCGGGACCTGCGGTACATGTTGCTGGGCCGGTCGGCGGCGGGGGGGGAGCCGGAGGGGGAGGAGTGTTTGCCGGTGGGTGGGTTCTTGTCGTTTATGCTGACGTGGGAGGATGGGATTGAGGTCATCTATTGCTATGAGATCCATCTGGACGAGAGTGTGAGGGGGAGGGGTGTGGGAAAGCGGTTGATGGGACATTTGGAGGAAGTGGGCAGGAAGGCTGGGGTGGAGAAGGCGATGTTGACGGTGTTTAAGAGGAATAAGGCGGCGATGCAGTTCTATGAGCGGTTGGGCTACGAGGAGGATGAGTATTCGCCCAGGCCGAAGAAGTTGAGGAATGGCGTTGTCAAAGAGTTGGATTATTTGATCATGTCGAAGTCACTGATCGGTGGGGTCAAGAATCACCAGGAGGAGGGACAGAGGAAACGAAAAGCTGGATGAAAACGCATTGGGATGCGGCTCAATTGATCATTGGATGTCTATATCTGTCTGACATCTTTGCCTTTCATCTCCGGCCTCTCGACTTCCCATTCGTCTCGAAGGACCGCGAACAGGGAATCCGCAACAATCTCCGACAGGCCGAGACTCCAGACGAGAGTAATGGCATAGAAAAAGTTTGCGTTGCCGGAACCCGCATAGATCCAGAGGTAGTAGAAGGCAGGGCCCAGCAAGCTCGCGTACAGGATCGTGGCCATGGCGAAAAAGGTATACCGCATCACTGCCGAGCTGTCAATACCCGAAGATGAGATGGCCATTTGGGCAGGGCTTACAGGGGAAAATGTGTCTATACAATGGCAGCATAGCAAAATACAAAGACGTATCCGAAATGCTCGGGTACGGCTTGAATATTGCAAAGATGCCCAGCAATGTAGTGATGACGAACAGCGGCTGCGTGCGAAGACGAATGCATAAAGCCCCAACGTAGCCCCCCAAATGCAGCCAGAATACACCCAGGAAGAATTCCCTGAACGAATCGAACATCTCAATGAAAAAATACCACCAGAGCCCCACATTTGGTGTCAAGTCCGGCAGAAGCAGGTGGACGCCATATGTAGATGCCAGATACTCGGATGAACCTCCAGTCAGAACTTTTGAGAGATGCAAGAACCACGCTATGCTTGCGGAAAAGACGGAGAGGTATGTGGCAGTCGAAAAAGTTGCATTTGGAGGCGCCTTTGTCTCTCTTGCTTTCCGATCATAGCAGAGTAGGATCAGAGGAGGAAGTAAAAGGGCTGGATAAAGCGACAGGTATGAGGCGAGACCCAGAGCAAGCATGGAGGTGATGGGTTTGCTGGAGACGGCCTGGGCAATGGCGTAAAGGATGGCGCAATTCGTGAAGACGCTTGTTGGTCTGCCTATACATGTAGCGATGGTGAAGGGATTGAATAAGTATCTATAGCCCCGTTAGTCTAGAGACAGCCTCCTATGGATCATACACCCTTACGCGGCGGCTACCGCTATGCTATCCCATTTCATATCCTTCCTCGGCGATGTGAACAGACGTGAAGAGCGTGACTCGCCAGACTCTGTGATACGTATGAGGGCATTGGCGCAGAGAAGGTCGAGGAGGATGTAGAGGAGGGCGGTCAAGGGCAAAAAGAGGGAGGAAGGGATGAGGGCGAAGAGTGGTAGCAGCAATGGGGCCTTGAGAGGAATGGTTAGCGGAAGAAAGTGACTCGTGCGCGGCCAGTGGAACATGCCTGGTGAAAGACGCCGCCGTCGTAAGGGGAGACATTGTGAGTATAGAGGAAGAGACCTTCTCGCACTGGCAAACCGTCAGTTATGAGTTGTATGCAGGTGAATTGGCACGAGGTCTTACATCGCTTGAAGCTGGTGACCGGAGTGGATATCTCTACACGTCCGGTAAGAAGGTCAGGTAAGGAAGGGAAGGCGAAGAAAAGTACGAGTCTAAGAGCTGCTGCGGAAGTGAAAAGGGTGGCTTTCCGCCGGTCTATAACCATGTTTAAAAGTTGGAAATGCACACCCCCATTTATCGATCGACTCGAGGTCCGCAACTGCAACTCCGCGCTGGTACTCTCGCGCGCGCCAATCTCGCGCGCCAAGTCCCACTTACTCTACCCCTGAAACTACCTACTTTATAGACTGCCGATTTCAGCCCTACCTTACCACTTACTAGCAACAATACCAAAATTAACCATTCAGTATGATTAATCATGATAGCTACATCACCGTCTAACATCTTTGAGGCTCCTAGAGTACCCCTGTCAGGCTTTTCATTGGTGCGTGCTTGTGTTGCGGCTGCTCAACAGAGTATCCATAGGATGTTAAACAAATATTCGGCGGGGTAGGTCGGTACAAGTAGGGCTGAAATCGGCAATCAATTCTTCCAGCACCACAGGGGCGAGTGTTCGCCAGGAGTCCTGCGCTCAACGGATCTAGTACCTACCCTTGGAAGCCAAACGGGCACTTTCCACCGACTTGCACCGCGCCGGCAGGACAAGAGGAGCCCTTCGACAGGTAGATCGGTAACGATGACAGGCAAGCGACATCCAACGAGCCGTCCGCATCGATATTGACCGCCGAACCTCCAGCCTTGCCCTCCAAAGTGCAGTCATAAGCGCCGTCAAACAGCACTGACATGTCCACATTCGACGTTTCAATGTATTCCAACAGACCATATGCAGTTGCCTCGTACCCGACTTCCTCTATTACAGGTAGCCTCCCCGAAAACAGCACCCAGTGGTCGGGCTCGTTGATTTCATACTGCATCTGGGTGACTTGACTCCAGTAGAAAGCTTTGTCGTTGTGGTCTTTGCAGACATCGCCGAGAGATGTGCATGTGCGGCTGTGCTGGAAGACCTCTTTGAAGAAAGTCTTCGTCGTGGGTGTTGCAGAGAAGTGGGACTGCGACAGGGTTTCGCCGACCAAGTAGGTTGTGAAAGCGGATGTTATGCCGGCAGCTGGCTGCGGGAGATTAAAGGAGGTAGGACCAGAGTAAAGCCCATGGGCAGCCCAGGAAGTGAATGTTGGCACATCGCTCATGATAAGGCTGAGAGCTGACTGTAGCATATATCCAGTACAAGCAGTCATGTTGGCCAAATCAGTCTCTGTGGTCATGTAATCGCTGATGTTATATGGTGAACCCAACAAGATGGAGCTGACTGCTTCTGTGTTCTGAAGGCTCTGTGTGAAAGCCTGTACCGCAGCGACATTGACATCCGGATTGATCCGTTGTGGTCCGCTTGCTAAGACTGACGGTATCTGCCGAACGGGTCAGTGAGCTACTTATTGAGGGCGAAGTGGGCAGCCAATTCACCCCCCAGAATGGTAATCCAGCCAACAATGCCTTCAGTACGTTGCCATTGTTGAGTACCGCCCCAAACTCATATCCGGCAAGGATCTGATGAAGTTTTGCGTATTCTGAGTCGCTTCCATCAATGTCACCGCTTTGTAAGGCTGAAAAGAGTGATCAGCGCTGGCCGCGATTTCGGACGCAAGGAATCGCTGATCACGACTCACCAGCATAGTACGAGCTGAAAAGATTGTTGATAGCTACAATGTTACGCACAACATATCCGGCCTTTAATGCAATGCTCGGGCCGAGGTCGGAACTTATCTGGTTCAAAATACATTGCTGAAAGTTGAGCGTAGTACAATCTGAACCTGGTTTGGCATACGCAAAGCGTAGGAAGCATGTTGTCCACGGCTCTTGGGGATGGCAGCAATTCATGCCGTCACTACCAGGCACCTGACAACTGGGCACGGTCCGATTCCATTCCGCAAGATAGCCGGAAATGTTCAGCTCATCCCAGCATGTGGTACTTGCAACGCTGCTGAAACTGGTACAATTGACCGCTTGTCTGGTCTCAAGGTAGGCGAGGTGAGAGTCAATATATTCTGATGAAGCTGCTGCGGAAAGGAGACATGCCGAAGCTGCAAAGACTAAGGAAGAAGAAAACAACATTTTGAAGGAAAGGGTATATCACTTCGTAAAAATTGGTTGTGCAGTCCGAGACCGTTCGCTCCTAGTCTTGTTGAAGTAGACTGCTTGTAGATTTTCCTCCGTCGTAATCTCATCAGAAGAATCGCCCACAACAGATTCGGGAATTTGCATTTCGCATATGCAGAAAGAAAACCTCGTCGTCCCTCGGCGCCTTCTGCGGTCTTTACTGCATGTCGCTAAATCCTGTAGGAAGTGGATGAAGATAAGTTTATGCGGTAGGAAGTGTACAGTGCGCTTATATTTCTTGAGGCTCAGATGTCGCAGACTTCCCACACATGCGCTACCGTCAGATCACACTGGAGCTTAGATCCTGTCCATACAGCTTTAGCAAAAGCTCCAGGACATTTCTCAAGAGCAGAACCAAAAGTGCCTCTCTCTCCGTGAGTAAGATGGAGTCCTTTTCACTTATGAGACTGACCGCTAACTCACCTTCGGAAGACCCAGATTCCTCTCCAGCACTGAAGTCCACAGCGAGCTCGCGATGATGAACGTGCAGTTCCACCTGACGTAAGAAACAAATCCACCCATGCTGAGAACCATTTTCCGCCACCTTCATTCTCCGCGCTTCCATGACGAGTCAGACGAGTCTTGCATTGTCTTATCAGTTGAAGCATCGCCGACGATAGCTCTTCACAAGCTGCTTTGTCACCAGTCGAGAGACAGTGCTATTGTGAGTTACTCCCAGTCATACAGTTACGACCGAAAAGGGTTTTCAAGCATGTGAGTAGTTTATACCTTGGTGAGAGTATGTGGTCCGAGCGGTAAGCCTGGAAGTAGCTACATACGGTATTATAATTTGTCTTCCTCTCAAGCTATCAGTCGTTCAGTTGCCACACATAATCGTTCACAGTGCATTCATAGTCTCTCATTGGTCGTGTTGATTTTCGATGTGAAGTGTCCTATACTACTCTCTCTACGGGACGTGATCCCCGAGACGGAATGAAAAGGCGCATGGATTGATTAGTACTACCGTTGTATTTAGGTATAGTGTAACGCAATACATATTTAGCACAGCCGATACTGAATCGTGAGTTGAATGAAACGACTTCGGCCCCTAGGGTCCCTGTATAAGAAATAGAGATTGGCTGATAGGGAGCGAAGCACCCCAACTAGGTGGTCTTGTGGTGGAAAGGGTTTTAGGGACATGAGACTCTAGGCTTATGCGGTGATATTGGTGGAAGCATCTCAGCAGCATCCAGCATGACGTAGTAAAACATTCAACGAAGCAGCAGATAAGAAGCATATTTGGTTGTGCTCGGCGTCAAGCTCACGTTTGAAAGATGTCGAGCATCAATTTATGGTGCCTAGCTGAGAGCCAGGAACGTGACGCTTGCACTTACGGAATCATCATTATCAACTTCCGAATGCACTGCGTAGGACAAAAGTCCTATGCTGATTGAAAGACCTGCTTCATATACCTCAATACGAAGTTGAAGGAAGGAGGAAGAGTAAGGAAATTTACTTGTAGCTCTCGAGCCCTCTTTTCTTCGCTTGCGGAACCGTTCCGCCACAAGGCATCGTCGTCATTTCCAAATCTCGCTTTTATGATATTCCATGTCACCAACATCCGCCTTGAATTCTGCCAGCCTCGCTAACATCTTCTACAAGCTCTGGCGATCTCTGATACCTACATGCACCGCCTGGTCGCCCTCGCCCGCAGCTACGCCACAGCCAGCACGCGCTCCTCAAGACTTCCTCCATCCAAGCCGCCCCTATCCCTCGATCACTTCCTCCTACGCCAGCGTGTCATATCCCTCTACCGTACGATTGTCCGTGCATGCCATAAGATTCCGCCTCCAACGAAGGAAGAGATGAAAAAATACGCGAGAGAAGAATTTGAGCAGCATAGAGCCGTGGAGGATTTGAGGAAGATACGGTATTTGCTCAGTACTGGGAAGACGGAGTTTGAGCGATTGGGAAAGCAGGTCAGCAATATGGGCTGATGATAGTATGACACCTTGCCCAATGGGGATTGCTGCGATCAAGACCAAAGGGGCGCCCAGGTGTGGTTCAATCAGAAGGAATCCCATCTCAAGCAAGCCGCCGGAGGGCTGAGCAGCTGGATCAGACCATCCCGCAGCAGTGTTCAGGCCACAAAAAGACTATGGAGGACTACACTTACCAGCCCCTCTTCTGAATGCGGGAAAAATCGTAAGCTTGATTGGTATGCATCCGGCAAGCGCCTTTTCTGACTCTGTAGTCTGTGGACTGCTTCCAGTGTCCCTTGACGAATACCCTGATCATGCAGCAGTATCATATATTTTGGGCGATCCAACCTTGGATTACAGCATAACTCTTGCCCGTCGCCGGCCAATGACTACGGCTCATCTCCACTCGGGGCAGCAAAATCACCAAATCATACAGCCCGATGCCATCTTTATCGACTGGTCTAGCATTCTTGAAAGGCAACTAGTAGGTCTCTGTTCATGGGCACGATCTACAAACAAGCCCGACACGTTCTTGTCTACCTCGGTGAGGCTGGAGGACACGACGCCCAGGCAGTCGAGTTGATGAAGTTGCAGCAAATGGGTGCATTCATAGCCGAGAGCCCCAAGCAAGTATGACGCTTTACTGAACGGCGATGACCTAGTTCATTAGCTTGATCAATATCCCATCGATCTGACCCTGCAAGCTCTCGAACTATATATACTTTGAATCGTCAAGGCTACCCTGATGGCCGGTCTCATGACTCGAGCATTGCCGGCTTATCTTCCCCTGCAGACGCTGCTTGCGATGTTATATAGTCCATGATACTGCGTCCGTGGTTCACACGCACGTAGCTTTTCCAGGAAGCAGTCCTTTGCCGTCCATTACTGTCGTACTTGGCGCTCTGTCTTTCAATTGGGGAGGGATACCTCAATCATTGAGATGTACACATCGTTTCGACCCCGACCTCCTCACAGCCATACTTACCACAAGGTCTGGCGATTCAACGTTCAGATCCTAGGGTCGTGAGGACGGCAACCTACAGGATTGGACTTGAAGCCTTAAAGCCCGTAGGGTTCTACGATCAGGTTCCAGCAAACGCAGAGAATTCCTCGCTCTACGGCTTCAATCCCACCATTCCCGACCAAGCTTTGGACGATGGACTTGTTCAGATAGTCATGTGTTCGGACTTTGAGCCTTGCTACGTCCTTGTGTTTGATGGAACCTGAAGAAGTCGTCCACAAAAATTGGGTTTGCAATCAGACATGTTTCTCAATATGGCATGTGATGTGCCACTGAATGTGAAAGATGCTTTTCGAAGACGGATGCACTGATCAAGAGGGCTTTTTGAGAAGTCTAACCTGGTAGGAAGTTTTCGGATCATAGCCAAAATACGAATTTCGGATAGCATTTGACAATTGGTTTGAACCAAGAGTATTCTTATTCATGTAGCTCCGATCTACAAGGGGAACTTGCCCAAATCTCGTACAACATGATGTCCAGAAACCCCCAGCTCGCGCTGTCCGTGTCTATTATCCAGAGCTCCATGTTGTGATATGACGCCATCAGAAGGAATGGGGAAGATGAGCGCATCTAGTCGAGAAAGGTGAACAGATCCGTATGCACCACGTTCAGAGCACGGAGAGCTTCTCGTTCCGCGATCACGCACGAGATGCTGATCTCACTTGCGCCTAGATCTGTATAAGCACGAATTCCACACCACGGGTCACAAGGGAGGAGAGCCCACCTTGAGAGATCATCTCAATGTTGATATTGTTATCTCCCAGCGCCGTAAATAGCCTTCCCGCAATCCCAATACTCCTCTTCAACTGTAGTCCTACCAAGCTGATGATAGCCATATTCTTCACCACGTCCACACTCCCGTACTCACTCAACTCTTCAATCGCATGTTGCAAGTCCTTGTGCTGATTCAACAGGTCTTCTGCATCCTGTTCTCCGCCTCGGTCCTCGGGACCTTTGATAATTGGCATCTTAGAGTGCACCGCGAGACTGATATGGAACTGGTTCTTTTCGAAAAGATCGATGTTCAGTGACCAAGAAGCAAGGATCTTGCAGATCTGCGCGAGGAAATCTGCGTCTTCGACTTTGCGGTGGGAGTGGACGTTGACGACGGTGATTTGGTGCTTCACTGTTACGGCCGTTGGGCGCTTGGGATGGGATTGTAGGTTGGCTTGGGAGGATGGAGTGATAAGGGTGCCGGGGCTTTGAGGCGCGAGGACGTTCTTGATGCGGATTGGGATTGAAGGGAGACATTGCTCTACTGTGAAATGATGGATTACTTCAGAACCGTAGAAGCTGTGGAAAGGTTAGCATAGGTCGTTACGAAGATGGTATAGACGTGCGTTAGCTCATTGGCCTCTCTCGGGTCAATGGATGATAATAATTTGGCTGTTGGAACCTTGCTTGGATCGCTGTCCGTTGTCAGCTTAAGCACGACGGAAGACTGGATGAGTATGGGCATGTTTACGCAGTGTAGACGCCTGAAACTTCTTTCCAGACCTATCCACCAATTAGCGGATTTGTATCTGGCACTTCGTTGCGTGTATTAGGAGTGTGAGGGAAAACCAACCTGTAGCTCCTTCGCTTTCGTTCCGACAGCAGCGAGCGCAGCGCACAGATCGGAGTACCCACGTCCTAATTGCTTGAGCAAACCTCCTGGTAAAGGACCGAAGTACCCGGTTAAAACCTACCAAACTATCAGTCTCTGTGCATAAGGCGTGGCGGCGGAGTAGGCTGGGTCCATGTCATACCGGTACCTTGTCACCACAGAGCTCAATCCTCCGACTTATCGCATGAGCGACCTCTCGGTAGAATTCTTGATTAAACGACGGCGCTAGATTTGGTTCAATTACATCAGACAAATCAAGATATTGAGCCCGTATCCCATGATCTTCCAGAAGCGCCGTTAGATATTGAGCACTGAGCTTCTCCCCTACACTTAGGATCTTGTCCTCGGCCTCGGGAGGCACATCTTCTCTCTTCGGCAGCGAGTCGAGCAGCTTTTCAAGTGCATTACATTCGGCAGATATGTCCCGCTTTAATCTTTCTTCGATCTCGGGGTTTTTGAATTTCGCTGTGTTGAGGTGCTCATGCAGAATACCTGAGACAATGGCGCGATGGCCAGTTGAATTTGGTTTGACTGCCTCTCGGGCAGCTTTCAAAAGGCTTTAAATAGTCCCATGTTAGCATTTCGCACGGACAAAAGAGCCATCGGTCAGATCCAAATTGCTTTCTTGGCAATGATTCGAGGTACGACCGACCTGGTAGGACCAGATAGCTAGGAAAAGGCTTCATACCGATTAGTAGTACCCTCGGCTTTGGACTTACCACTCCTAGCGGAGCAGACGATGGCGATATTGTGGTTTTGAGAGAGGCTTGATCTGACAAAGAAACGAGTTCAGCGAAGCTAGTTGACGAAGGAGGAAGGGCTGACAATGTACAAGGCGATCCTGGCAATTTCTTGCGAAAACTTCCCAACCGAAGTACCTCCAAACTTCAAAAGTACACGCTGAGATGCCCTTCTGTGTTGCTCTTGGTGCTCAACCTGGGCTGCCATTTCAGAAATACTTGTCTATGTTATGAAAAATTCAAAAGTCACTCAATCGTATGAAAGGAATTTGCCAAGCCGTTTAGAACTGCCCTGATTCGCCAGCTGCTGCCGAGCCAAACGCGCTGACTGTGCCACCATCATTCGGACGCGTCCTACGATGTAAAGAGCAGAGTCTACATCAACTATCAGATTACAGGTTATGCAATCAAAACGGGAACTATTCAGATGGTGACAATCCGATGCTGTATATTCTTTGGCCTTGTGAGTATCGAGCTTGAGCAATATGACCAATCGTTCGAGCCAGATTGATTCCGTCTCCTATCTTGCATAGATACCGAGATCATTCAAAACCAATTTGGACTGAGGGGGAAGAGAGGGGAACCCGAGGACGACACTAACGCTTTTGTTTTGGCTGGCGTGAGATTGGGCCGGGACTTTCTACACGAAGTGAAATTTCATTTCCTTGATTGCTATCTCATGTACCATGTTCTTGCATTATCCGTGCAACTCTAGTCGGTAACGCGGCTAGCAACATGAAAAGATGTAATGTTATATAATTCGCTAATTCAGTTCATGACGGGCCGTAATTCTCGCTGATGCGAGAGCATATATAAAACCTCCTTGCTGACGCTCTGCTGAACCCGGAGATCCGAAGCCTTGAACGACGCACGCCTCGAGTGTAAGTACTCCACTACATCTTCTTACTCGACGTCCCCCTCTTAAGCGCATTATACGATCTCACCTTCTCCCCGGCCGCGATCCTCCGCTGCTTGCGCCGCCAATAGCTCTCCTTGGACTGCTGTCTCGCCTTCTCCAAGTTACCCTGGTCGTACTTACGCCTATAGTAGCCCTCCATGCGTCTCTCATTGATGCGCATTCTCTCCGTGGTCTGAGGCTTGGCGCAGGGTCTGCCCTTTTTCACTTCCCCGTTCGGCAAGATCGCCTTATTTTGAGATGGTCGGCTGCGACGGGATCTCTTTGCAATTGCGAATGAAGACGGTTTGTATTCTTCGTCAGAGTCAGGCGCATCGGAGATGTCGGAGTCGTTGTCATTGCCGGTGTTGGGGACAAACAGGTCGTCATGAGGAGCGCTTTGTTGTGTGATGTATCCAGGGAGAGCCCAGCCTTCGCGGATTGCAGTGGCAACCAAGTCTTCAGGGACAGCAGAGAGGGACAAGTCCTCGGGGTTGAAAGCTCCATCGTCTTGGTAGTTTGAAATTGGCTCATACTGAAACATCCCTGCTGTAGCCGGTAGAGGACCCATATTGCCATGCAGGAACAATGGGTGATCAATCGACGAGAATTGTTGCCCTGGCGGAGTGATTACTCCGAAGTTGTGTTGCGTCATCGTGTTGTCTGAGGGAAGTGGCTGCAGAGGGTAGTAAGGTGTGGGGTCAATTGGAGATTGAGAGAAGATCTCGGGGTCGGGGTAGTTGAATGGCTGTACTGGCTGCTCTAGAGGGCGCCATACCGAGCTGGGAAGAGTCTGTGACTGAGGAAGAAAGGAAACGTACCTCTGATCTGCAAGTGATGACTGTGGGGTAGTAGGTATGTCGAAGCCACCGTCAACGCTCTGAAGTGCCTGCTGGTTGAAGTCGAAATCATCGAAATCTAATGTTGCATCAGGCCGAGGTGCGTCAGCGAAGTCGCCTTCTGAAATGCCAAAAGGATACATGTCATTGAAGAATGGACCCTGTCCTGCTGAGTCATCTGGGTTTGTGAGGAGGCTGGGGTTCACGATGCTCTGATATTGAAAGTCGCCCATGTCGGAGACACCCATCTTGATGCCCTTCCTTAAGGGTAGTCTGTGTCCTGGTTGTTTGATAGTGATCTCTGTGAAGCGAAGGTCGTCGACCGACGTGTCTTGTTTTGTGACGGTATATATAGCGAAATTTCCTGTAGATGAGAAAGTGTATGTGGTTGAAATGCAGGAGAATATTGATCCTTTAAGAGACTCGAGAAAACAGTGTTAAAGGTCGAGTCCCTTGGTAATGGGATAACGAGATCTCTTTGTTGTGATCTCTTTGTGCGAGTGCAAAGACAAAGGATAGAAAATCGAAGCAAGGCAAACTTGATCATGATTCTTTGTTGCTTGAGGCCGATAACAATGCTCTCATTGTAATCGAGGACAAAGGGCGCGGAGGCATCGAAGAAAGCAGAACGAGCGTACACGAGACTCAAAGGAAATGATGATTGGATGGTCTCTTGCACGAAGAAAGCTTCTTGCCTTGAACAACCGGTTATTGCCAAAAAAGGTTGAATTCGTCCTGTAATTGCCGCTCAGTAGCTATGAGGACGCGGTCAAGCTGCCAGTCAAAGTACTTCAGTGGTGATGACAGATATGACCAGGAGCATAGCGTCATGAACTCAGAAGCTATACCAGACCGTACGGATGTGCTGCTACCACATCAGTTTAATCCTCCTACAAAGGGTCAAGCATTTCTCAAGATCATCGAGATTGATTACCAAACTGGCAGGTCTCCCGACACCAAAATGATCATAATACAGATTCCCTCTTCGCAGTGGAGGAGTGATACTTGTACGCTCGTGAAGCAATAATTACTCGTGAGAAGCCGATAGGGCATGGCGATTCTGACGCGCTAGCGGCGCGTATAATTTTAAGCATAGCCCTACCCTAAGCGCCAGCCGCAGTGGATGTAAGTATCATCGCTTGGCAATGCCAAGACTCTTGAGGATGGTGTGAATACGTAGGCCTAGTCAGACTTCCACACTGAACGATTACTCCGAGATTCCAAGTCGACGGTGACAGTACTACCACCATCACTCCTTACACTGTCACCCTTCCAACCACAGTTACGACCACAATTATCCAGCGACTCCCGTCGCGCCAACACACTAGGTCACTTCAGTCCTTGAATCTCTATTACATGGTCCCTTGCATAATCCTACGGATTCAAAGACATTCCAATCTAGGGTGGAGTGTCTGATGTCCCCGCAAAGCCATTGCAGCAAGATTGGAAGGTTGATTAAAGATATGCTGATTCCGTATATGACCGTGCCGGCGTGAATGTACTGCAAGGGTTTCAGCTACGAAGAGGAAAGCGCTCTGACACTGGGCCACATACATATAGGAATGAGCCGAGGTTTTCGAGTTGAACGTCCCATTGCTTAGCTCCAGGAGCAATATCAGATACAAGCCAGCCAATGATGAAATAGCCAACAAGGAATCCATGCGAAGTGTTAAAACAGACTTCGCAAAGCACAGAAGACACACGCATCCCAAGAGGATTACGTCTAATAATTATCAGCGTGAACAACCGGCTAAGAACAGAAGGGTCGTACAAGCTGCAGCCGCCATCTGATGCATAAAACGAGCTTTCGTGTAGATATGCATAGCCACAGCGAACGCGGACAGAAGCAGAGAGACTATTTCAACAGCTACGCCCCTGCGATGCGAAGTCGACGGGTCAGTGAAGTCAGGGATGACTCCCGGTGGAGGCTTCAAAGCAGGACCGTTGAGCAACGCTTGCAGTTGCTCTGGTGTAGCATTCGAGATTGCAGACATGGTGATTGCACGGCCTGATGATTTGATCAGGAGGAATATCAAAACGCTGTTATCGCAGGTAGGTAATTGAAAGCACGAAGGAAGAGTGAGTGTGTATAGTCCTCGAAAGTCCGGATACTAGTATTGAGGACAGTTCAAGGTTCCACCCAGAGAGCCTGAAGACAAGGTGCCCAATAGTCCGGACTATCAATCTGGAGGCCTGGACGGGTTCGAACTGAGGCTATTTTGACAATCCGTGCTCCATCGAGGTGCCGGACTCTAGTCCAGAGCAAGGATTGCGTAATTTTTTGCGGTGAGACCTTAGTATCAGTGGCTCGTATCTAGTGATCTAATACATGAGACCGTGGCGGACTGCAATATATCGCTTAAGTCCTGAACTAGGTGGAAAGGATCAGACTGAGATTATCAGACTCAGACGAGAACTTCGATTGGGATCCAAGTTTGAATGATGCTGAAGAAATCGGGCGCAGGATTATGTAGCTGACTATCTGTATTCGTAAGTAATAAGACGGAGAAGAAGGTATTTAAGAGACTTTTTATCAATCAAAGGCGTGCTCAAAAAAAGCCCACAACACATAGATATTGACCAACTACATACTTCTTACATCATGTCAATTACATGCCCTATAACAAAGAGTGGCAAGCATATTACTTCGCATACTGAAGAAGATTGAGCCATAGAGATCTGTTGAAGATATGACGGGTGGATGAATATCTTCCTCCTGAGAGGTGTTTCAATGGCGAGGAGCCGAAATTTTGGCAGACTTATGCATACATAAGAGGGAGGATGAGGAAATCGCAGGTACTGCCGCCATGCTAGCTGCTACTGGGTTTGTCACATTCGTAGTCCGTATTCACCGATTCAGCAATCTGAGATAGCGGAATAATTGTTCGAGGTACCTTAATCTTGTACGGATTAAAGTTCTTCCGACTAAGCCAAGCTCTTTACGATTTGAGGCAATATAGGACCTCAGTAGTATCAGTCTTAAAGCTCAGTCTCTGATCACTAATTATGACCTTTAACTTCTCACGTCACGCGTGTGAGGGAAAACTCATCACGTCAGACTTAAATCTCAAAGCGACTATCGAGCAAGATAACACTGGCTGCTCAACTCCATGAAGCATTGAACCCTACTAACGCGTTCTCCTAATGTCCAATGTCGAATAGCAAAGTTGTCCAACCCTGTCGAGCGAGATGACCACTAATGGCCAAGATCTATCATCAAAAGTTCATGAGGCCGTCGTGGAGGTTGCGTCCGTGCGCATCATCAGTGATCATGACACTCTCAAGTATCATCTCCTCGGACCATCCCTCACGAAGGCGGGACAGGACACAGTCGATCAGCAAAAGGTAATTGCGGATTAGGCTTGGGCTTAAATATGGGACTTATGTGCTGACAGCCATGCAGGTTTCGGAGGTAATATACAATGCCTCCAAAGGCTCTAAGTACTTCAACAACGAGGAACACAAAGACAAGAACCTCACACAGAAGATCGAAAAGATCCTAGCCCGCAAACGGCAGCTCGAGCGTGTCGACCTTGCTTCAGACCTCCGGCGCGCCGATGAATACATTGCGGAGCTTGAGTTGTCTCGAGATCTAAGTCAGACTGTCGTTCATATCGACTGTGATGCCTTCTATGCAGCGGTTGAAGAGCTGGACAGGCCGGAATTTAAGCATGTACCTATGGCTGTTGGAAAAGGTGTCCTTACAACATGCAATTATCACGCGAGAAAATTCGGCTGCCGGAGCGGTATGGCAGGCTTCGTGGCCATGAAGCTCTGTCCAGACCTCATCTGCCTACCCTTGAACTTTGCGAAGTACACGGCGAAGGCGCAGGAAGTAAGGGAGATTTTGGTAGAATACGACCCGCGATTTGAGAGCGCCAGTATCGACGAGGCGTACCTCAACATCACGCAGTACTGCGAGGAAAAGCACATGGATCCTGAAGATGCTGTCTCACAGCTGCGGAATGAGGTCGCCGAGAAAACGAAAATCACCATATCCGCTGGCATCGCCGCAAATGCCAAAATCGCCAAGATTGCTTCCAATCGGAACAAGCCAAATGGGCAATTTACAGTCGCCAACGACAGAGCCACCATCGTCGCCTTCATGCGTGATCTGCCCACCCGCAAAGTCAATGGTGTTGGTCGAGTCTTTGAGCGCGAGCTCGACGCTATTGGCGTAAAGACTTGTGGAGACCTCTACTCTCAGCGTGCCTACCTCTCCAAGCTCTTCGGAGAGAAAGCGTTCCAGTTCCTCATGCAATGCTACCTCGGTCTCGGACGTACAAAGGTTCAACCTGCAGAGGATTACGAAAGAAAAAGCGTAGGGACAGAAAGCACGTTCCATGATATGAGCGATAAAACTGAACTTCGAGAAAAGCTTCGATGGATTGCTGAGGAGCTGGAAAAAGATCTCACTCGCACACAATTCAAAGGCAGGACGCTGGTCCTCAAGGTGAAGCTCCACACGTATGAGGTCCTCACAAGGCAGGTCATTCCTCCAAAGGCCGTCAGAACTGCGGACGATCTTTACACATACTCTCTGCCGATGTTAACGAAGCACGAGAAAGAGATACCCGGCATGAAGCTCCGGCTCATGGGCCTCAGATGCACGCACCTGGTCAGCACTAAAAGGAGTGGCACAGACTTCTTCGGCATGCGGCGCCCATCGGCCGCAGATGGCGAACCAGGCCCCGTAAACACAACAGTGGACGATAACGGCGAATGGGAGGTCTGGCCCGAAGAAGAGTTTGAAGAGGCCGCTAGACAGGAACGCCAGGACGAGATGAACGAGCTGGAGCAACTCAGCCAAGAACAAGATACGAACGGATCAGACCCTCTCACAGCAGAAGAGCAGCTCGAAGAAGCGAACAGACGGCATAAGCACGGCAGAGAGATTCTACCCAACCCCGATCCCACATACAGGGGTCCAAATAGCTCCGTCGGCTTTCAAAAGCCAGCTACAAATCATGTCCCGCCAGCTAAAGAAGAAGAACCGTTCTGGCCCTGCCCGATCTGCGCTCGGCCACAGTCAACCAACGACAAAGACTTCAATGACCACATCGATTTCTGTCTTTCGAAACAGACGATCAAGGAGGCTGCGACGGAGACCTCGTCTTCGCCTCCAGCCTTGGAGAAGCCGCTGTTAGACGGGCGGGGGAAGGAGAATAGCAATAGCAATAGCAACAGCAGTGGCAGTGGCAGTGGCAGGGGTAGGCCCAAGGGGAAGCGGAAAAGCGAGGCGGTGGGTGACAGGGGGAATAAGAGGCTTTTCTTCGGATTGCAGAGGACTTGACGGCTGTATATAGTTGAACGTCATGGCATAGCGATGGAAGTGTATGGTCAATATGGGAGTCCGTCCAGGGCAGTGGAGCTAGGCCAGGGGAAGGTACCCAGGATATCCGATATACCCCTACAGCAAAGCGATAGAAACAGCATGCATTAATGGCAGGAATCATGCCACAGTAACAATACAGAAAGCTGCGCCTTCGAGAGCGCAACTCCATTCCACCAAATGGCAGAGACATCACGCTGTCAAGGCCAAACAAGCATTCCTCCCCACAACCCAGTCAACCATCAGATCTCTCAACCAGTGGGACTATTCCTCAACCTCCTTCCCGCGCCCACATTCTCTCTCCCCTCCAACTTGACCATGCCGGCCCTCCCACCTCCAAACTTCTGCGGCAGCTTACTTTCCGTCGCCTGCCTCTTCAGAGGTGGCGGACCCATTCCCACTACTTCCGGATCTGACTTGATAGCTGTCGCTGCAGTGTGGGCCTGAGAGTCGCTGTTGTTGCGTTTGAGGGAGGCGTTGACGTTCAAGTCGATCTCGCGTAAGCTTGCTGGGTTGAGGTCTTTGGAAGGAGATGTCGGCGGAATGCCGTTGATGGCTGGTGCGTCGGTGTAGACAATTGATTTGCTTGGAGATTTGTTAAGGGAATGGGTGCTAATGGCCTGACGAGGTGATGAAGGAGCTTGCTTGCCAAGGATTTTGTCGTGAGGCTCGGTACGTGAAAGAGTGGTTGGGTACTGATATTGCGTCTTTCGGGGCGTTTCGCCAGTGGGGACGTATTCCTTTAGAGGTGCAGCTGTAATGTCGGCACGAAGCTCTGCAAGAGGCTGCTGAATTGTTGAATCAAGAGGAGGTAGAGAAGCCGATAGGGCCGTGCTCTGGGTAGACACATCGGCTCCAATTTCACGGACTCGGTCATACGTCGAGACAAAATGATCGCCAATGCTTGAGTAGGATTGGTGAACGGTAGATGCTAAGCCTTGCAACGAGGTAACATGTCTGCTGTGATGACGTTCGTTCTGAGATCGTGCTCGTGTCACAAAGTCGTCGAGTGCTTGCATCTGGGTAGCCATGTCCTTCATCTGAGCGTCGACTATGCGGATTGTCTCTTCATGGACCGACTTGGTCGTGGCCTGGATCGAGACGTTATGCTCATTGATGGCCTTCCAATCGTCCTTCATCTTGCTCTTTAGGGTGTCCTTAGATTTCAAGACCTCGCCGACAAGCAAGTTCTCCTTCTCTGACCAGACGTCCATATTGTTGTTGTAGTTCTCATTTGCTGTGTCAAGCGTCGATCTCGCAGACGTGATATCCTTTCGCACGGCATTGATCTTCGACTCCCATCGTGAACCTTGCTCCTCGGCAGATCGATTGATAAGAGTTGTTATTTGCGCGAGCAGGTTTTGACGATCCTTAGAGGCTTGAGCGCGCTCTTCGTTGAGGCATGTCTCCAATCGAGCGGACACATCTCCATCTGCTTGGATCGCACCCTTTGCAGCAGCCGAAGCTTTCTGTCTGAGACTATCGGCTTCATCCTTCTGTGAATTGACATGCTTGACAAGCTCTTCGAAGAGGGTTTTAAAATCCTTTCCAAGCGAGCTGTAGGAAGTGTGGAGCTAGCAATCGCATCAGCGCACGACGCGAGCAAGCCAGGTCTTTCTATTGCTTACCTGAGTATGGAAAGACCCCAGCTCGTTGATGACTTCAGCTGATATACGTCCAGCAGCTGCGGATAGTCCATTCAGTCCTTCGCCAATTTTGCGCTTGACGTCTTCCCGAAGAACTTTGATCTCCTCAAGAACAACGTTCATGTCTTCTTTCGCCCCCGAGGTCTGTTGGTTTACTTCCTTTTCCGAGGCTTCGAAAGATGCAACCTTCCCCCGGAGTAGGTCTTGCGTAGCTCCTAGCTTCTGCAGTTCTTCCTGCACAAACCCCTGCATCCGGCCTGACAGGGTCGCTATGAGTTGTTCTTGCTGCGTCTTGAAATCTCCAAGTTTGGAATCTACGAGCTGAGTAACGTCAACAACTTTGCTTTGTGATGCCTGCCATCCTTGGCGATTAAGGGTTTGCAGGTCAGACTTTCTCTTGACCTTAGAGTGCAAGCCGCCAACATCAGAGACAGTCTTTGCAAGCGTCGAAATGAGTTCTCCCCCAACGTTGTTCAGCTGCTCCTCTGTGACTTGATGAGCTTTCCTGAGCGTTGTTTCTTCAGCAAGAGTTTGCCGCGTATCTGCCAGCACAATCTCTGTCTTCTCCAGGACGTCCTTGGTCTCATCGAGGATTTGCTTCGTGCAATCGTTATCCCTTTTCAGGAAGTTGAAACTACTCGTCAGAGAAAACAACTCCTGGACTTTGTTTCTCAAGTTGGTTTCCATCGTCTCGATCCTGGCCTGCTGCTCTTCGCTGAGGATCCTTCGAGACTCGCTCTCTCCTACCATCGCTTCGTAGCCTTCTGTCGTCAAGTAGACACCGTTGCGCTGTCTAGTGGCTATGAGCTCTCCCTTTAGCTTCTCAATCTCCGCAGTGAACTCGCGAAGAAGGGTCTTCTTTGAGACCATTTGATTGACCTGGGGCTTGTTTTTTATGTTTTTGGCGCGGAAGGCATAGTCCAACGTCGAAATTGTTTCTTCCAAGTTACTTTTCGCCGGCGAGACTGTTGCGATGATGCATGTCTTCGTTCGACCGCCTAAAGAATCTTGCAAGAGTCGGGTGAGTTTGGACTCACGGTATGGAATATGTGAGCCTCTTTCGACGAGCGCGTTGATGACTCTGCCGAGAGTCAGTAGACTTTTGTTGATTAATCCCGCTTCAGCAGCACGCTTGTTCTCGGCTCCACTCCGTTGTATATTCTCGCTGCCAGCAAGGTCCACCAGATTGAGCTTCCCAGCACTGACAAAGTCTTCACCAGTTTCGGTGGTTCTCTTGATATAGGCAGTCATAGTGAAGACCGTATGGCTTCGAGAACTCAGATCGTTGCACTTTGTGGCTGCCACTTGCCGCTTGTGGCTTCCGTCCTGTAGCAGCTTGATACCATCTCTTGCGGTCTTGATGTGGGCCTCCTCCATTCCTTGGACAATCGTAGCGCTATGGCCTTTCTTTTGTGCATCGTCGTAGATTTTTAACTTTGTCGTGTCGTCTAAAGAGAGCAAGTCGCGTAACTCTTCATTATACAATTCAATGAACGAACATTTCACAGAACTCTCCGCCTCATCCTCTTCAAGCTTGCCGAAAAGGGAATGTAGAACTCTTGGTATGATACCAGCCGAGTCTGAGAGAAGTCCCAGAGTGTCTGACATGTCTCCGGACATTGTGTAGGTCTTGCCAGTGCCTGTCTGGCCGTAGGCGAATATAGTACAGTTGTAGCCTTGGAGCATCTGCATCAACTTGTTAGACTGAGGGATTGGAAGGTCTGCTGCAGTCCTTACCTCCTCCAGAATTGGCGTCACAACATCATCGTAGATCATGGATTGATCCGCAGCCGGCGAGAAGACTTTGTCGAAGTGATAGGTCTTGTTGCTCAGCGCACTGGCACCCATCGACAATTCCACATTCTTCCCCTTAACACCGTCTGTAGAGACAACCACTCCGCTATTCTCTCGCACTTCTCGATCATTGCGCCCACGACAGCGAACCACCACATGAATGTTTGTCTCTTCTCCATCGGCGTCGAAATCTCGCTCCTTTCGCTTTTTTGGAGACCTTGAATGTGATGTGTTCGTTGACAGTGACATGATGCTGTCAGCTGGTGAGACGGTACCTGATTGAGTTCTCGCATTGAGCGAAGGTGCGCTTGATTGTGCCCTGGCAGGCGCAGTGGGTCTAGACATTGGCGGTCGCATTGAGTGTTTCTTGTTCGCTAGGCCAGAGGCAGGGCGCGGTATGCCAGCCATTGATTCTGGTACTACAGCTCCTTTCTCAAGTAGAGTTCGCGATATCTGCGTAAGTATATCTAGTCAGAGAGATGTAACAAGTCGCCCGTAAACATGGCGACAAATGCCAAGCAATAAACAAAAGATCTGCGCTAATGCAAGGGACCAGTCAGGGCCGACTTTATGCCGATGGGGCAGATGCCCCTCGGCCCCTCCACCCCTCCAAATGTCAGCTGCCCGTCTTCAGGTAGCAATCATGTTCTCCGACATGACTATTGCTTCCCAGATCTTCCATCCCATTCATGTCTAATCAGATACCGATTTGATACGATGGCAATGTCTTCAAACCCAGCGATGCAGGTGCACCCAGGCCGTGGGCTTGGTTTCCTCGGTAGGTAGACCTCCGTACAAGCTTCGTTCTTGCTAACGGACTATAGTCTTAGGAGCTTCGTTGCACGATGTCTTGACGCGACTGAAAGCCCAAGTACAGGTTTACCCTAGCATAGACGTCTCCTATTCGCCGTCCAAGCCTCTTGCTGCCCCTGTCATACTGAATCTACCTCCGAATGGCATTCGTCTACGATTCGATGGACCTGACCAGAGACTTAGGCTGATCGAGGTCCTGGATTTCACCAAGACGCAGTTGATCTACAAGAATACTGATCTGGTCAAACTACCTGAGACAACAGGGCCAGATTCTTCAACATCAAGTTTAAGCGGCCCAGCCTTTCGACACGTCTACAATAGACTAATGGGCCCCGCGTTTCCTGGAGAATACATTCCACCAGCTTCCAACTCGGGCTTGACACAAGGATTGTACATACTATCATACCCGGGTATCGCATTCACGTTTCCATTCCAGGATTCCAAATGGGATCCTGCCAAGGACTTTGTTTCTTTACTTTCTTCCAACGCTGCTGCACCCGGGAAATCGATGGCGATTTTTGGTGGTGAATCATGGCAAGATGCGTGTCACGAGTTGATGATTACTCCATGCTCGAACCCAAGGTTACTTGCGCTTTCGAGCCGTGGTAAAGAGTTCCGCCCGCGTGAAGTTGATCTTGTTAGAATTCGTGGCAATGGTTGGGTAGACGTTGAAAGAGGGGCCAATACCCCCAACTTTCGGATCAGTCTGGGCAAGACCACTCCACAAGATCTTGTGGCAGAATTGGGCTCACCAGACGCGATATACCACAAATCTGACCGGAAGATGGCTGTCTACAAAATTCAGCATAGGGATCGAAAAACCGCAAGGACCTCATCCGGCACCTTCTACACTAATCATGAAGACATGACCGATACTGATCAGTCTTCTCTGCAATCAGCCACCGACGACTCAGACGCTGAAGAACGGTCGAACGCTACGGGTAACACAAAGGCAGACTCGTCTGCCGAATGCTTCTACAACTACTTCAACCATGGGTTTGATATCTTCATCTCACGGCCCACCCTTCCGGCCCCTAGTTTCTCTTCTGCTGAGAATGACGGCAGAGAGATGGTCGAAGTAGGGGAGTCAAACCAGCTTGTGGCAACAAAGGTTCTCTTGCACGCCAACGTGCCAGGATCTTATCCATTTAATCGCTATCGCCGTAGTCGTTGGGTCATTGATGTCCAAACCTCTGAACTCGACGGTGCCTTGAATTCGGAGACTCCCTTTACCACACTGTCTGGATCCCTCCGGCAGATCTCGCGAAACCATTCTGCGGGTGAGAACGGCGAGGACTCACTCCAAAGGCACATAGTGCTCAACAGAGAATTGGCAGAAAGTCCAGGGAGCAGCTGCGAACTGCTCGGCGGATGGGAGGAAAGCACAGACACCCAGCGAGAAGGCTCAATGGACAGTACGGCCAGAGATGGTCCAGGGTACGGTAACACTAAGCTGTTTGGGTTTCCTGGGTTATTGTTCGAGGTACTCAGGAATGATGCTGTAAGCTGCTTGACGGTGTATTGACGGGTAGGTATTGAGAAATTCTGGGAAGAACACGATAAATATTGCGAAGATACCCCTTCTAGCGTAGTGATATTGGAACTAATGACAACGTATCATTCTTCACAACTAGAATACAGACGAACAGCCATAATATTCCCATGTTACACATGCAACAATCCGTAGTTACTTTCAACGCTATGGGAAACATAACCCAGTCTTGGTTTGAACTCGAGAAATTTCAAGCAATTCGACTTTTGGTGATGACTAAGCTCGACTTTGACAGAATTAGCTGGTTGTATGTCACGATATTGATGAGGCATGCTTGGGCCCAAGCCTTCTTGGAAGAGGACCTTACACCTTCCCAAAAGTACTTTCCCACCCAGACCGAAGGTATCAGACCGCCCAACATACATCAAGCGATGTACAGATGACCTATACAAGTGGCAGAAAGACCGACATCCAACCCCTACATTTACACTACATGACGGGCCTCCATACGCGAATGGTGACCTACACATTGGCCATGCGCTTAACAAGATACTGAAAGACATCACATGTCGCGTTCACTTACGGGAGGGTAGAGTGGACTGGGTCCCGGGTTGGGATTGCCATGGACTACCAATCGAGCTTAAAGCTCTTCAAGAGCAGGGGAAGAAGCCTGGCATTCTGACTGAGAAGGCGGACCCGGTGAATATAAGAAATGCGGCGAGAAAGCTGGCAGTAAAGACGGTGGAGAAACAGAAGAAGTCCTTTCGAGAATGGGCGATTATGGCAGATTGGGACAGTGCTTGGACTACAATGGACAAGGGTTTTGAGATCGAACAGCTACATGTCTTCAAAGAGATGGTGAAAAAGGGCCTTATCTATCGGAGATTCAAACCAGTGTACTGGTCTCCATCATCGCGGACTGCGTTAGCGGAGGCGGAGCTTGAGTATCGGGAGGATCATATGTCTACGGCTGCATTCATCAAATATCCACTTCACGACTGTTCAGAGGCTCTCAAAGAGAAGCTCAACATCAATATAAAATGTCTCAGCGCTGCCATATGGACGACTACACCTTGGACTCTTCCAGCGAACAGAGCAATCGCATTTCACAAGGACATAGATTATGAAATCGTCCATTCTGCGGCCCACGGCTATATCTTGCTTGCTGCTTCTAGAGTCGACGAGTTGCGGAGGCACTGCCAAGAAGGTTTAAAGACCCTTCTTTCCATTCAAGGAAGAGAGATCAATGGAATGACATATCGCAGCCCAGTGTTCGACAGCCAGGCATCGCCCAGGCCACTGCTACATGGGGATTTTGTCACGGAAGGATCGGGATCAGGGCTGGTTCATGTGGCTCCAGGCCATGGCATGGAGGATTATGAGTTGTGCCTGAATCATGGAATTCCGGCTTTTGCTCCCGTCGATGATGAAGGTTGCTTCGTTGACGGCATAGAATGGCTGTCAGGTCAGGATGTGTTGACCACAGGAAACGAGTCAGTACTAAAGCGTCTGTCGGATCTTGATTGTCTCATAGCACGACATGATTACAAGCACAAGTACCCATATGACTGGCGCTCGAAGCAACCCGTCATCGTGAGGGCTACAGCGCAGTGGTTCGCAAACGTTGGCGACATTCAAGAGTCTGCTTTGGAAGCATTAGACTCCGTGAAGTTCATCCCTACAAGCAGCAAGACTCGACTCCAGACCTTTGTCAAGAACCGGAATGAATGGTGTATATCAAGACAGAGGGCGTGGGGCGTGCCTATTCCAGCGCTATACAACATCGAGACTGATGAGGCACTTTTGACTGAGACCAGTGTGTCTCATATCACCTCAGTCATCAAAGAACGTGGCATAGATGCATGGTGGACTGATAATGAAATGGACCCTGCATGGACACCGCCACCGTTAAGGAGTCACCAAGGCGAGACAAAGTATAGGAGAGGCAAGGACACCATGGACGTGTGGTTTGACAGCGGGACAAGCTGGACTCAGATGCAGAGGGTATCAGAAAATCATACTCATATCGCTGACTGCTACATTGAAGGGACTGACCAGCACAGAGGATGGTTTCAATCCAGCCTGCTGACTCATGTGGCGTACCAAAGAGAGACTGCTCAGATCGAACCGGAAGGCGGTCCAGGCTCCGTACAAATTTTACCATCAGCACCCTACAAGAATTTGATAACCCATGGTTTCGCTTTGGACCAGGATGGGCGCAAGATGAGCAAGTCTGTCGGCAACGTCGTGTCCCCGAGTGAAATCATGGAAGGAACACTTTTGCCTCCAACGAAGAAGAAGATCAATGGGGCAATGACCGAAATTCGTGATGGTATGGGCCCAGATGCTCTTCGCCTGTGGGTTGCGAGTTGCGATTACACTACCGATGTACGAGTCAGCCGAACTATGCTACAGGCAGTCAATGGCAGTCTGTCGAAGTATCGCGTCACTTTCAAACTTCTTCTGGGTATCCTTAACGACTTTGATCCCTCAAAGTGCTCTAGCTTTAGAGAACAGGCCAGCAGTATCCACCAAATTGCCCTCCTGCAGTTGCTAGAGGTGAAGTCTAGCGTGGAGAAGCACTACCGCTCAATGGAATTCAACCGAGCTATGGCCAATATTAATGCTTATGTCAACACCAATCTCTCATCTTTCTACTTTGAAAGCATCAAGGACGTGGCTTATTGCGGCACTATACAGGAACGAGCCCAAGTCCAAGCTACACTGTACTGGATACTTACCGAGCTGCAACAGATGCTTCTTCCTGTGACCCCTTTGCTTATTGAAGAAGTTTGGGACTACACCCCGAAGCTCATTAAAGACTACAACCCTACACCACCTGCAATGCGACTACGCAAAAACTCGAGCCTTCCAGTTCAGCAAGACATGGGGAAGCTTTTATCGAAGTCTGATATTCCTCTTTTAATGCGAGCCTTAGCTGCAGTCAGGAATGGGCAGGAAGCTGCTCGAAATGACAAGAAGATGGGAGATTCCCTGCAATCGTACGTTTTGTTGGAGATCAATCCGATGCTGGAAGCAAAAACCCCGGCTCTTGACCTCTTGAGGCGCTATCAGGATGACCTGGAAACTCTCTTCGTGGTGTCTCACGTCAGCATTGTCGAAGGGGGAAATCTATCAAAATTAGACAAAGCCAGGTGGTCCTACAACACGGATTGTGATATTCAGGGGCAGATGATCAGAATACATGTACACGAGCCGGAGCAGGCGAAATGCAATCGATGTTGGAGGTATAAAGCCCCTTTGGATATACCAAAAGAGGACGCTCTATGCCGAAGGTGTGCGCTGGTGGTCGACGACTTGAAGGATCGAACGCCCGGGCTTTTCGAGTACGGTCTCCGTACTTAAATTGCTACTAGGGCTTGAAGCCATTGTAAGGGGAAATTTCTTCCACAACAGCTAGAGTTTGCATACTTGATGAAGAGTCTAAAAGAAACACCTGCAATGACCTCGCTACTTGCAAAACCCCCGTCATGGTGTTCTGAAACCGAATGCATGCTATGATATGTCAACCTTTGTGACGCGCTGTCTTTGCATGTGACTTCTAGAGGGTACTGTAGTCATCAAAGAGACCCACATGTGCCCAAATTCTAAAAAATTTGATGTAAACAGAGGCACCTGAAGCGGCTAGCGCGCCGTCAATTCTACGATCAACTTTGTCTAAAGTTTGAGCACTCAGCACCCGACCACCAACCACCTCCTCGGCGCTTAGTCGTCCACTACCTCAAAATCTTGCACAACTTTCAAAATTGCTTAGTCGTCGACGACACCGTTGCCGAGCCAAAAGGCTTACTATTACCACCAATATGCGGATGTCAGACGAGATCCAAGCTCGTCTGAACCATAGTGTTCATGAGCTTTGTGAAGTCCAACAGCTTTTGGCTACTGCATCAGACCGCGTTCAGACTGCATTCGACGCGATCCAAGTATGCAACGCTCGTGCTGAGGAAATTGACCCTACCATCAATGGATTGAACCGTCAGATCCACGCATTAAACGAAGACATGGATAGAGTCTTCGCTTTACGCAACGATGAGAGTGGCTCATATCTTATACAGGAGAATGCTCAGCTGAAGAGAGATGTCACAGCTCTGCAGACAGCTCTTCGCAGTGAGATAGGGCAGCACCAAGCTCAACTTACCGACTCGGTCAAGCCTGATCAGGAGTTGGTCCAACGCGTTCAGAGCCTTGAGCAATTCATTACTCAACTCAAAACAAGGATCAATGAGATGAGGGAACAGTACGAGAGTGCGATCATTGACAACGTCGACCAGAGACACACCATCGCTGCTCAGGCGGACACTATCAAGGCCTTGCAGGGCACCCCAGGTAAGTATTACAGAGGTTACAGCCCCTTTTTACACGAGGCTGATGACCTACAGCTTTCAATGTTATTGCCAACACTATGGATACCAATGGCGCCACTTCAAATGGATCTATTCCCTTTGGCAAGACAGTGGTTGAGACAAAATGCGGCCTTACTGTGACAATTGAGAGCAGTCCTGACAGCAGCCCCAAGAAAGCCAGCCTGCACCATGGTTGGATCAACGAAATCCCCAGCGACGCTGCAGTTCCATTCCCAGACATCGCCCCTCAATCTCAATTCACAAGTCTTGCCCCAGCCAATGGAGGATCTACACAGGTAGCCATCCGTACACCGGGTAGACCAAAGGGATGTGCTATTGTGAAGGGGACTCAGGAAGCCAATGAGTCATTCGAGCGTATGCAGCGCACCCTGAATTTTTCACCTTGTAGGTGGAAGCAACTTAGACTTTGAAACTCTTGCTAACCCCATCTTACAGTGGCCAATCTTAAGAATGTTATTGACACTGACAACAATGGTACAGCGGATTCATCTTCATCTGCCTCAGGCTCCGCTGTTCCCATCATCAGACCCTTTGGCGGGCATCCTGTGACGCCGAGCAAAGTGAAATCCAAGCTCAACCCCGTGGTCGAAGCTTTCACTCCGTCCAACAGCAGTGGCAAAGATTCAGCAAAATCAGGCAGCATGCAGGCTTCCTCTCCGAGCAAGAACCAATTCAAACCCTCGGTCACCGCTACTACCACCAAGGAGAAAAAATTCGTCCCACCTCACCTTCGTCTTTTTTCTGAGGTCTCCAACAAGAAGCAACCGGTCACCATCACAGAAGAGCTGTCTGTCAAAGACAAGATCAAAGACCAGAGCACGATCGTCACGAGCAGCCTGAATGAATACACAAAGGAAGCGGAGCCACTCCAAGCTACCCCTTTGACCCCTCGTGTTCTACCTCATCTACGAAGTCTGACCAACGTGATCAAGAATGAAGATGCACCTCCGTCTCAAGAGCAGCGCTCTGGCGAAGGCAAACACAAAGAGGATACTATCGAAGGAATTGAGCTCTTGTCACACGAGTCGGCGCTCAGCGGCATGAATGAGAACATGGAAGTCGCAACCACCTCAAGTGCCTTCGTGAGGCCTGATCCAGGACTTCAAGCCTGGCTCGATTCTCAAGAAAAAGCTCAACCCAACAATGCGTCCGCCAACGATCCAGCATCCATGACCAATGACACGCTCATCGAGATCGAGCCCGATATTTCACCCAAAGCTGGCGAAGATAGGACAGTACCTCTGCCACCGGGCTTCATCCCAATCTCTGCCAAAGACGCTCCCGTTGAGACCGAAACAGCTGCTCCCATTAATCCCGACCAAGTTGCTTCTCCTATCGCCACCCACAGCCGCGTCATTCACCGCAACCCAACCGTCGAGGACGAAGGTGCTGCATCAGGGCAGGAAGTCTCAGTCAAGCCCAGCTCTGAGGAAGAGAAGAATGCTGCTTTTTTGGCCGAGTACAATAGGAAGCTCAGCTCAGTCAGTGAGAAGTACGGGAGGGATTCACGCAAAGGCTCGGATGCTAAGGAGGATGGTGTTGACCCTATTAAATACGAGGGTCCTGACTCCGTAAGTCTTGCCATGTTACCAGTCAGTCTTTGGGTGCATGTATTAACGCACGTACAGAGCTACATTTCTTCCAAGCCCACTGGTACGCACGAACCAGGGGCCCTCCTCGACAAGGAGTGCTACAACTTGGTCTTCAAGCCGCGCCAGGCGGTCAAGGTGGATGACGTTGGGCAGGAGTGGAAGGCGGTCCGCAAGAATGGAAAGGTGGTTTACGTGTTGTGATGAAAGACGTTGTTCCCATATTTGTGGCTACTCATACGGCAGGCAATCACTCCCTGGATCCTATCGATCAGTGCCGAAGCCTTTAGATAGCCACAACTTCGACAGACGGTGAGTCACGCTTCGGTGTGCATCAGGATATGTTATCGGAAATGAAAATTTGCTTGTCAAAGACGTGAAGCCCGGGTAGTGTCTTCATATACCTGGGGTTTCTTCCTTGCCACGTAGGAAGATAGTTAGATGCTGTTGATCTGCCTGGTAAAGCTTGTCCCTCCACTGTACTTGTGTCATTCTGAGGATTATACGAGGGTACTGGTGATCGACCGCATACCAAAAGTAAGACGCTACCAAGACAAAAATCGAATAGGCCAAGATACCAGTACCTCGGCCTGTCTCGAAAGCTTACTCCTCATCCATTGGTCTTCTTTATCTATTGGTGGAATTCTCCGATTTTTACAATGGCAAAGGTTAAGATACCGCTTATTGACCTCCTCCGAGAAAGTCTGCTTTTCACACTCAAGAACGACTCGTACAGACTTGATCCTCCCAAGTATGCAAATACAGAAATAGTATACCGGCAATGCTGCTCTCCAAAAGGTTGCTTCCCGTAGAAATGCTTCATAGTCCGAGGCTTATCTCACTCGATCCCATTCTCTCACGCTATCGGTGAACCATACTTTCTACCACGGCTTTTTCCCTTTTCTTGTCCCTTCTCAACTCTAGACAACTCGCCTCTCAACCAACGATTCTCCTCAGCTAAGGTCATTCTGCCTTCCTCTTCAGCCTTCACAAGCTCTTCGAACCAGGTCTTCTGTGCTCCGAAATGCTGCGTGATCTCTGCCCGAAGTGTGGTGAAGGAGGCCTCGAGGACCGACTTGACGGCCAGGCTGCAGGTGCAAGGACAGGGCTGGGGTTCACGCTCTAGATCGAGGGTAGAAATGAGCAGAGGTTTTGGTGCTGCTTTTGGTGGGGATGGAGATGGAGCTTTACCATCTGGATAGGTGGTGGAAATCCGCCAAGAGGTGTTTGCTGCTTTGGGGGGAGACGAAGATGGAGAGACTGTGTACCCTTGGAGAATAGTGTCGGTAGCAGAGTCACTTGACGATCCCTTCAAAGATGAGGCAGGAGGCGGTGCATACTTCTTCGGATCTGGAAGCCCTTTATTAAGCTCTGGGATACGGGGCGATTTCTTGAGGGATGGCCATTGAATGATTGGACCATCAGATTCTGAAGATTTCGGCGTGATCGTATGACTATCGGAGGCAGAAGAGACTGACAGGCTGACATGACCTTTTTGCTTTGGCTCCGAGTTTTGCTTGACCCCGGGTTCGGTAGACCGCGTGGACGGCAACGAAGGCAGCAACTTGGGTGGAGAGCTCGCTGGAGATCGGCTGATAGGATTGGCCGGAGCATCAGAGATAGAAGGGGTTGGCATGGATGTACCAGCGGACTCGGAGGAGATAGACAAGCTAACATGGCCTTTTCTCTTAGACTTCGCCTTGGAGGGTCTTTCGCCGGACGGGTGGGTGATTTGCAAAGTAGGAACGGGCTGGCGTGGCAAGCCCGCAGTCCAGTCGACTACAGTATCATCAGAACGTTCCGTTGAATCCGACGTGTGAAGATGCGACACCGCTGTTTTGTAGGATTTGTTACTGGTTGCGGAAGACACTGGCGAAACTTGGGTAGCACGTTGAGGCGTCTTGGGGGGAACATCCAGCCATACGTCTTCGGGCTGCTCGGACATGAATTGGACTTCCGAAGCCTCGGCATTGTCTTGAGAGTCGTTCGTTCCAGGGCTAGGCGGTTTGCGAGGGCCAAAAAGGACCTTCGTCTTTGTCGGAGGGTTGGTAACAGAGAGTCCTTTAGACAATCTAGGATTGCTAGCGCTCACTTTTCTTGCCTTGGCCATCATACTCAGGTAAGATGTACTCTGGACGTCAGACTGGCGAGATGTTTGAGCGCGACGCATCGATAGCCGACCTCCTGGCTTGGGGCTAGGCCTTGGTGGTATGGGTGGAGTCGAGCCGTCCTCGATCGATGCTTGAAATGACGATGATTCTTCTGTCTCGGTCTGCGAAGAACTCTCTATAGCTTTTCTCTGTACAGTCGCACTGGAGCTTCTCGTAGTGAAATGAGTAGGCCTTTCTTGACTGTCGTTGTTGGATTTATCTGGCCCCACAATTGCATTGCCCTCTCGGACACCGTCTCGAGGATTCATTGCTGCCATTGTGGACTCTTTGGAGGGCGGCTCCCAGTGGAAAGCTCCTAGCGTCTTACGTGGAGTAGTGAAGTCGAATAGAGGATCCTCGGAGTGCTCAGCGATATTGGACGACATAGCTAGAATTCCCTTTTGTAATGGGCGGGGTTCAGCAAACACCGAGCTTCCCAGGCTCTTTCGCTTCCTCTTAACAACAGGCGATCGACGAATACCAGAGCCGATGTTCTGGTGTGGGAGCATGGCGCCACTTCCAATCTGTGTCCATTCCACATCGATAACTCGAGCACCTCTGTCATCCAAAGCTTGTTCTCCCAGTGCCTTGCCATCGAGATCGAAAAGCAGCACCCTCCCATCTGAACGGCCCACAGCGATATAGTATAACTCGTTCGGTAAGTCATGTCTCTGTTCAGGCTCAGCATCATCTGCTCCGTCGAATTGACCGATGATGACTTTCTTTGTCGAACAGACGATTGATAGACTTGTTGCTGGTCGTCTGATATGCCACGACTTAAGCAAGACTGCCTTGTGCTTGGTAGGCTGCGTAAAATCGACAACGCAGCATTTGCCGTCAGCACCTACGGTGACGACTGTCGCTTTGCGTCCCGGTACAAACGCCACTGCCGATATGCCGGATTCCTTCGGTCCAATACCGCCTAGATCTATACTAGGATCATAACCCTCATAAGTTACACGACCTCCTGTCGCCGCGTTCTTGGTCATATTCCCTAGGTGAAGCCCTCTCATGAACGCCTTTTCGCCACCAGAGCCCCACACCCCAGGATTTTCGCGACGTTCGCCATTGCCATGGCTGTCGTAGAAGTAGTGGGCGTCATAAACTGCAGCTGTACCGTCTGCAAACGCGAGACAGAAGTAGTTCTCTCGCTCTGGGTGAAATTCGGCAGCGACTACCGCAGATGAGGAGGACTGAGGACGCAGTAGTACCGGTGGCGTTCTGAATGCTAAGCTCGTAAGGTGGATCGTTGGTGGAGCGGGTGATGTAGAAAGTAAGAATTGCGAAGTACAGGAGAGAGCGAAGACAGACGGAGGTGAAGGGTGGGTATGGGCGGGGTCAAGAAGCTTAGAGTGCTTCAAGGAGTACGATTGGACGGAGTTCTGAAGTGTAGTTGTGAAGAAGAGGTTCCTCGACTCTTTGGCATACTTCAATAGCCTGACTTGGCCCTGGGCAGAGTCAGCTGGATTGAGAGGGACTTTTGGAAAGCAGGACACCGACGTCTGATCCTTTCAATCGATAGCTTCTCTGCATCCCTCCACTGATATCGTGCAGCACCACCACTTGACTGTCGGCGATAGCGAGCATTTCTCTACTGCTGGCAATCTTCTTGGCTGCAACAATGCCTTCAGAGCCTGAACGAAAGATCTCAGAGATACCGTAAACATCCCAGATGTACACTCCCTTCCCCGTGGTTATGATCAATCGGTTGGACGGTGGAAAAGAGAAAACACCCCAGCCACGAAAGCCAGGCTCTTCTGTAGCACCTGAGGATCCTTGGCGTGAAGGAACGATTGGAGGTGGGTTTGGTGCTCTGGCTGACTTCGTCATTGCTGCGTTCTCCGGGCTGTCATTTGCAAAGTGTGAAGTGTTTTAACATCGTCTGAGGTCAGCAGAGGATGCTCTTACGGTAACAGTCCAGCCAGGGAAGGCGCTATAGAGGGATTCCATGAAAACGTTACTGCTGCCAACATAATCAATCCTGGAAGGCGCCCTCGTTGTAACAGAGTCTAATTTCCCGTTCCGATAGTCCCTTATCAGCGCTTCGACGAAGAAGCGGTAGGTATTGGCGGAGGCTCGCTGATCGCATGATTCTTGGTCTCGAGGTAAGGCCTTGGCTTCTGGGCCAATGATAGCATTGTCAATCTAGAACGGCTAAGCAGCTGTAGGGAATGGCCACTGATTCGGAAAAAAATGCCAGTCAATAATGACACCTAGCCCATGCTCCCTCCACTAGCATTGTGATTGCCGATCAAACCTGCCATCTCCAGTAAAGCTCTGTCTGATTCAACATCTTTGCCCATCCTCAAGGTCTTCCTCGCTGCCGCCTCTCGATCTTCGAAAGCCCATGCGGCTCTTTGCTTTTCGGCCTCTTCATCTCCGCCGCATCCCCAGATCTCAAGACTCTCAATCTCGAATCGATCTTGCCAGTCGTTCTTTCGGGTTTGACTCGGATGAAAAGAGCCACCTCCATTACTATCGTGGTTTAAAACGCCGAATTCTAGAGAAGCATCAAGCAACAATGAGACAGCGCCCAGCGTGGCATGTTGAGAGAGGCTAGACACTGGTCTAGCCCGAGGTGGAGGGTTTCCAAAGCTGACGCCGTGCTTAGTGAATGTAGCATACTCTGTATTTATAGTGCTCGCTCGGAAGACCTCGTGTATCGGTTCAAGCTGAAAGAGTAGAGCATCAGATCCACCTATAGCTTCTTTGTATGTATGCTTCCAAGGCACATCAAGGTACGCGCCGAAGACCACCCTTCCAGATGTACTGTTGCCTGAGGCCCCGTTGGGGAATCGCTTGGGGGGTAAAGTATCGGCAAAAGCACGTTCCCGTGCACCATCCGGTTCTGATGGCAAACGAGTGCCAGACACGAGCAAGAGGCTGGGTGCGCGCCAGTTGAAGACCTTTTGCTCAATCGACCCCATACTGAAACCAGCTTCGCCTCCCATGTACAGCGGTCTCAAGCGTCGGAATAAATTGCTTCCTTTGAGGAAGAAGGCCAATTGGCAAAGGACGTTGAGATCAAGAATCTCTCCTTCTCGAGGGAGAAGTGGCTCGAGCGGAGTATCTGGTACCTGCGGTACAATCGAAGGTGGTTTGATAGGCGAGGATAAAGGCGTAGAGAATGACGATTGTCTTCGACGTTTCGAGAGGTCTATGTTCTTGCTGAAAAGGAAGTGTTCAAACAAGGGGTTGAGGCCATCGAACATGTAAGGAAGAGACTAAATCATTCCTGATTCAGCATTTCTCTTCTGAGGTCAAACTTAAAACAGGCCTCCAAAGGCTTCAAGTTCTGCAACAAGTCTCGCAACTCGAAATGCAGTACGAATGAGGAAGACATGGCTCGGACAAGACAACTCACTGCGGGTATGATAATGTTGAATGAATGATAGAAAATGCCTGGATTCTGCTCCGGTGTGAAAGACCACAAAATACTGTCCGCCACTCGGCGAAGGCCTTCAACTCTCGCTGCTGTCAAACGCTGCGCGTGCCCGGAAAGGCTCTCCTGCGCATCCAATGGCGCAATGATAAGAAGTAGCATAAGTAAGCGTCTGAAATTATCGACTGGTATTTGGGCGTGATGGATCTTTGTATCGGCTCTTTGGTCGAGCTTGAATACCTCTATAGCGTCCAACGAGTCCAATGCCGCCAGAGCCAGTTCGTCGTCGTCCTCTTCTTCCTCGTCATCATTCGCGGGCTGATCGATAGAGAACCGCGGCGCATGACTTTGGATAGGAGATGTAATCGCCGTTTCTCCCGACCCTGGTTGCTCTTCTCGCAAGGCGTCCAGCGCTTCTTGTGACGGTTTTTCATGGACGGAACTCATCCTCCGATCGAACACTGCCAGACTTCTGAAAAGCAATTTGTTGCGATCTGCTTTCCCATTCTTTAATACTCTCCCATATCTCTCCGTCATGATGACAACGACCTTAAGCATGGCCTCGATCGTCAGAATACTTGGGGCCAGGCTAGGGAATGGGAACGCCCCAAGATAAGTAGCCTACAGACCGCATATTAGCTAATTATAGATTGTACGTAGCCCAAGAGGCATACCATCTGATAAACGAGAGGTCCTGGGCCAAGGGCATCAGGTATGACCAGAAAGCGACATAACGTCTCTTCCTTCCAATAGTGTATGCCGTCTTGCTCATCGGCCAGCGATCGAAAGACATCCTTGAAGTGGGTGATCTCCAAAGGCGTGAAGCACTGGATGGCCGTTAGACTGGGGAGGTTGGACCGCTCGAAACAGGCATCTTCTCACCTTTCTAGCGAAGCGTAACGCGAGCTCATGGCTGAGTTGCTCTGCAGGACTGTTAGCTTCAACCTCGTTTCTTGTTCCCAGGATACGGACCAGTGGACACGTTACGAGCACCTTGCTCCTCGGAATGCTGTTGACCCATTGCCGGTTTGTGCCAGTGCTAAAAACGCTGGGGAACGGGCGTGACCGTCGACCAGCATAGATAAATTCCTCGAGCATCCAAATTCCTAAATCCGATTTATCGCCGTCTTGGCGTGAACTGTTAATCAGGCCGCTGTGGAGACAACTCCTCCTGCTTCAATTGTCCTCCACGGTGACCTTCTCTCATTGCAGGGAGCAGGAGTGCAAGTGGCATTCACGGCCCACGGCCACAGTTATGTCTTCCATGACAGCTTCAGCATTGCTAAAGAGCCGAGTTCGCCGGCCCTCGATGCTTAACAAATTATCAAAAACCTCTGATCTAATTGACCTTTTCCCCAATGGTGCCAGCGTTGGCTGGTCCGGCTTTACAGGTGTTGGCTATCCGAAGTAGGTGCCTCGAAGCTCAAGCCATATCAATCGGTCTCACAACGCCTCTAGAAAGGTTCCCACCGCCCTTGCCGATCATGTGGAGAAGAACAAATTACAAGGGAAGCTCAAGTACTCCTTGTTTGTAGGAGCGTCCAGCGGAGCAGAGACGGAAAATAGATGGGCAAGGTTGGACATGATTGAGCGTCGGAGTCCTCATCAAGTTGGGAAAGAGATTGCAAAAGGCATCAATGAGGGCAGGATACATTTTTTCGACAAGCATCTAAGCATGTTCCCCGTGGACTTGATGTACGTGAGTACGCACTGATGCAGCTGGGTCAATACCTTCGCTGAAATAGATAGGGTTACTACACGAAAGACAAGCCAAACAAAAAAATAGATGTGGTCATTGTGGAGGCTTCAGCTATCACGGAAGACGGAGGCATCGTACGCCTACAGCCGTGATCTTGCACCGCATCTTGGCTAATAGTCTTCATAGATTCCTGGTGCAAGTGTGGGAGCGTCCCCAGAGCTCATACAAATGGCAGACAAGATTATCATAGAAGTGAATACAGCCATGCCAAGTTTTGAAGGACTACACGACATTACGATGACTGATCTGCCGCCGCGAAGGAAGCCTTATCTCATTATGTCTCCTGAAGATCGGATTGGGACCGCTCATATTCCAGTCGATCCGGAGAAAGTTGTGGCCATTGTCGAGAGCGACTACCCTGATCAGACGCAAGGAAATGCTCCTGAGGACGATACATCCAGGGCTATCGCTGCACATCTGATCGAATTCCTGAAGCATGAAGTTGCACAAGATAGGCTTCCCAAGAGCCTATTGCCCATACAGTCTGGCATTGGAAACATTGCGAATGCTGTAGTAGGGGGTCTAGCCCACGGGAATAATTTCGATAAGCTCAAGGTTTGGACGGAGGTGCTTCAAGACTCCTTCCTAGACCTCTTCGACAGCGGTCATCTCGACTTCGCAACTGCAACATCGATCAGGTTCTCTCCTGATGGGTTTAAGAGATTCTATGATGGCTGGGAGAATTATGCTGGGAAGCTGCTCTTGCGGTCCCAACAAGTCTCCAACTCACCTGAGATCATTCGACGATTGGGAGTCATTGTAAGTATTTCAGAGCCCATCATTTTCTCTTTTGGACAATTTCTTGAGCCTTGAGACATTCTTGGGAAGTGTTTACCTCCGAAACACGTTCCAACGCTCGAATTTCCCCCTCAAACAGGCAATACTGACTGCGAATTTTTTTTTCAGGGCATGAACACCCCTGTCGAAGTGTAAGTCTTTGCCAGAAATCCGGCAATCCTTCTGAATTAATACAGTGACAGTGATATTTATGCCCATGCTAACTCGACTTGTGTCATGGGCTCGAGAATGTTGAATGGCTTGGGAGGTTCTGCAGACTTCTTGCGAAGTGCGAAGATTAGTGTTATGCACACACCATCGACTCGCCCATCCAAGACAGACCCCACAGTACGTATTTTCGGAGCCCATATTTCCCCTTTTGGATCGTTGAGTCTTGAGACATGTCTTGGGAGCCTTTACTCTCGATACAAATGTCGAGGCCCAATGTACCTCCTCGAATAGGCAATACTGACTGCGAAACGCTGATAGGGCGTCTCATGCATTGTTCCAATGTGCACGCACGTGGATCAGACTGAGCACGATCTCGACGTTGTTGTAACAGAACAAGGCCTTGCTGATGTTCGTGGTCTTTCTCCTCGCGAGCGAGCCCGCGTCATTATCAATAAAACAGCACATCCAGACTACAAGCCCATTCTGCTGGACTACTTTGAGCGAGCAGAATATGAGTGTCTAAAGAAGGGCTGGGGTCACGAGCCTCATATGCTCTGGCAGACTTTCAAAATGCATAAGGAGCTCAACGACCATGGGACTATGAAGATAAAGAACTGGGATCCTTGAAAAGAAGGGTGAGAAGGTGACGCTTTCAATGTTTTCCTAGTGTATGTACTGTATACTGCTGCACTTCGTCGCTTGAGCTTGTAGCTTATGAGGAGGTAGGGACATAGAGACCGAGTTGGATTGATTGACCTTGATTTTGTAAAAGAGATTATGATCATGTCCCGCATAACATTCGCAGAAGAAAGGCGAATGTCTTCCTTTCCGATTCAATGTTCATCTCGAGCATCTATGCCACTGGGAAGAAAATAGGTATGAACGGATTGTTTTCTCTTTTCATGTGCATTCGATCTACATGGCGGAGTAAGAGGCACCAACGCCGTCCCAGATTGCTCACATGATGGTGTATAACCGCAGCAAAGCGCAGACATTCCGACTGGCGCCCGCACTGGGATGCGGGGAATTGTACGAGTACAGATGAGATGGGACTTGCTACGGTACAACGGCCAGATCTGAAGATCATACCGGTGTTCTTGGGACACCGGACCAGTTGGGCGCAAAAGAACCTTATCACGCCCGTGACACTTTCGATGAAGCGGCGAGGCCCACTTTCTCATAAGTGGTTAAGCCTCGGAAAGCTCAAAAGATAATTGATGATAAGGTACTTGATCAGATTTCCTAGAATCTTGTTAATGACGGATACTTCTCCGCTACCCCGGTCAGTGTCACACATGGCATTCTTCCCATGGAAAAGCTGTTATAAGCTGTTATGCGCAAAAAGCAAAGAGGTAACTATCATTAATTATGAAATGCAATGAATTGGCAGCATTCAAGTACCCCCGTACAGTAATCTCTCCGTGACGCAAGAATTGGCGTAGTCTAGCCAGATATAGCCATGGCTTTCTTACCGTCTTTTCCAATGACGGAGAGGAGGTCCTTTAGTCGTGCCTCAGAAATCCTTGATTCACCAGCCGAAGCCAAGAACCCCGCTCTGTCCCGCCAACCAATCAGCAAGCGAGGCTTCGCTTGCAACAAGTACCCAAGCTCTCTCCTTCCTTCCTTCTTTCTTCTCCCACCTTCCTCTTCTTTTACTCCATAACAACAACTCCCTGATCCAATACTTTCCATCATAATCATCATATCATTTCCTTATCAAGTTCTCACTGCACAATACAACTAGAGCAGTAAAAGACTGCAACAATGACAGGCGTCATGGAAGCTCTCAAGCATCAGCCGAGTGTGGCTCCTATTCCGAGCGTACGTCCACTCTTTTCTAATGTTGCCCCGACACGGGCTTTTTGCTGCTCTTGTTTATTGGGACTTCGACTGACCTCATAGCAGGTGGTACCAGGTAATACACCTATCTACCAGGAAGCTGGTGATGTTGGCAACCGCACTCTCTGGTAAGCCTTCCCCTCATCCATCCCTAGGCAACCATATTCATACTTGTGCACATCAGGGTCGTCTTCGTCATTATGCTCATCTCCTCCATTGCATTCTACGCCATGGCCTTCCGTGTCCCAGTCGTAAGTAATCCACCCACCCTACGGAATACCAACCGCAAGATGCGTCGACGCTGACTTTCGTAGCAAAAACGCCTGTTCCACATCTTGACTGCCTTCATCACTACCTTCGCTACCATCTCCTACTTCGCCATGGCCGTTCACGATGGTGTTGGCAAGAATGAGATTACTATCAAGCACACCCAGAAGCACTTCCCCGACACCTTCCAGACCGTCTACCGCGAGGTCTACTGGGCCCGCTACATCGATTGGAGCGTCACCACCCCACTTCTGCTCTTGGATCTTTGCTTGCTCGCTGGACTGGGCGGTGCCAACATCTTAGTTGCCATCGTCGCTGATGTGATCATGATCTTGACCGGTCTCTTCGCTGCCTTCACTGTCGAGGAGGGCCCCAAATGGGGATGGTACGCCATGGCTTGCATTGCCTACTTGGTCGTTGTCTACCAGCTCGCCTTCAATGGTCGTGGTGTGGTTCAGAACAAGGACAAGAAGACCGCTACTTTCTTCAGCGCCATTGCCGGATTCACCCTGGTCCTCTGGACCATCTACCCAATGTATGTTTGCACGCCAATTCTAGGCATGCAAAACACTAACGCGTCATAGCATCTGGGGTGTTGCTGATGGATCTCGCAACGTCAGCGTTGACTCCGAGATCGTTGCTTACGCTGTCCTCGACATTCTTGCCAAGCCCGTTTTCGGATTCTGGCTCCTCTTCACCCACGACTCCATGTCCGGGTAAGCAATCATAATACTCCTTACCGACCTTATGCAAGGCTGATTTCTACTAGTACCGCTACCTTAGAAGGTTTCTGGTCCAAGGGCATGTCCACGGATGGCGCCATCCGCGTCGGTGACGATGATGAGGGTGCGTAAACGCAACATCGTACACGATCTGCCAGGTCATGATCCGCTGCCATATGACCACAAATGCAGAGTCTACAAAAATCGGATCAGAGTGCCCAAAAAAGAACATGTGGAGAAGCTAGTCGTGGAAGGTGGAACCTAAGTATTGAATTGTGCATAATGAGCTTGAGAGGTGGTCAAAATCTTGTGCTGCAAATCTCCCTTTCCTGTCTCTCCTTCTTCCAGTTCTCATTTGCTCGGCAGCATTGTCCGAAGCATGTAACATAAATGACAAGCCTGAGAAAGTTTTGTGTTCCAGCCTCGCATGCTCGTGCTACATGAAAGTGCGAGAGTGCAATGTACCTGGCCACCAATTTCGGCGTATGTACATGATGCGTAAGTATCTTCTTGTCATCGACTCACATGATAAGCAAGGCCGCGTGTATGCCGCCGGACACCCACAAGAGGTACTGTTGTAGTGACCTACTGATATCGTCTTAACTGACTAGCCCCAGCCTCAACCACTGCCTTTTGAAGACTCATTTCCAACAATCCAACAGTTGATGGCAAGCTGACAGTGATGACATACTTGTGAGATCTGCATCTTAAAATCATACAATGAGTAGCATACCTTGACTTCGCTGGAAAATACTCGTATGGCCGAACAAGATATCTTCTTGATAAGCACGAAAGTACGCACCAATCACTATGAGTTGTTGAACCCTCAGTAATAACATTTTTGGTTGGTATATCCGCGTCGAACGGCTATGCTATAAGAAGGTAGGCTTCTCGGCCGTACGCTGAACTTCCTGGGGAGCCAGTTAAAGAGGTTTTTATTCGGCGTCACATGCAGTTCCTCATTCTGTAGGGTCCAACTCCATTGCGATCTCTTGACTAAGCAGCAGACTAAAGATGGGTGCGTTGGGCGCCACATAGTCCCGGTTCGGATTATATATGATTCGACAGCGACGATGCCGTTATTACGTTGTAACTGGTAGCCCAGCTGCTAGAACCCTTGAAGACCAAGACTTATCTCAAAGGAGACAGGATAATGCATGACCCGGTCTTTACCGAGAGAGTTCGATAAACACCGAGCCTAACCGAGTATCTCAGCGTTCCCAAGACGAGCGTCGTGCGGATTGTTGAGGATTGAGCTTGGAACTTCGAAGTTTCATTCGACTGGATTGCTACCCTGGGGTAGAGCTTAATGGATCTTGTGATCAAAGGGTTCGGACAATGCCGTCCTACCTTATCTTACTCCTCTTTGATGTACTCCAGTATACTTTATGGAGCTGGCCCCTCTTCCCTCGATGCTGGGGATATCCCTGCCCTCCTTCCATCTCTCAAGTCGTATTGCACACCTCTCTTTACTCTTCAGCTTTTGACCATCGTAGCAATATTCAGAAATATTTAGAAGTGTTCAGAAGTGCTAGGAAGTGTCCAGATATACATCGAACAGGCTCTTAGAAACACAAGCATACATCAAACATTGTCACGATGGCACCAGCTATTCTTGGTGCAGATGTGAATGGTCTAAATGGCTTTCATCCTCCAACATCCAAGGTCAATCTTGACTCGACCGAAAGAATCCCAAAGGGCCACCATCCCTCAATTTCCACGACAATCCCGTTCAGAGATATCACTACCAATGATCACCCAGCGGCCTTTGAACCCGACACATGTAATGGGAACCGTCATCATCTCTCGGCACCCGCAAACGGTCTTTCAAAAGAACCCACACGCGATCATGAACAAGCAGACTCTGGTATCTCAGACTGTTACCGCCCTGCGGCATCTGCTACAAGCACTTCTATTAATCCCACAGACGACGCCCATCAAACGGATTCTGACATCGCAAACGGTAACATCTTTGAGAAGACGCAGAACAGAAAAGTGGATATCGGCCCTCATGCCAGCATCGTTGTGCGAGAGTGGAAGCTCTTGCGGAACTCAGTCACTAATGTGACGCCCACGTATGTTGATACCGACTATCTTGGGGTTGCCAAAATCACTGCAGTCTCAAAGTGAGTGCACCCTTTTACAGTGAGGGCCTTGTCAGAACTCATCACGTTGAATGGGATTGTCCCTCCCACATACTGCGTCTGATCGATCAGCGGATATCAGAATCTTCAGGCAGCATTCTTGAGCCTCATATGTTTGCCTAGTGCTTGTCAGAGAATCTATAAAAGAGAACTCGCTGACATATGGACCAATGAAGGCATGGCATGAATGTAAAGATTAAAGACAAGGCTGCCGCTACAAAGCGTGTCAACGAGAGCGTAGAATTCCTGGCTCAACGCCTTGCGGATGGTCGTTCTCTCTATGGTAAGATTGATCACAAGGGGAGATCTCCCGATATCTAGAGCATGCGTTCAGTACATAAACGCTAACTTGTCCGGTCTCTTAGGCATCACAACCGGCTTTGGCGGCAGTGCTGACCTTCGAACACTCAAGGTCATGGACTTACAGCGGGCATTAATCCAACATCAACACAGCGGTATTCTCCCAATCGATAAAAAGGCCGGATCGATCCACCTCTCGTTGGGCAAAGCGCCGGGCGTCAATTTCATGCCCGAAGAATGGGTTCGAGGTACCATGCTCGTTCGCTGCAAGTCACTCCTCGCTGCCCATTCAGCAGTGCGCTTCGAGATCATTGAACTGATTATATCATTGCTCAATAACGACATGATACCTTTGGTTCCTTTGCGTGGCTCTATTTCTGCATCCGGGGATCTTCAGCCGCTGTCTTATATCGCCGGAGTACTGGAAGGTAATCCAGATTGCTATGTCTGGACAAATGACGGTAATTTAGGCCGGATTATTATCCCAGCAGACGTGGCACTCGAACATCTAGTGCAGAAATCCATCACTTTTGGACCGAAGGAAGCTCTTGCAGTCTTGAACGGAACCGCTGTATCCACCGCAGTGGCAGCACTGGCGATGCAGGAGTCACATACTCTAGCCATCTTCTCTCAAGTGCTGACAGCCATGGGAGTCGAAGCCCTGCATGGGTCAACTGGCAGCTTCAACGCTTTCTTCGACAGAGTCCGCCCTCACCGCGGTCAACGAGAAGCCGCTGCGAATATCCGCCTGTTCCTCACCGGTTCTCAGCTTGCTCACCCTGAGCAGGAAGATGAAGAAAACCGCATAGGTCTTAAGCAAGATCGCTACGCTCTTCGCACATCACCTCAATGGATCGGCCCTCAGCTCGAAGACCTCGCTTTAGCGCACGAGCAAATCACGGTCGAATGCAATTCGACAACCGACAATCCTCTCATCGACATCGAGGGTGGCGCCATTCATCACGGAGGAAACTTCCAGGCAGCCTCTATCACTTCGGCTATGGAGAAAACCCGCTCTTGCCTGCAAATGTTCGGCCGGATGCTTTTTTCTCAGTGCACTGAGCTCATCAATCCGGCTATGAACAACGGACTGCCACCCAACCTTGCGGCTGATGACCCGAGCACGAGTTACACAATGAAAGGTGCAGATATCAACGTTGCAGCCTATATGTCTGAACTAGCATACCTGGCAAACCCCGTAAGCAACCACGTGCAGACTGCAGAAAATGGCAACCAGGCGATCAACTCGCTGGCACTGGTCTCGGCGCGATACACCCACATGGCCATCGATTGCTTGTCGATGATATGTGCAACGTATTTGTACATCTTGTGTCAAGCCTTGGACATTAGGGCTATGGATCGTGGCTACCTCAGTGCCATCGGTCCTGCTGTCAACGAAATCACTGCGCACATCTTCGAAACTGCGCTTAGCGATGCCACCAATGCGACTGCTTTGAATCAGCTGCAATCGAAATTGCTGGAGCAAGTTGTGAGGCAGTATAGTCTCACGACCTCTCTAGACACTAGTGACCGCTTCAGCGCAATCGCCGAGGCCGTGCAGTCCACTCTGACAACAGCCCTTTACACCGACGGCAGCCTGCCAAAGCAATTCGATGCTCTATCAGCCATCAAGCGGTGGACGGATCAGACGTCGACGACTCTCCACAATCTCTTCCTCCAGCATCGACAAGCCTACTTTACCGCTCCGGACGCCACCCCGTACCTCGGAGCCGCATCATCACGCATGTACAGTTACGTCCGCAAAGATTTGCAAGTGCCCTTCCACAAAGGCTTGGCGGATCACCCAACCAAGGATAACAAGCTGAAGACGCTTGGCTCGAACATCAGCATCATCCATGAGGCTATGAGGAGTGGACGACTGTACGATCCTGTTCTATTGTGTCTGGGAGCGCATCCGTGATCGAACCTGAGGCCGTCTCAGAGGCAAGAGGCCCATAGGAAGCCCATCTTCAAGGACATCAGCCCGTGGGGCGACGAAAAACGACATTTCACGAGCCAGAGAATTGCGGCCGAGATGAATGGGATCGAGCATAGAACAGAGGCGCCATAATGAATGACATATACCGCTCAAACAGCGTGCAATTTGAAACGTAGACCATGTAGTGAGATACGTAATAAATAATTGACAGCCCTTGCCCAGCACGAGAACAGAGGTGGAAGTGACTTAGATGCATGCTGCCACCGACGAAGCTGCAGGCAGGGTGATAAAGTGCATCACTGGAACAACGATGAGACTCCCAGTCAGGCCATCTCACCATCCAGCATCCAGCATCCCTAATCCGCCATCCCGACTCCACACAGAGGCAAAGTAGTGCTTGAATCGCGACAACGAAGTAAACCCCCTCCTCTTTCTCTGGCGCAAAATAAATACCTTGCGAGTCAAACCACGCAACTACTCCCATCGTACCCACCTTACCTACCCTATTAGACATCCAGCATCACTCAGCCTTAAAATTACAGCCCCGTCCCTACCTCCCGAGCCTCCCTACCTAACCTACTCGTGCTGTCCAGAAGTGAGTTCTTTGATAGAGCGAGGACACCAATAGATTAACCGATATTCGGCTAAGTGGAAGGATTTATTGGTGTCCTCGCTCTATCAAAGAACTCACTTCTGGACAGCACGAGTACCTTATACACCACCAACACCCACACAGATCCCCCCCAAAACCCCAAGCACCAAGCACCAAAAACCAAGCACCAAACCCCAAACCCCAAACCCCAAAAACCAAGCACCAAAAAACCAAACCCCCAACCCAGTCCTCTAATAAAACCGTCCTATTTCACGACCCCAACCCCAACCTGCCGTCATTGGTTGGACTCCGGGTCCCACTTGGGGGGAGATTGGGGCTGCGCGTCGTTTACGTTTAGGGCTGTAATTAGATCGACGCGCCGCGCAACGTGGGAGACAGGCATCGGAAAGCCTTCCGTTGCAGGATTAGGCAGACGGGAACTTCTGGCGGGAAGAAGAGAGGGGGGGGGGGGGTTGGAAAGGGCTGTGGAAGATCAGATCGTGGTGGTTACTCGTGAGAGGTTATTGGTTTGGTGGCATGTTCTTTTTTTGTGGTGGGGCCCCGGGGGGGGGAGGGTCATCGGGGACGATTACCAGCAATGAGTCGGGCAGTTTGCGGTCACGCGAGGCGCAAGCAGGATTGCGGGCAGGAGAGTGTTTTGGTGGTGTTAGGGATACAAATGTTTAGCGAGAGATTTCTAGGTATTCAGATTGCTCGGGGTCTTGGTCGCTTCCAGAGAAACCATGACCCTTTTGTCCGTCCAATGCACTCTCCGAACACCAGTATTGTATATGTACAGGGGTATATCTCTCAAACAAGTCAAACGCTAGCAAAGCAAGGTCCCGATGATGTGTTGCGTAATGGTGGTGGTGATCGTTTGATGATTTTGGTAAAGTGTTTGTGGTGCAAGAAAGTGGTGGTGGTGGTTCACGGCGTTAAAATTTTCCTCGCTGACCGAATCGGCGGCGCACGTGCTTGAGGCTGATAGCTTGGCGATTGGTGGTGTGGTGCTCTTAAAGTGTATTGGTGGCATGATGCAAGTCATATTTTGCCGTGCATAACCGGTTTGAGATCTGACATGGAATGGTAGTGTGCGACCAAAACCGGGTAGAGAAATCAAAGAGGGATTGGTTCCTGAGAGGCTGAGAATCGAGTCCCGGTGAATCCAGAGAAATGTGCCGCCGGGGAGAGGGGGGGAGGAGGGGGTGCCAGTGTCCAGCAGCAGGCAAATGAACGAGTCCAATGAGTTGGCTTCCCACAACGTGTCCAATGGGAGAATGTAGTCCGGGGGTTTGTTGAGTCATGCTGAGATCAGAAAGCACAACTGCAGGGCCAGAGCCCTACACGGTAGACCGAGAGAGATTGTGTAGTTTGTGGAGCCAGAAGTGTAAAGTGTGGTAGAGAGAGAAGGGATGACCCTATTTTGGGATTTTGGGAAGAGGGCGGTTGGGTGGTGGACCTGGGCAAGGAGGGTATTGGGGCTGTTGTGGACCATTGTAGTGATATGAGGGAGGCATTCTGTTCAATTGGAAGAGGCGAAGAGGTCGGATTGAGAAGGGTCTGATTGATGGAAGATTGAATATTTGACTTGGTGTGAAGCGGCTGGTGTACTTCCTGGCTGTTGATGTGGTTACTTGAATGTGTGGAATGTAATGCTGTGTGGTTTTAAGAGAGAGTCAAGGGGGGGGAAGTGCTGGATATTTATGATTTTTGGCGAGGCCGTCATCATCAGCAACGGCCGCCAAGTCATACTGCCGTGCAGAGCCGTGGTACCTTAGTGGTAATTTGATTTTCGGAGCTAAGTTTGATGATGAAGATATTCAGGGCCCAAGCAGTGGGATGAGAGGCTGGTGGGCATGAAAAAAAGGCATGAGACAGGGGCATCGGAAGAAAGGTCCAAGGGAATGGGAATGGGAAAGTAAAACGGGAAAGGTCAATCGCTGAGTGGTCAATCCTTTCCCTGAAAAGTGACGACTTCGAAGAAATTAGCGCAATTCTTCCCGGGGCTGAAATTTCGGTGTGGGTTGGAAATTTAGAAAAAAAAGTGGCCACCTGATGACAAGACCCCCCAACTCCCAATAATTTGGCCAGGATCTTCCGCCCCCTTGCTACCTCCGCCAATCTCGGAGAAGAGACGTTGCAGAGAGACATTGAACGGTTTGCTGATTGCTTTGCAAATTGCAACACAATCAAAACCTAAGAAAATGATCGGGAAACGCGGCTGCAACAGATTGTTATGCAAATCAATCCGTCGACGTGACATCCTACCCTAGGTCCTCTCGGCTTCAATGGACCAATGGTCAAGGGTGTAACACACCAAAACCATCCATTGACTCGTGGACCTTGACATCACCAACGCAACAGTAGCGGCTCCCAAAACAGCGGAACCTTTGCACACTTCCTCTTTGACATCTTCTAGCTTGCTTGGTAGTTACGGGCTGCTTACGGCCCCCCCGGATTGCCTGTTGCCAAAATTGGAACCGTGTCAAATCGATAGTACGATTGAAGTTTCATGGGGGGCCAGGACGAAAGCGAAGATCATGGATACGAAGAGTTGCTATCAGCAGCATGCGTGCAATGCAAGTCATCTGACTCCGTTTCAAAAGCACCGGAAATTATTCAACCGAATGGTGAAACCTTGCCCCCTTTTCTGGCTACGTGACGACAGACGACAGACAGGATAGCCATGATGTGCTTTGATTGGCAAATTGCGTTGCCTGGAGAAGTACATACAATCGAGAATCAGCTGGTTACGGTACAGAAAATCAAGGCGGGTGTCGCCGCCATCTCTATCACAAGCGGGACGTTGAAGGCCTCGTGATGCGTTGTGGCGCAGCGACTGGGCGTCTCGGCTTCTTCCTTGATTGGAGGCAAGCTCATGAACGACAAGAACACCATCAAATTATCACGCCACCACTGCGGGATACTATTACCGAAAAGCCATAGCACAGACGGAAGTATGTAAGGGGGTGGTGTCGTTGACAAGCTTGCATCGACAGATTGGATGATCTGCAGGGATAAAGCACAAGCACGTTTCCAACCGAGCGCACGTGGCAATATGCAGCTAGGAAATTAGCGCTTCCTTCTCTGCAGGTAGCCAAGGATGGTAAGGTAGTTAAGGTACTTTAGGATCAATGGGTCCTCCGTTACAAACAATCGTCCTAAGGTACTTTTGCATTATGCATGGCCCCTCGTATCAGATACTCGTGGTCTCCACTCGACTGCCAGAAGACTTCGCCCGCTCCGATCTCAGTCTCACATGCTTATGGAGAGGTCGTTTCGACGACATGTGCAATACACCCAAAGAAAATCCGATAACCCGAGCTTGCTGTCCCTGCACTTCGGCTTATCTCACGACTTTCCAACATGATCAACCTTGCAAAGGAATGCACACTTCAACAGACAATCGGACCGCCCGATTCTACAGAACAAAGGGGAGCATTCGTGGATGCATTTTAGCCTCACAAGCTGCATGTCATATGTAATGCTCAGTACAGCTCCGGAGCGCTGGGTTTGCGGATACACTTTGCTAGGCATTCCTAGATCGCCCCTAGAACCATTGTGGAAGGTTTTGGCCTGTGGCTTGCATGCGGGAAATTAGATTTAAGAATGCAAAGTGGCTTCAAGCACATCAAGCTGATCTTGAAACAAAAATAGTATCAGAGCAATCAGTATCGGCAAGATCAAACGAGCTGTGGGCAAAGGGCGCTCAAGGTGTGTGTGCGTTATGTTGATTGTGAGCTCCAACCCCTGCGAGTCTTGCGTGGCTCGGAGATGTCCGTCAACGGTTCAAGGGATTCAGACTTCAGTTCTATGCAGTCCTGCACTATCATACCGTAAACTTGTTATGAGAAGATAGAGCACCTTGAGGAAACGCGACGGCTTGAGTGCTGACGCGAGCATAGCATTGGAAATGCTGATCGCCGCCAAATAACAAGCCCCGAGGGCGTCTGAGGGCATCAATATTTGTCATGCTCACTGAGTTGGCCCAATTCAATCTTCCATTCCGTCTTTCCTCCTCCCACAACCATCTCGGTGACCACATACAGCTTGCCCAAACAGGTAATTCCCATCGAAGCCTGTGAATCCTTCACATCTTTGTTGGCTCCGATTCCATCATCTTTGGGGTCCACCAACACCGCATCAACCGGAGCAGCTTCCCAAAATGTGAATACAACTGGGGCCATTCCGTGGAACGAGAGCTTGATTCCTAATCCCCTCGGGATTGGCACCGATGCAGCCCAACCCAAAGTTGCGGAGATTCGCCATTCCGAGTCCAGCGGCCTCGGACTACAGCACCGACGTTGAGGCAAATTTTCCAGAAGTTGAGGATGGTTCGAACGACGAGCATGATGCATGACGCAGCCTGACTGCAGCGTAACGAAAAACC